TTCATACTCCATTCACCACCGGTTTGAGACAAAAAAAAAGACGGTTGCAAACGTAGGCTATTTTTTCGCGTCAGTGTTCAAAATCACTACTTTCTCGATTTTGTAGATTATATGGTTTTTTTAATTTTTAGTTTAGACGTTTCGAACAAGTTTAAAGGCGCGAAGTCTTGTTAATTACTTGATCAATCCTTGGTGTTGCCTTTTATTCACTTATTCCTTTCAGACTTTCTTCCTAATTTCTTTATTTCAAAAAATATTCTTTTTATCTGTTAATTTTTTTTCTGTCTTGTGCAAAAAAAGCCGTTTTAGTTTCAAGTTTTTTTCGTAAAAATTGAGTTTATTACGCTTATGATATGGGAAGGAAAAACAAAAACAAGAAACTTCCGCAGACATTTGATTCGATCAACTATGGCTAGTCGTCACTGATAATGACTCAACCTCAATAACTAATCCCCGTTTTACCTTTCTCCTTTTCTTCTTTTATGACCGTTTCGCGTCAGAGAGTTCTAAAAGATCATCGTCTTTAAAATGCCGTTTGGGATGAACTTGCACTCGTACGAACTCCTAATGAGATGAAATCAACTAAATTTGAAAAAAGTTCTAAAAAGACTTTAAGAAAAAAAAATTCAGCCATTTTATTGGCTTCTATAGTCGGCTCCTGATCTTTCATTTTAACTTCTTTTCAAAAAAATCTACTTTTTTTAACTTTGATGAATTTTTAAATTAACAACCGAAATAAAAAAATTTGAAAGAACAGATCAATGGTCCTTAAGAGAGGCGAGAGAAAGAGATATTCTTCATATTTTTTTGCCCTCTTCAAGATGAAATCGATCTCTCGTTCAAACATATTTTAACCTTATTTTGATATAAAAGTCTAAAAAATCTTCAAAAAGAGATCAAAAACGTCCTTAGAGAGTTAAGAGAAACAAAGACGTCCCGTTTTTTTGGCGTCTCTTCTGATCTCTTGTTTCGCCCCTTTTTTAATTTTGCAAAAAAATTTCTTGCACAAATTTTCAAAAAAATAAAAAAAGGAATTTTTTTATAATAACAGTGCGTAACTGCACGTTTCCTAGTTCTTTGAAACTTGATAATTCTAACTTTTTTTGCCGTTACCTGGTGAGTCTGTGTAGATGTTAATTATTGTGCCACATGAAGTTCACATTCTTCTTTCTAGAATGTCTGGAACCTGGACTATAATTATATGAGAAATAGTCAGGGATCCGTCTTTTTCAACTTATTTATTGGAAAAATATTTGATAACAAAAAATAACCCAACTAGAAAGTTTCACAGCGATCTATTAAACTTGATATTTGAGAGGAAAAAGCTGGAATTTTGATAGTTTTTATCGAATATTTAAGAGAAAACGGCATGATTTTGAACTCGAAAAGCTTAAAAAGCTCAAAAAGACGTTCCAAAAAGCGAACTAATCCCATTAAAGGTAGACATTTCCAAGTGGCCTGCATTATTCAGAACGACTTTCTCACACGCAATAAACGTCTCAAGTACAGTATGATGCTGTATACGTCAGAGAACAAGGTTTGAAGTAATTACTTTGTCGAAAGATGTACAAAGCTCGGAAATGGAGGAGGACGTCACGAAATGTTATTGAGGTCTTTGAAAGTGGTCCTAAGAATGTTGCATGTGGAAAAGTTGTTAAGAAAACGGAGAAAAGGCCTTTCACGTACTGAAAGTATGATTTATGAAAGGGCCGAGTATATTCAAAAAAAGAAGATTTTAACTAGAATAAGAGGTTTTTGAGCTTTTTTTGGAGCGGGAAATGAAGTGAAAACTTAGTTATCCTGGTTACGGTATAAGCTGAAATTGGTCTTTTTGCTATAAAATTTTTGATTCTTCTGTTTTATCAATTTTTTTTCAGGGTGCAAGTTGAACTTGAGGACTTTCAAACGTCTACTAGAAGAATTTTAATTCTTTTAGAAACGTTTTAAAGATATGAGAATTTCGTCGAGTTGGGTTACGGTGGTGAGAGCTCTTAGGTACATTTTTCTTTAAAAAAAGGTGAAGATTTTTCAAAAATGATTTTTTTAAAAATCACCATTATTTGAAAGAAGGTTCAAAACTCTGGTTAGTGTTTGAATTTTACCGGTACAAATTAATGTAAACCCTTCTTTTTTGAAAACGGTAATTGGAGAATTTTGAGGCTCCAAGCAAGAGTTGAATTAAGCTGAAGTGGAATTTCATAGAATTTGAAAAACTGATGAGTTTTTTCATAGAGATTTGAGTTTCAGGAGAACCTTTCACTCTGGAAAAAAATAGGTTTTGAATAACTTTTCCTCACTCGGATTGATGGCAGGGCTGCTTCTAGATGAAGTAAAAACTTAGGAATCGGACGAATACAATAAGAAACAATAAACAAAACAAAAAAAGGTAGCCTTGCCGATCGGAAACTTTACCTAACGCTGGGCATGCGTAACCCGGGGAAACGCTCAAACCCCTCAAGAGAGAGACCTGATATCCAACCCTTTTCTTCAGCTGGTCTTTGGTGAATGATAACAATTGTGAATGGAAGGGGACTTTTCTTGTTGGATAAAAGTAAGGAGGGAATTCCTTGAAAAATTTCGTGAGAGAAACAAGTTCAGTTTTCGAGGAGCACAGAAAAAGAATATTATATTTTATAAAGAAAAATCAGACCTGTCCCAATCAAAGCTTTGCGCTTGGGAGTTCTTCGGAAGTTGGCCAGCGAGCTTTTTTATCTATCAAAGGAAGATTCTAAGAATCTCAGTCTGCCTAATTTTTTAGTTCTTGATGAGGGAGGTCTTCAAGTCATTTTTGATTCATAAAAATGGGCCATATTCAGACTTTGAGTCCTACGTAATTGAAGAGAGGTAATTTTCCATTTCGAGACTTTGAAGGTTTTGACTTGGTACGTCACAAAATGTATCAACCAAAATCGTTTGATTTTCGAAGGAGCAAAAACTTTGGATCCATTCGATAAATTAGTATTTTTATTTGCTGAATTATCGCATAACCTTTTTCTTTGATGTATGACTCCAAACTCTTCTCCCGTGAGTTATAATTAGCCATAATTCCATATTTTCTACCATAATTAAATGGATAAAACGCGAATTAGCGGTGTGCTGTCTCTGGAGACCATCCTATACATGACTCCAAAGAATCGCGTTGATTTTATATCGAGAATGAATTCGCTCATCATACATCCCTCGCGTAGACGCGATTCGTACTATGACGGAGTTATTACGTTTTGGAATGACCTCATGGGGACGTTTCGCACTACAAGTTTGAAACGACCACAAAATTGAAGTTATTTTAAGTTATTAGTATAAAACTCCGAGCACCGGAAGTTGAAAAGAAAAAACAGGATAGTTATGAAAATTTCGAAAAAGCGAAATCGCTAACTCTACCCTATTATTTTGAAATTTCTAAATCAAAATTCTACTTTTGGTAGCACACGGAATGGCGAAACGGTTTCGTTGCGGTTTAAATTTGCATACCAAAAAAAGCTTCAGAGCGCAAGTAGTTTAAAGTCTGGTGCGCTTTTTAGAAACCATGTATAGCCATATGGCCATTCCACCTGCCAAAACGGCCAGGTTGAGGCGATTCCACTTCAGCGTACTCTATACATGCTGGTCGCACTTGGAATGGCTGAAAGCGTTCCAGTTCGAATCACGCTTGCTTCAATTCTTTCCGTTGCCTTTTAGCGCAAATCGTTTTGGGTCGGTTGTGCCTTGAAGGTACCACTTACGCGTCTAGCCACTCCACACGGGACCACAACCTCTCAAATTGAATCAGAACTACGGAAAAAAAAATTCTAAAGTAACTTCTTAAAAAGCAGTTGTAAGGGAAGAGTATTCGGTAAATTCTTAGTTCCTAAGATTAAATAAGTGGCATGACTAAGTTTGCGCCAGGAGACAACAAAGGCTATTATTACCTATCTTTCTTGAAAAAATCTGGTGGTATAAAAACTGAATAACAAACTTTTTTTAAACATCACTCGATCCGGAGCTGAATAGAGAAAGCCCGGAAGTTCATTTCAATAATAAAAAGCTTTTCGGAAGAGTTAAGCTCAAAACTTCAAGAATAGGACTAAATGAAAAACACAAAGACCTCTGTGCATTTTTGAGCCTTTAATGATTTCCGTTTTTTCTTCCATAGTTTTTTGTGCTCGTTTTCTGTTAATCCAAGCTTTGACCAAATTTGATTATTTTTCGAAATTTCTTGAGGGATTTGCGGAAAGTTTACGGCACCTGATGACACTGAAAAAGATTAAAAAATGAGGTGAAAAAATAATTTGAGCATTACAAAAAAAACTTAAAAATTTCTGGCATTTTTCCCATAGGCCGTCTGCTCGAACCAGTCCCACTGAAACACTTCCCATGTTAGATTTCAATTTTCAATTTTTTCGTATTTTTTTTTTACCATTTTTCGATTTTTAAATAATTTTCAGACTTTGTATCGGTAAAAGAAAAATCGTTCACTTGTTCTTACACGGTTTTCGCTCTAATTTTCTGATTCAACAATCAAACAAATGTCCACACACTTCTGTATACACACTGGGGAAAAAACTTCCGTCTGTTATCTATTTTTCTGTCTAACACTCAAATCAGCCGAGGAAAGGCCGCTGAAAAATTCAAATGACACGGGGAGGGGACAAGAGGGAGCACAAACAGTTCGGACAAGTGCTCAATAGGAGCTTCTTCTTCTTTAGTCCAGCCGCCCAGCGCTTTTCTCGACCTTATCTGCGCCCCACCGAACACCCTTTATCATACATATATTTCTGGCTGAAAAACGATGACGTCACCTGAGGTAAAACTTTCAGCCGTGTTTTGACTGAGTAGCTAGTAGTGGCCCTCCCTTCGCCTTATCTACACCTCTCGGCGAGGGGCCAACAGAAAAAAAGCAAAAGAAAAAGAAAAGAAGACCACTGTCGCACTATTTCGAGTTTCCCTCCTCACACCTCCCTCGAGTCTATTACTGTCAACTCTGCGATTATTTTTGGCCATTAAATTAAACCTCAAGTCTTATGGCCACTCGACTCAATGATCTTTTCCGGATCGTAGGTTTCTCAATTTTTGGCTTCATTTTTTTCAAGTCTTGATTTTACCTACTTTCTAAACTTTTTGATATGCTTTTAAACTCTGTGAATTTTAATTTTTCCGACAGATCGGTATTTTTTTGGTAATAAATGTAAAGAATTTTGAAGATTTGAAAAAAGGTCCTAGACCGAAACTAGTAATTTATGGTTGAGAATATTAAAAAAACAAAAATAATAATAAATTTTTTTGGTCTTTTGATTGAACGCTTGTATTCAAAAAAATCGTTAAAGTCTTTCTTAACGTCTTCACTTGTTTTCGATGATCAGTTTGATTATGTCTGGTTTAAAATCGGGAAACTATCATATATTTAGGAGAAAATCAACTTATTATTTCGCGAGAGAACTTTTTCAACTTTTTACTTTTAATAAAAATTGGCTGAATGCTGCCTCAGGACCTTCTAATCCCAAACAGAAGAAAAGTTTTTCGATTCTCGGGTAATTTTAAATTTCGGAGAAAAGCGTTATTTGAAGCTTGAGAAGCGTCATAGAGCCAGAAAAATAATTTTCTTTCTTAAGAGTTACGAGGTAAGGAAATTGTAACAGTTTTATAGAAAGATTAATGAAAAAAATCTGAAATATTCTATTTGAAAGAAAAAAACAAAACTTTCCATCTGGGCGGGATCTGAGCTAGCGACCGTTTGAACGTTAGAAAAAAGTTTTGTCAACTGAGCTATGATACGATCGTAAATATGAACCTCGAACCGAAGCTTTGATTGTAAGTATTCATTCCGGCAGGCTCATGGCTAGGATACGTTTCTGAAAACATTTATATGATGAACAGTTTTGTAATTTCTAATGTATAACTACTACTTTTCTGTATCTTGAATTCCAATGAATAATAAAAAACTAGAGGGGAGAATTTTAATTTTCCGTTTCAGAATGCGACTTCCATTGTTCATGAAGTGATTCGGGACGCGTTCGTTGCCTCGAAACTCCAAAATTACACGGACGCCATCAATGAGTTGGATCAGCCGCCGGCCTGGCAAAGTTGGTTGTTTTTATGGATAGATAAGCTTCCTTCTATTCTTCCGAGGTTTTCGAGAATGTATTCGTTTTTTTTTTTCGACTGCTCTACCTTGAATATGACACCGTTTTTTCAAGAGATGGTAATGTAAATGAGCTTCCCAGTACCTTTCATAGTCCGTTTCCTTTGCGAAACACTTTGAAAAACTCATTTTTGGTGAGGAAAGGGCTCTGAATTTGCTTCTTTCAAATGAGTTAAACTTTATAGTAAAATGAATAATCAAAAAATAAAACTTTATTCACCGTTAGCTAGTAATAAGACACGTTTCAAAGGTGTCTAAGCCTCCTTTTTAAGCATTTTCTTTCGATATTCGCATTAATACCCTTTTTTAAATGTATTATTAAGGTACTGGCTTTCTTAGCTTAACTTTAATTACATTTTAATCCAACCGCACCGCGACCGCGACGCGTTGAACGTTATGCGATAATACCAACTTTTAAAAGTGTCTTTTCGGCACGTTTTGTTTTCGCAACGAGGTAAATGTATGTGGGAAAAAGGGTGCCGCTTATCTGCCTTCATGAGTTGTTTCGGCGGGACCCCGAGAAAAATCGTCCATCATTCTGGTGTGCCGCGAAACACAGCGCTTCTCCGGCGATTACCATCTGAAAAGAAAAATCTTTTGCGAAAACTGACTCCCATATAAATTCTTTTTTGTCCCTTTTCCTTGTTCGTTCAGATTGGTCAGCAATGATGTCACTTTCTGAAAGAAGATCAAAAAAGATCAAACTAGGCTTGGAAGCTCGAAAAATTCTCTCTGCAAGTTTAAGAAAGAAAAAAATTATGGAAGTTACAGTAACTCAACTTTGAGTTTTTGTGAAGGAAGTTTAGATTCTAGCTTCAAAAAAGCAAAACTTTAGTTTAAATTCAATTTATTTTTTCTTTTCTATTGTTCATATTAGTGGTTGAATATCTTCATCTTGAAGAAAAGAGTGGAAACTTTCTAAAAACTGATTTATCCAAAATGGGAAGCTACCGTAACGTTAATGCGAAATTTCACTTTACAGCCTGTTTTGTTCTCTTTGCTGAAAAAAAATTGACGATTCAATTTTTTTCTTTCTATGTAATTTCAAGTTCATATTTAATTAATATTAATTAATCTTTGGTTGCTTCATTTCAAATGAGTTTCTAAAAATGATGAAAAAAACATAAGACTTTTAAACGAACTTTCAGTATTCAGGGCAAGTCGGATGTTTTTATTGTCACAAAAAAATCAATTTTTTTCGTCTCTATTTTTTTCTTACAAAGAAAAAAACCCTGGTTCCGGTGTCCCTATAATTCCCAAATAACCGTGAGAAAACTGGTTCAGTATGTGTTCTCTAATTCCTTCACACCTTTTTTTTCCATGGAAACGTGTTCCAGTAATATTCGAAAGTGACATCACTTCTGAGTGACCAGCCTCGCAGAAAAAAAAAGATTCTATTTTCAAACTCGAAAATAAATAAAAACACAAAACTGGGGCAGAGGGGAGAGATCTCTTTGCAGATTATTTTAAATTTTCGTGTTATTCCAGTTTTTTTTCAAGCAGGTTGATACTGTAAAAATTCTCATTTTCTCATAATTATTCTCAGACACTAATGAGGGTAGATTGAGGTTTTTTTAAAAGGCCTCTCAGGCGATTTTTAGTCATTAAGGGATCGCTTAAGTGACGTCAAAACCAAAAAAAAATAGGGCGTAATTGTTTTTGAAGCACATGGATTTTTCAACTATCAAGTCTTTCAAGTCATAGCTTCAAAATCGATTTTTCTATGATAATTCAGCATGGGGCGTCGGGATCGCCATCATCTCTGGCTGTTCATTTTCGGCACCTCTGGGAATTCTGCTTCTTCCCTGCTTCACCAAGACGATCTACGAAAGGATCATGACTTTTCTAGTGGCCCTTGGGATTGGCGCCTTGTCTGGATCAACAATATTCATCATGCTCCCACAGGTTTTGATTGTTCCAATCAACTCAAGTAAGATGTTTATTCACTGCAAACAGTACAAAAATATTGATATTATTAGAAAAAAAGTTCATTTATTTAAAAAAGGACACAGAAAGATACTTTCTGAGTGGTGGAACTTTAACTCGAATAGCCAAAAACATTGAAAATCCCGAAAAATGGGCCCTTAAGTCATAAGTTCTGTTGTGGACAAATAAAAGAGCACAAAGTTTGATTGGCCTTTTATCGACAGGTGAGACTTTTAAATGAATCTAATTAACGTCCCTGGCGTCAATATGCTGAATGGTATCTCTGAAAAAGACGTTTTCCAAAACAAAAACAGTAGCGTGGTTTGAGGAAATGACCACAACACGAAAATAAAACAGATTTTTGTGAAGAGCCACTTGAAAGTCTTTCGAGCGACGGACAAGCTTACGCAAGCATTTTTTGGTTTGAAAAATTCCCAGATTAAAAATGGAGTCAGTGTTAGATTGACAATAATGTTTGCAAGATTAAGTTTGGAAAAAATCAATGATTTTTTTTGTTTTCTGAACCTTTGAACTCGCAAAAGGAAAAACAAATAAATGAACAATCTTATGAAACTTCTAAAACCTTCAGGCATTTCACTTGAACGAGCTGAATGATTTCGATTATCACTCCAAGTCGATGATCATCCTCACGGCAATCTACGTCTTCTTCACTGTAGATCGGATTCTCCAGTATGTCCTGGAGTTGAGAAGACGTCACAGCGCCAAGCGGAAAATCCACTCCAAAACCATCGCCTCCATCATTAATTCGCCCCAAGTTGAAAGGCGGCCGACGACTGGGGTATGTGTTTTTTTGAAACGTGCTCGGATCTTAAAAAGCTCTTCTTTGCAAGAAAATCATAAATTTCACCTTGATCCTTTGAAGACCAAACCACGTTTTCTATCTTTTAATATTGAATTGTATAACACTTCCGGTGTTTTATTTTGAGTTCTCTAAAACCAAGGCCATAAAAATTTGGATGAAAGCATTTCAGAACAATGGATCCAGTTCAAATGGAAATGTGGAGAAACCGGCGCCCAACATAGATAATTGTAATGATCTGGAGAAGCAGGAGATTTCCGAACTTGCTGTCAGTTTTTTTCTCTGAAATTGGCAATGAAAATTGATGTTTCAGGATGAACTGGATGCAGCCTTGGCAAACAATATTCTGGCTAGAACGGTATAAAAAAACTTTATTTCCGAAAAAAAAACTGTTGAAAAATGAATATAGAACTTTTTGCATTTTAAGAGCCTTGAAAAAAATTTTTTTAATAAGAGAATGAATTGGAGAAAAATTGCTGGCTTGATCAATATTTAGAGAAATGGTCTTAAAACGAGAAGTTCAGTGCGGGAAAATAAGAAAAAGGTTTTTTAGTGAAATTTTATTTTTATGACAAGCTAGCGCTCAAATAAGTAATTAGATGATTTATGGAGTAGTGAGCCATTTTTTTCTGTGCACTTGAAATTTTAAAAGAATTTTTTTACAAAAAAATTTTTATATAAAAAAATCACTGCCCTCTGCACCTTTTTCTCAGTGAATTTTCCTGCAGTTCTCGACACGTCGACGTATTGCGGTGATGACTGGCGTGGACGACATTGAATTCCGGAAGGCTAGTGGCCAAAATAATAATGTGAGTTGTAGGAGTTTCTGAGAATTCACGGCTTGGAAAAGATTCTGAAGAAACCTTTTTCCGAGCTCACTTTCCATCAGATTTCCGGCAAAAGTTTTATTTTCGAGACTAAAACTCTTTCACGCTTTGAAGTTCTTGTGAATCTTTAAAATCAAAGAAAGATGGTTGATTTGAAGGTGAGAGACCCGAATTTGATCAACGCCGTCAATTTGGAGCTGAAAAGGAGGGCCACTGAACAGAATTCGCCTCTGCAACAAACGGATGAACTTCCGCCGAAGGTATGACTTGATTCACAAAGTTATTACCTAACATGAGGAACTCGGAATCAATGAGGAAGTTCTAGAAAGATTTTTGAAGTTTAAAAGATAGTAGTGAATATATCGTTTTCATTGGTTAGCGGCTTCTACAAGAAACAAATGATCTTTAGATTTTAATCTTCAATGAAATGAGATTACGTTCTTTAGAGTAGTTTTTTTCCAATTTGGTTTTTCACAATCAAACGAACCGTTTCAATCGGAAGGTTTTATTTTAGAGCGATTTTTTTTATTCTAAAACATATATAAGGAATTTTCAGTGGAGGTACCCTTCAGAACTTTGAAAGGATTTTTCTATCTTCTTGAACATTTCTAAGACTTCCCAGGACGACAACGATGAAGTCGCCGTCACGGTGAAAGTCGTCGAGAAGCGGGTAATCGAACCGGCGGCGATGGAAGTTGCTTCAGTCGCCTACATGATCATTTTCGGATCATCCGCTAATAATTTCGTCGACGGCATGAGCATGGGTACCTCTTTGGGTGAAGCTCGAAAGTTTTTGAAAATTTGTAGGAGCCGCCTTTTCTGACAATCTTCTCCGAGGCTTGAGCATTGGCATCGCCGTCATTTCTCAACAGTTTCCTCAAGAACTTGGTGAGAACAAAGATTTCAGTATTTAAAAAATCGGTCACCGTGGCTTGAGCCAAGAGACGAAGAATTTTTTCGATTTCTCTACGAAACAATTACGAAATAGTGTGCATGAAGTATAGGTAGGCAGCTTTCCCTGGCTTGAAAGCCGACAGACGCATGTCTTCCATAATAACGCGGTTGGGTATGTGAATAGGCGTGATTGACTAAATGACCAAGTAAAGAGTCCGAATTCCTCAAACTATAATCAACCTTCTCGACTCCGCCTCTGCTACTCCGCATTCGCTGCCCCCTCGGACGTCGATTAGCTGAGCTCACGCGCGCCTTCTGCATCTCCTTACCCGAATATGATAAAGTTTACACAGAAAAATATATAAAAAGTGGAGCGGGGTTGAGCTCGTCTAGTCGTCATCCGAGGGTGGCGACGAATGCGAGAGGTGGAGTCGACGGTTGATTATAGTCTGAGTAATTCAGACTCTTTTATACTCTTTACTTGGTCTAATTTTTCACGTCACTCCTATTCACAAGGTCAAAAGTTCCATTTTCCACATTTTATTAGTTACACAATTTCAAGGAGTTCTGGCGATCCTGATCAAGTCGGGCTTGGGTCTGAAACGAACGTTGCTCTTCAACATGGTGCCGATCATCCTCAGCTACCTTGGATTCGGCGTCGGTGTACTGCTTGACAGCGTCGACGACACCTACGATCAGTACATCTTTGCCGTTTCTTCCGGCATGTACATGTACATCTTCTTGGGCACTTTGGTTTGTTCAAGGAGACATTACGACTAGGAGTATTAGTATGTGAGAGTTTCATGTCACCTTTTTCTAGTTTCATGTCACCTTTTTCCATTGAGCGTTAAATAATATAAGTTGTTAGATGATCAAAAAACCTTGATGTTGTTTTCATAATTAGTTAGTAAGACAACTCGTTGATTAAGATTGTTCAGTTGATTGAGCTGAAAAACAGAAAACGAAAACTGCCGGAAATTTAGATTGTTCTCGCAAAAAACGTTTTTTTTTTAATGAACAATTCAAGTAGGAAGTTATTTTAAGTTGTTTAAGATGGACTACAGGGCCAGATAAGAATTTTCAAATTTCAGATTCCTGAGATTCGAGATTCGACCAACGAGCTGATCAAGGAGAACCTGGTGGAAAGTATGATCGTCACTGCCTTACAATTCTGCGGAATCGCCTTTGGCACATCGTTTATGTTCTATATGAGTGGAGTAGGCGACGTTGAGCTCGCGTAAATTGAAAAAAAAAAGTCCATCATCTAGTTTATTCACCCCTGGCTTACATTAGACAGGTCTCGGGACGAAAACAGTAATCCAAATAGTTCAAAGCAATATGTCTTAAGGTAATGGTCCTGAAACGAAGGGAGGATTTTTCTACAGTAACCGGCGGTGAATAAACTCTGATAACCGGTGTATTCGTTCCGGTGTTATGTTTTTTTGTTACGCGTCAAATTCGTTTTTTTTTTCTCTCATTAAACTTCGAAGAAATTTGAATGTTATCACTCTTCTCCCAAATCAGTTATCAATGCGGGTTGTTCAAAAGATGTGTCGTTCTTCTCTTTTCTGACGAATAAAAGTTGTTTTTGTAACAGTTCACATTGTGAAATTGAACCTTTATGGAAAAGTAGTTACCGGTTGAACGAAATAAAAGAACCTATTTGCGTCAAACAACAGTTTTGGTGAGTCGCTGTTATAGATTTCTCCTCATATGTCTATCAGAAGCTCTTTCGTAAAAAGAGCTTCTGTGCAATATTTTTTATTTTCCTGACTTCTGAATGAAGCTCAACCGGTCGATCATCTACCTCATTAAAAAGCTGACGCCAAGGCGAATCGAATGATATGCTTAGAAAAGGCGTAGCTGCTTTGGAAATCGAGATATGAGCCTTCAAAGATTAAAAAAAAATTTTTTTTTGCGCGTGAGATAAAATGCACTCTCTGAGGTTGAACGTCAGGTGAATGCTTGTCTGAGCCCCGTATCGGTGTACTTTTCTTGCTAAAAAGGAAAAGCTCAAAATTTTTTTTGACTTCTCAAGGTTTTTTCTGCATCAATCGATAGAGAAGCTTCTATATGGTACTGTTATCATGACACTTCTAAGGGAAAAGCTCAACATTCGAGTCAAAAAAAGACACGAAAAAGTCGCTTTTTTCCGACTTTCTAGCTTCATAACTCACTTTGTTTTAGAGCTACAATGAAGCTGATTATATCAATCGATTCGTCTTGAAGCCAGCTTTCCAATGATATGAATCTTCAAGAGATTTTTCGAACTGGGATGACGTTATAGATTTTTTCTTGCTTTCGAGCAAGTTTTAATGATAACCAATCGATAAAGATATTGATGAAGAATAGATCTGTTTACTACAATGAGGGGTAACTCAAAAACATAATTATGGAAAAGCTGGAATATCTAAAGCTTCTGGATGATTTTGATCGAATTTGTTGTCAATATCCTTCGATAGCTGGCTTTAAGACGAATCGATTGATATACTCAGTTCCTCTGTAGCTTCAAAATAAACTGAGTTATGAAGCTAGAAAGTCTGGAAAATGCGACTTTTTCGTGTCGTTTTTTGACTCGAATGTTGAGCTTTTCTTTTAAATGTGATATGATAACAGTACTATATGGAAGCTTCTCTATCGATTGATGCAGAAAGAATCTTGAAAAGTCGAAAAAAAATTTGAGCTTTTCCTTTTTAGCGAGAAAAGTACACCGATACGGGGCTCAGACAAGCATATGACCGGACGCGCAATCTCAGAGAGTGCATTTCATCTGACGCGCAAAAAAATTATTTTCAAAAATCTTTGAAGGCTCATATCTCGGCTTCAAGAGCAGCCACGTATTATCTAATTATATCACTCATTTCGTCTCGACGTCAGCTTTCCAAAAATGCAGGTCACTGACCGGTTAAGCTTGATCTAGAAGCTTCAGACTTGCTCCAGCTTGTAACTCGATGTTCAGATGAGTTATCGCCTAGTTCCACACACATTTGTTCGTCTTCAAACGCTCTATCGAACGATTATCATTTCAACTTGTTTGAAGGAAAAGCTGAGATGTAAGCTGCGCAAATCCATGACGTCATATCAGTTGGTGGAATCTCTCGAAGATCTATATCATTGGAAAGCTGGCTTTAAGACAAATCGACTGATATAATCAGCTCCTGTGTAACTTCAAAATGAACTGAGTTATGAAGCTAGAAAGTCTGAAAAATGCCACTTTTTTGTGTCGTTTTTCGACTCAACTGTTGAGCTTTTCCCTTAGAAGTGTTATGATAACAGTACCATATAGAAGCTTCTCTATCGATTGATGTAGAAAAAACCTGGAAAAGTCAAAAAAAATTTGAGCTTTTCCTTTTTAGCAAGAAAAGTACACCGATACGGGGCTCAGACAAGCATTCACCTGACGTTCAACCTCAGAGAGTGCATTTTATCTCACGCGCAAAAAATAATTTTTAAAAATCTTTGAAGGCTCCTATCTCGATTCCCAGAGCAGCTACGTCTTGTTTCTAAACATATCATTCGATTCGCCTTGGCGTCAGCTTTTTCAATGAGGTAGATGATCGACCGGTTGAGCTTCATTCCGAAGCTTGTAACTTTTCTCAGCTCAAATTTTCATTTTTTTTTTTTTGAAAATTGACGCGGAATGAAGTGCTGGGATGAAATCTAGGTGCAATTTTTTTCAAAAAGTCTTAGAAAAATTTGGTCTCTCGAAAATGATAAATTTTTACAGTTTTCAAAAAAACATAACTGGATTTCCCGGAATTTTTCGTATCTTCAGAGTTTAATCATTTTCTTGAAATCACCTAGCGATTGATAACAATCTTCCGATTTTTCCTAAGTTTGATCGTCCCTAACTAAGTTTCCAGTTGACCTACCTGGGTTAAACAAAGATTTTCTTGACTACCTTGATCTCCTCTATCGATTGATACTAAATTTGAGAAATTTCGAGATTTCGACCTTTTAATTTGATCGCCTACAACTTGGTATGACGTCATCGTTATACATTAAACACCTTCATGTCATATAACAGTGAAAAAAAGAGAAGCAAGCTTTAATCAAAAAGTATACGAACAACCCATAATTCAATGATAAAGTGAATGCGAAAAAAGGTGAAGGAAATCCGTCAAAAATCAAAAGGTTCACAAGAAAGCGGTATCATCAGTGCTATTTACAATCTCACATGAACAAAAAAAGAAAGCAAAGGCCCGTAATTTTACAAAGAAGAACCGAAAAAAAAACTATCGCAATGATATGAATTAAAAGCAAAATAGGCCTTCGAAGGAAAAGTACTAATTTTATAGATTTACATGAAGCATTAGAATTCACAAACCATAGAAATAAGGCAAAGTTTCCAAAAAGAAAAAAAAAATCAGAAACTTTCTCCCACCAACAAATTTTCTATGCTGTTACTATTGCAATAAAATGTGGAATTCAAGTTTTTGTCTCTAAAATCATTCACAAAACGTAAAAAAAAAACTATAAAAACGTTTTTTGATATTAGTAATCAACTTTATGTTCTTAAAACGGGCTTCAAGCCTAAAAAACTAAAAATTTGCGCTTTAAATTATAAATCTACAGCTGCGGTCTCAAATAGTGCAGAACCAACAGCAAACTGCATAAGGGGACATGACTTCAAGAAATTGCATTTTTGAGATTATCAATCCATCAAATAGTGTATTCGGGGTCAGTTTGTGGGGCTCCGGGCGACTCATCGGCCTCGTTTTCACTGGAGCCAGAACTTCGACGGTCCGAAGCCCTACCGACGCCCGAAGTACCGGTCGTCGAGCGGATTCCTAGCCTTGCGCTTCTCCTGACGCTTTCCGGCTCCATTGATACTGAAAAAAAATTGCATGTTGATGTACCGCCCCAAAAGTTTTTCATAATTGAAGTGGTCACTAAAGATTTACTTCTGTAGAGCATTTTTTTTGTGGAAAAAGGGAGACATTTCTTCTAGTAATCCTCAAGTGGTTACTAGAAGCGCGTAATAAGTGAAAATTTTTTTTTCAGTTCAAAGTGACCATTCAGGTTTTCTTTAAACTCTAAGTGATCCCTTAAGTTGATTAAAAGTGCAACTTTGAAAAGAGGTGCCTGTGAAATTTCTAAATATCTTACGTGATCTCAGACGTTCTGATTTTCAGTGACCCCTATAGGGCTCTTTTCAGAGTTTTTTCGTCTTTAACTTGCCAGAGCCATCTCTACAGTGGTCACTTCAGTGGCTCTCAAATTAATTTTTACCTTCTTTCTGCATTTTCTTCGACGCCAAAACCATGTCGTTGCGGATTTTCTCAGCGAGAAGGGCTTCATCCTGGAAAATGAGATTTCAAATACATTTTTCTTCTTTGTGGAACCTTCAAGCTCTCCAAATCTTTCGAAGAGCTAGCCGCTCCTTTGGAGACCTGATTTCGAACTAAAGCTTTGTTCCTTTCATCACGGTCCATGTACCAGATGGTTATGGCAAATCTTCAAGAAGAATTATTATGATTATAAAGTAAACTGTAGGATGAAACCTATGTCGGAAAACGGGCATCACTTCGTGGGGATTCCGTCGATCGGACCAGAAAAAGACCAATCGATCCGCCCGAGGATCGATGTCCATCGGCGTGGCTGAAGACTCGGGATACAGCCGGAGGGTTCCGCCGTCCTCAAAAATTTTCATTATTCAATCGCATGCTATGAGTTTTTGCTTCCATTTCATGAACACACCTCTTTGGACCGGAAAAAAAAAATGTTGCTCATAACTCCACAAAAACAGTACCAATCTCAAAATTAATTAATATTTCTTTCCAAATAAGTTTACCTTTTTAAGGTCCCAGTTCTCATTACAGTAGTAAATCGTGGTGATACATCGTCCGTCTTTCACCGGATTGTCGACGTGTTTGACGTAACGAGTGCCATTGCCAGGATATATAGCGAGCATCGCCTGGAAAAAGACAATATTAGTCAAAAATCCTATTTTTTGGGTAAAAAAAAGAAGCCATGATTTCCGAGCTTCTCCGCTCAAAATTTCGCTGAAGTCATATCAACTAACAATGCACTGATGCACCGCTACCCGGAGAACTATTTCATTCATTTTTTTCTTTAAAGTTATCTATTTTCATAATTTTGACCCGCAGCGACTATTTCTTATCAAAAAAAACTGATTCAGACCATCTTTTTAAAGCTATTTTTTCGCAGCTGGATTTCAATATTCACCCTAGATCTCCCGCCGATATCGTGCGAGACCCTCTGCTTGAAATGCTGGATGACCGAGTCGACCATCGAAATCAGAAGTCGGACTGTGGCGGCGTCACTTGCCCGCTTATCCGCTCCATCGTACCAATAAATCTGAAATAGATTTTAAATTTCGTCAATCAAAATTGGTTTGTTTTCATCGTTCTGAAAAAAAAATGGGCGTCTGGATAGAAAATTTGTGAAGCATGCAGTTGGTTTTTTTTCTGATATCGATGAGAATGAAATATTTCAGAGTGATGATAAAACTTGGTAAGGGATAATTATCCGAGATACTACTCTAATTATTCACAGAAGCTCTATTTTTCAAATATTTCGTGTGAAGTCATCACTCAAAGTGGTCGCTCTCATTTCGAGGCTTCCTTCTGGAGGACGGTCTCCGGGCTTCAGCACGAGATCCACTACACCCTGAGCTCGTCAAGGCGCAACTGAATGAACTACGCGCAGAAGAAGGAGGCAAAGTACCGCAAGATTATGCTTTTAACTTGATCATCTACACCGCCAAAGGCGATAGCGAGTTATAGCTTCAAAAGTTCTTGTTCGCCGCCTAGCCGATCACATTTATGACTACAACAAAATGGATCATTTTGCTCACTTGGTCCGATCGGATGTCCTTGATGTGGTACTCATCCTTGTTTCTTCCTTCCATCAGTTGGCCAGCGCTGAACAGTCCCCTCTCGTACAGTTTCTCAATTTCCCTGAAAACTTTCATTTTTTGTTGATATTTGAAACAATAATCGTTTAAAAGTGCGTCACAGAAGTTCAGGCCAATAAAAGTCAAAAAAAATTTTTTCGCATATTCTTCAAAAAGTTGATATAAAAATTCTTTTTCGAAGAATTCAAACATACTCGACTCAAACTTTATCGAGAAAAAAAAAACGCACAAAGCGGTGAATTTGCAATGTTCGGATCCCAGAAAGTTGTCGACGACCGCCCAGCCAAACTCGTTCAAACTTCGAATCGCATGTTCGGCAATGTACTGAGAAAATTGTTTTCATAATTTTTCGACTTCAAAAAACCAACACGAAGCCTCAGAACCATCGCCTGGTGCAAGTTCAGAGCCAATCCTTTTCCTTGGAGTAATCGTTGGTGTTCTTGGAGGCTTGTCTGAGAAAGGAAATCGATTCAATTGAAAATCATATAATTTAGTTACTGGAAAGATTCGAACTATTGGAACCAAATACAGATTGATTTTTATACTCGACTTTTCTCTTCCATATAAGTTATAATCTTTGAAAAGCGTTCTTTGATAGGAGATGAATGAATCATTTTTACTTTTTTTGAAAACGTAAGCCAATTTTCCCTTTTTTTTGCTCACCGAATAAACAACGTTTTTGTTGTGATCCTTAAACGGCACCTTCAGATCTGCACTGGATGGCGTCGATCTTTTTCTGTTCTTCAGGAGGGATCCTTTCAAACCTCCTTCGATTATCTGAAAGAAAGGACCTTGCAATCATTTCAAATAAGCTCCTAAAACAAAATAAAATGACTGAAAGTATGAAAAATAAAGTTGACTGAAAAAGAAAGAATCTAGTGAAAAAATAGAAGAAAACGACGTCGGAAGCCTCAAAAATAAATAAAAAAAAGTGAAGAAACACATTTTTTTAAAATTAAAATTTCGAGCCGAGAACCTCCTCGAAACTTGAAATTCCAGGATATGAAGAAAAATGAATCCAATAACATTTCGACGCTGAATCTTTCTATAAACTGGGGTGTTCCAAGCGGATTCGTGACAAACGGCAAAATGAATCTTTCTCGTTGAAAAGGCGGCGAAAAAACTCGCGTCGACTGCAATTTCGCACGTAGATTCTCAAACCGCATGAATATAATAAAGAATGGGGCTGGAAGTTTTCGAAAAGACTAACGAAATTTTAAGAGAAAAAGTTTCCGAAATCTAAAAATCTTGAGTGGGTACTTGAAAAAGCACTTCTCTATAAAAAAATTTGAAACATAAAAAGGGATATATGGTAAAAGAATTAGTTTCATTTTTTAAAGATTCAAGGCGATTGAGTCGACAACAGTTTTGAAAATTTGATAATTGATAAACAATGCTTTTTTTCGTAAGGAATTTTTTTTTAACATTCCCGAAATAAATTCCCCGAAAAGCACCTGAATATCAGGATCGTCCGTCGGAATGAACACTTCCTTGTTCGGCTGCAATTCCTTGGCACTCGGTGACGCTAAACGACAAACTTTCATGCCCAATCTATCTCGATTTTTTTCCTCCATACTTCAAGTCCAAAAGAAAGTTTGTCAATTTTTATCTCTGGATTTTAGCATTTTAGAAGATCCCTTTAAAGATATTCTGAATTCAGGAACAAACTGTGGGATATCTGACCTTGCAAGGCCGTCTTAACCGGGCTGAAAGCGGTAGCCGTCGAGGAGAAGGAGGAGGAAGAAGACGTCGACGGGGTGGACAAGGAGCTGAGCAACGCCGGCGACGACATCGTGTCGGAAGTGGACGGCATCGCCGAAGCCATGGTCGGTAGATTGAAGGCTTGTACTAAAAATGAAGAGTTCGAAACTGCAGAGTATTATGCGCTATAGACAAAGTCAGATGGACTCTCCAAGGCTGATTCTAACCGTTCCTATGAAAAAAGGTTCCTTTCTTCTGCATTTCTGCGTCATTATATCCGCGTTTATCGGCTTTTTCTCCGCCCTCTTTAATATCGTAAGACTTTGGAAGAGAGGTTTGCAGGGATCTTTTTTGCAAGTCGCTCTCTTTTGAGCCAATTTTCGGGACGTCTGACTTTGCCTGAGACGAACCACTTCCAGCCGAGGAGGAGCTCGCGACGACGTCTCGGTAAGGTCGGAAGGCGCTGAATTCCGTGACAGTGAAGGCGTTCTTGGCCGTTCCGAAGGAAGCCAAGGCGACCATGTTCTGGGCCAGTTCGCCGGCGATGAACGTCGGAATCGTCGGCAACTGCGGCAAGGACGAGACGGACGAAGATGGGGACGGATCCACGTGCTGGCCCATGATTACCGAGTTGGACTTGCGGAACTGAAGTGATTGGCAAAGCGACTTGTGCCGTACCCAGTCCGACTTCTGCAAAATTTGGAAATTTCTTAAGTTACTGTAAACTGACAAGTTGAACAATCCTAAAAAACAGATCTCAAGTTCGAAATGGAAAATATTTGCGTTCAGAAAATTTAACTTTTTGTGGATCTCATTTTGCTAAAGTTTAACTGAAAATTGATACACAAAAAATAGTTTTTCTCCTCGGAATTAGGTTTTTCGAACTTAAGAACTATCCACTCTTTTTCTTTACTTCTATCAGCTTATTGGAAAATTCGTATTTTCATCTCAAATAGAAAAAATTTAGGAAAGCTGCCTAATTCTGGCAGGCAATTGAGTTAAGAAAAAACTATGCCTTGAAATTTTCGAACTGAAATTCGCGCTAGAAAAACCAGAACATTTCAAAAACTAAAAGGATCTTACTTTCTGAAAGGAAAAACCTCGATTTGAAAGCCAAAAGAATCCACAAACTTCCATTAATCATGTAAATGAGTTGAAAAAATTTCAAAATTCGGGAAACATAAAGAGAATGAAGAAACTCATGACGAAGAAGAACAAAGGCTTTTCAATCGACCAGAAAAGGCAACCAAATGTTAACCAATTCGAAATCAATGGCCGTCCCCTTAAAACAAACACTCGTTTTGTCACGTAGCCGTTGGACGATAAGTGACGAACCGAAAACTTTCGTGTCAATTTCGGTCCGCCGTTGGACGAAATTGCAACATTTCATATTTGATAAGAAAGAGGAAAAAACGGTTTCTTCTCATTTTTCTTATTGATTGGGGCTTTTTCGAAGACAGAGTACAAATTTCTCATTATTATATTTAATTTTCGTGCAGTTTTCTTAAGAGTTGAGTAAGATTTTTTTAAAAAAATTACACTGAACTGGTTTGAAAAATTTTTTTATAAACTTAAGACAAGAAACTATCGATTTGCGTTATTTTTTTTCTTTTGGTTGGAAAAAACCATGAAAAATCGAGTGTTTTTTTCCTCAGTATCTTTTTTTCGAAATTTCAAAAAAATTTTTTTAATTTTTTTGAAACATACCTGATGTTCGCTGGAACAGTAAAATACAGTTCCGCAGAAAAGACACGGCATGAGGCGATTTTCCAGGGAACCATGGCCGCAGTACGAGCATACTTGCGACAGCTGCTAAAATATTACTTGAAAAAAACGAGGAAAAACCATTTTCATTGTTTTGAATTAACAATAAAAAAACCTGATTCTCATTTGGTTTTTTTTGATACCTCGAATTCGAAATTGTCTACATAAAAAAGTAATTTAGTTTTTTTTACAAACTATCTGAAAAAAAGGGACCCACAGTGTAGGCCTGTGAAGTAGATGGCTGGTCCGAGTCATCATAGACGTTCATTTCTTTCAAAATTCAAAATCATGTGAGCATTTCATGCTGCCTGAAACAAAAGATTGTAATGCATTGACAGAAAAACCAATAAAAGTGAGAATTTTAAAGCAAAGGCGAAAAAGATCTCGAAATGATATTTCTTTGGATGCACACAAATGAAAAAAGTTTTTGAACGCCTTCTGAAAGTAAATTATTTATTAAACGCTAAATCAAGACAAAATTAGAAGAAAATAGCGAAGAAGTAGGCAAAAAAGGAAAAAATTTTTGGGAGCAGCAAATCAAAGAAATTATTTAAAAAAATTTTACTACCACAAAAAGCTCACATTTTTCGTGTTCAGTACTACAATCGCCCTCAGTACGATTTTCAGAAAAAAACAAAAAAATGGAGAAAGAGCAAAAAGATTCTTCTGAAAAATTTTTTTCCTTCAAACGATCAATTTATATTTCGAAATGATTTTTTTAAGGGCGCAGGACTCGCAATGAAAAACATTTTAGGATTTTTTTCATGCCCCTATACATAAAAAAACGAAAAAAAGCTATGAAAAAAATCGTTAAATTATAGTGAATCGAGCAAGAGCTTGAGAAAGGCTTTTCAAAACGTTTTTGAAGAGTTCTGAAATTAACTAAGAAAAAATCTAGACCATTTCTTTTCGGATTTTAAGACTAAAATGAAAAATATTCAAGTTGATAACGGATGGCATTAGGCTCAGCGATTTAAAAAAAACACCTTTGAGAAGGGGAAATTTATGTTAAATTAATTTTAAATAGTAGCAATCAACACCAACCAAGTAAAAAAAAAGTTGGAAAACACATGAGCAGGAAGGAGAAAAAATCTAGGAAACCCCTCCGATAATCTACTTTTCTTCATAAAATTTCGAAAAACACTCTTTCGCACAACAATAGGCAACACCACAAGAGCATCAACAAAAACCTCAAAGACCGCAATTTGAAGGAAAAAGAGACGCCTCGAAATACGTGAGAATGGGGAAAAGTTCTACGTGGACAGAGCAGGATACTTACAAAATTTGGCGATAAGAAAAAATGACATACCTAATTTTGCGATAAAATGCTGATAGTTCGAGTGAAACTCCTCTTTAATCTCACTTGTTCAAAAGACCGAATCAAAAAGCTCTTCAAGTGACATCTAGAAGATATTGAGAATTTTTTCAGATAACTCTCAATTTTTTCCTCTTTATCTCGGCATTCACTTAGAACTCACCGGGAAAATTATGAAAATACCAAAGTTTTCGTCAAAAATTTCAATTTCTTAACTTCCAAAAAAGTTTCGCTGTGCGAAATTAGCGATATGTCGGCAACATTTTGGAGGTAAGGGGAAAATTAAGATCAAGAGTTACCAAGAGTTATTAAGAATTAGAAAAAAAGATAATTTTGGCGAACAATAATCGAATTGCGAACAGCAAAATTCAGGAGCAAAAATGTTAAAAACTTTAGGTGCAGCTGTCTCTAGCGAATAATCGAAGAATTGAAATGAAATGAAATGTTTATTTCGCTCACAAACAGATCTGTGGCGTGGAGGAAGAGAACCATGAAAGTTATATTTAATTATTGTTTTCATCAAAAAAATTAGTACCCCTAGAATTAACAATCTGAATACCGCTTGATATATCATAAGACATTTTACAGAGGAATGCAAAAACGGAATAATGAAAATGAGAATAAGGACTGGTAAAAAGGAATGTATTTCTGATAGCTCACACTAACGCAGTAGTGTTGCAACGCGGTTGAAAATTTGCCACTTTTCCAACCTTTTTGTCTCAAAAATTTCACAGAGTGTGTAAATGGGGGAATGAGTGATCGGAAATGTGATATTTAGAAAAATTATTTGGTGTAAATTATGAGATGAGATGAAAAAAGTTCGCGCTTGCGACTGATCGTGGGCCGATTCGGTCATCACCCTCGGCCCAGCGCACAGCTCTGCCCTACTGTCATATTTCCACAAGACATAAAGCCAAGAGTTCACTTAAATGTTCAGATTTCGATTCAACAACTGGATCATGCGAAACATTCAAAAAAATCGCTACGTGCAAAACGAAAAAAACATTTTTTTAATTGCGATTTTTTTCAAACAAATAAAATTGTTTAGTCTGTTTTTTGACAAATTCCAAAAGCTTGAAAATTCTTAATAGATTGAAATAACGAAGAAAAAATTTTTTTCCCGACAAATTTATGACAACTTCTGAAAAAACCAGCAAGAATTGCCAGAAAATTTGAGCAAATCGATTGGAAGAAAACCATTTCTTTCGTTTTGTGTTCAACTCAAACCGAAACAGAGCCCCCAACGATTGCACGTTTGCTGATTGGCCGAAACGTTGAATTCGTCACGTAGTCAAGGACAAAGATCTCTTCTTTCTCCTCCAGGCGCAAAAAATTTTTCTTCCTTCCCAAATGTTTTCCGTTTTTTTTCCAAAAATTTTTTAGGAGCTCGTTCTGACTTTCAACATATTCTTAAAAGCTAATCTTTCACATTTTTCCAGCGATTTTGGGGGTTAAACATATTTCATGAAGGTTCAAAAGAGCATATGTTCTTGCCGTTCCGTTAAAAAAATTGCAGAAGAAAGTGTAAAGAACACTCAGGAAAGGTGCAAAGTACATTGCAGCAGTTTGGAGAACAAATTATGAAGTTTAAAAGGCTAATTTATACTGGAAACGGAAAAAGGACCCTTTTTAGTGGTTTATTGTCTTCGCAACTACCCAATTGTCACTTTGAAACTGTTAAATCGTTTAAATAACACCAATGATTTTTTTAATTTAAAGAAAAAAATTGCTAAAAACCAAAAAAATTAGTTTCATTTAATAGAAAAATTCAATAAAAAAATTTTTCCAGAAACTTTCCACCTTTTTTTTAAAAATCCCTGAAACGACAAAGCTTCTTGCTTCTTCCATACTCTATATTAAAAAGAAAAAAAGAAAAAAAGGGTTAATACTGTGAAAAAGCAATCCAAGGGACAATTAAGAAATCGCAAGAACTTTTTTTCAATCATATATATTCCCAATTTTATTGAATCAAAAAAAGAATTTACAAAAAAACCACTACAAAAAAATTTTTCAGAGCGAAAAAAATTGAAACTAACTATAAACGAAAAGTTAAAAATAACTGAAGTTTTGTGGAAAAATGAGCGGCGGCGCCGGAAAATTTTTACGCGACGCTCCGCCTATTCTGCAAAAGGATGAGTGCCTTTTTGCAAGTCTGGGGCATAGAAAATTTTAATTTCTAATTCACTCCAAATGCCCAATTTTTCGAATAAAGCTCCTGGAGCAGTCATTAAAAGGGTCAATGAGACAAGAAATTAATCAGAATAACTTCTTGGAACATGAGACTTTGATAAATCTTTTGTTTTCTCAATTTTTTTCGGTATTTCAACTGGTCTCTGAAAAAAACAGCATATTTTCATACGCACTCCAATCAAAAATTTCAAATATTTATACAATAATCACAAAGAAGAAGTGAAATAAAAAAGCCCGTTTTGATAATAAAAATGAAAAATCAAGGGATAAAAAGAGATAAATTTACATTAAAAAAATTGATCAAATGAGGTTTCTGGTAATATTGAACAATCTTTGAACTCGCTCTTTGATTTTGGCGGATTTACTATGAGTTCTCCGTTTTTCATTTCGTCGTGTCGTTTCGCCTTCCAAGCCGGCCAAGATTGCCGCGTCGAACATCTGGAAAAAATTAATCAGACTCTTTTTTTCAATGGTAAATTCTTCAGAAAAACCTCTTTCAAATTGTGTTGAGTGAGAGCCGAGCATTCAAAGTGTTCGGCGCCCATTTGTTGGGCCAAAACTTTGGCCCGAGTTCTGGAGACGGCGGACTGTCGGGCTTGCCATCGGAGGTCCGTCTGTGTGCCGACCAAGATCACTGAAATTTCGAAAAATAAACTCGTTTTGATACGTGAATGGAGAAGAAATAGAAAAACATTTCCCGAGAAAAACTGATAAAATCCGTTGAAAGAAACTCATTTGAAGTCCTAACAACTATTCAAAAAAAAAGAGCAATATTCACGGTCTTTAAATTTCTTACCTTGAATGATCTTGAACTCCAAATTCTTCAAACCGTTGCCCTAGCACATCCAGAACAAATAAATCTATTCAAATTTATTCCGCAAAGTTCAAAATAGCCGTAAGGGAGTGAAAAAGAACAATAAATATTGAATAGTGAGAGATAATTTTAAATTTCTCTGAAAGTAAAACACTGCATTAGATAGTAGTAGACATTAGAAATTTAGTGCAATAAAAACTCAAGAAAACCGCCGAAAAGTAAGAAATTTACTGAATTTAATTGGATCTATCATTGATTTTTTTAAACTCCAATAATTTCTCTGCGAAACGAGTACAAGCTAAAAACTAAAAAACCGTCTAACTCGTAATTTAACGTCTACTAAATCTTTCCAGAACCCTATAGTCGTTCTCATTTGAAAAAGGTTATACCTCGGGTCCCAGGCGACCTTTTGGAGATTTCCGGCCACCAATGGAATCTGACGTCTTCAAAGGACTTCTCGTCGACAACCGAGTAGACGATGATGAAGACGTCGGCGTCAGAATAACACAAAGGTCGTAGTGAGTCGAATGACGACTGAAAATAATTTTAAGTGATGACTTTCGTACCGAGTCCATAAATTCGAGAGGCCGAAAAAATTGAAGAAAATTCAAAAGTCGAGCTTCGAACATTGAGAGAAAAAATAGTTATAGTGATCTCCACGAAGATACACCTCTAACTCAACTTCCCTTTCTTTGAAATAAATTTGGCTTTTTTTTTTAACATTTCGAGTTTCCAGAGCTTTCTTTTTACAACGTATTCGTTTTAAACGGAACATTTTTATAAGCTTTCGTCTCGAAAAGCTGCCAAAAAGGCTTTTCCAAGAGTGTCAGCAACAATATTTGTCTTGGAGAGAATCTACAAGCGAGAAGTGTCAAATCGGCTTTTGTGTGTGTATTTCTCGAACCGATGGGGTTATTTTCGGTTGACTGTTGACCCCCTGATTATTCGGTCCAATCGCGGCTTCGAATTTTCTCTCTCATTTGATTCTTCCATCTCTGCTCTTAGCAATGGTCCAGTTCCAATTAGCTGCCTTTTTGGTATTTATCCAACTAGTTGATGCCGGTAAAAAGTGAGACCTTTTTTATGATTTTATTATATAACTAAAGAAAATGGGAAAATCATTCTCATTTTTAACTAGATTAAAGCCTTCTTAATATAACTATTATAACTTCAAACTTTGATAATTATTCACAAAAAAAAATTCAGATCACAGTATAATTTGAAAATTTTCTATTTTCCCTGAATTTCTCGTCAATTTCCGGTAAAATACGCTTTTCAGAAGCTTTTCCGAGAGTTCCAACGTTGCAACTACGACGATCCAATCAGTTCCCTACGCCAAGATGAAAAACGCCAACGAATCGGGATCATCGGTTCAAATTTCTCACACATCTCTGGTTGGCCCCGTCGCCCGCGTTACCAACAATTTCAGTTAGTTTCAAACATTTTTCTAAACAATTTTCGTTAGTTCTAAACCCAGCTTTTTTCTATTTGGAATCAAAATACCGCGAAATTCCCAGATAGAAACTTGAGACAAAAACTTTTTTCCCCTCAATCATAAATCCTTCCTTATTTAACCTTTGACTATAACTACTCTCTATTTCTCATTAATTCCTGTCAGAAACTCCCTTTCTAGGCGCCCAGCTTGAATGCAATCTTTTCAAATCTTTCCCATAAATCGGCCAATTATCTGACCTGTCCGGCAGTGTCGTGAAGCTGGAGACGGATCGGCTTCTTGTCGACAAGTACAATCACTGCAAAAACACACACACAGTGATAAGCGAACTAATTGGGTGGCGGAAACCGGAAAAGTTGTCAAACGCCGTGGGAACGTAGTTGTCCGAGTACCCGTTGGTTGTGTAAGAAACTATGAGTGAGGTCTTGCCGACGGCGGCGTTGCCCACGAACACGCACTTCAGGCAACGACCTTCGCCGTTTTCGGGCCGCATTTTCGAGCTTCTGTAAAACTCGCGATAGCTTGTAGTCTAGAGATGGCAAGACTATCCGAAATTATAGAAATAGTTCGAAGGAATAGGGGAATGACAGTTTTGCTGGTGATAACCGAGTCTAATGGAAACCTCAAAGGATTTTTGTGGAAAAAAGGTTTGACTACAGCTGAGACCGACTGGAAAGAAATTTTTGACGAAATTTCCAAAAAAACTGTAAGGTTACAGAAAAAAAAGTTTTATTGCCCCATTTGGTTATTGTTATTTATATTGTTATTAGTTATTCTGGAAATCAGTTATTTTGGGCGCGTGAAATCTGGGTAACAAGGCAAGGTAAGCTAACGGTGAAACTAACACATCAGCATGACTTTTTAGAAAAAAAGATAGCGACTCAATGGAACTAAAAACTGAAGGGCATTTTCGGAACTTCCTTTTAAATAAATGTTTTGATTACACATGATCTTTTTAACATTCAGTACTTTCAGATAAAGTTCAAAAAGAAAAATATTATTCAGTTGAGAATAATTCTTCTAGTCTAGTCATAAATGACGCAAAGACTGTGGCTTCTTGTTTGAACCACCAACAATAACATTTTGAAAATCTGTTTCGTACCAAAAAAAAATCATTAAATTTATCGAGGGTATAATTTTTTGGCGCAGATTCAAAAACACATAAATCATGGACAACATGCGAAAGGGAATGGGTGTAAGAAAAATTCTGTTATCAGTGAAATGAGACCGGAATTTTCACACCTTCTCTCAGCTTTCTCGTTTGCAAAAGTTTCAATTTCTACGAGAAAGATATCGTTTGACAGCGCTTTAAAAAACTCAGAGAGAAAGCTTGAAAAAAAGAATTGCATCAAGAAGTTCGCATGTAAGTCTCTTATAAAACCTTGTCGAGGCTGAATCTTTCATAAATCTAAGATTTATTTTTTTCAAAAATTAAAAACGAAAAAAAGATAGGGTTGTAAAATAAACAGTTCAAATTCCAGAAAAGTGCATGAAAGAAAATGTTTCCGAATGAAAGAAAAAAACTTTCGGATGAAAGAACATTTTCAAAAAAATCAAAAGCTTTTTTTAAACTTTCAACAATAAATACTTACAATTGTTAAACTAACTTAATTATTTTTTGGGTACAAATAAAACTTCCAAGGCCCTGTTTCATAATCATTTACAGAATAAAGATGAAAAACCTATATTTTGCTGTCGAGTCTGACGAACTAAATCCGCTTGAAGATTTGCTTTTGAAGTTATTCGAAGAAAGAGAAATTGGATGAAGTCATCATACTTCAAAGTTGTTTTTAATTCGACCTATGGTCCTTAAAAATCCGTTTCAAATTCAAAACCTTCTCACTAGAGAATTGTAGAAGCATAGCCTGATTTTACAAGTTTCTAAGCAAAGAACTTCAGATTTTAAGTGTTATTTTAACTACTATGGCGCCTTAAAACACCTCAACGAGGATTTATAGCAACAGAAAAAAGTGCAAAAAGGGAAGAGAAAGGCCGTCGGATGGATGGATGGTTGGGTGGCAAATCAATGATGGTGATGGGTATAATCGGGAAAAGAGAGATCAGTGATAGTAAGGGAAGCCTTGGCGTCGCGTCGCCCTAATTAACGACGACAATGGCGTCGTCGTTTTCCTGGGGGTCGGAAACCGGAATCCGTTCATCATCATCCCACCAACTCCAGCAACGCACATTCTTCTGGCTTTTCTGGAAAATCCGGCGGCTTTTCGCACGTCGTTCATTCAGATTTTTGACAGTTCTCATAGCCTGTTTTGAATAATTTAGAGTGCGGGGAAGAAGATTCCCGTGATAAGGTGATAATCATGGCCGTAAGACTGATCTCTACAGTGCTTGCGGATTTTGAAAGGAGCATCCGCAAGGTTCACGAAGGTTTTGAAGAAAAGAGCCAGTGCTATTTCAGAATAATTTAAAATCAAAAAAATGCTCACAAATAACGAAATTCTGTCAGACTTTCTCTTGGAGGAAAAATAACGGAACAGTTTTCTTTCATAGTCCCAAGTTTTCCAATATAATTAGGTTTCGTCCTTCATTTTTCAACTAGTTGGCATGAAATAAATAATTTTAAAAAAATCAGTTGAGAATTATAACTTTTGCAAAAGCTTATCATAAAAAAATTACAGACACAGCGAGTCTTCCATGCTGCCGGGATCGCTTCGGGGAACAGGCATGTCAATCTTTGCGCAAAACTCATCCGGCTCTCTTCGAAAAGAGGTACCAAAACAATGTTTTACCTTAAAATTGTTTTAAACAGATGCCTTAGCGACCACGATTTTCACTCAATCGACTGTTGCTCTGAATGTCGCCGCTACATTGTCAAAAGTAGGCTTAAATGGAAGTAATTCGGTTTCCCAGAACCAACTGGATAATTTGGCAAAAGTACCTCTATTTTTAGATCCATCAGTTCATTCAATAGTTTAGTACCTTCAAGATTGTGAGAAAATAAGTCAAAAAATTCATTTTCAGACAAAATCAGTGCCGAAAATGCTCGCGTGCTTTTCAAAGCACCGAGTTTGTGTCGTGACAAGCATTCCGTCTCATTCTGCCGTCGGTTCAAAGCCACCGGCATGGGAAAATACAGGTAGACGTTGTTTTCATTTATGATCTTCAAAACAGAAAAATTCTCAATCGAGGAAAAACCGCCACATCACGGGCAAAAAGACTTGTAGAAGAAATAATGAAAAAAAAAATTCTTCACAACATCTTCCAAACGAGAAGCTCAAAAAAAGGACTGAAGAGTCGATGAAAAAATTCTTTCAAGTATTTTTTTTAAAAAGGTGCAAAACCAAGTTTTCTTTTCTTTTGAATGTTCATTGAAGGTCCTTTGAACTTCACCTGAACAGGATTTCTGACTGACTGAACAATTCACCTCTTTTTTTCCAAAAAAACCAACCAATAACGTTTTTCCAGTTGCGCCGACGCGGAATTCGCAGTCCGAGTGTGTCGCCACTCCTGTGGTTACTGTAACGACGAGCTCTACGCGGCTCAAAATGCTCCGCGACTTTGCTCTGCCGACATCGGAAACGAGACCGACATCGCCTTCAAACTCCTCCGAACTCCCAATTGATCTTTTCTTTTCTGAACGTTTATTTTTACTTTATTCGTAAGTCTCTGGGAGACAAACCTCAAGGTTGAGATCGATTCTCTTAATAAATATTTTTTCATTTCGAAACACGGAATACCGATAATATCATCATGACAAAAAAAAAGATAAAAAAGTTTCAATAAATTATTTATTATCATAAAACACAAGGCATTACAAATGGAACTATGTACATAATTTGAAGTCGGAGATCCTCTCAGTTGGATCCGTCGATTTTGCGGGCAGTTTCGCGAATCTTGTCGGCGACCTTCTCCCGGGCGCGTTGCTCCTGAAAAGTTAATAAATTGTAGTTTATCGATCAACTGTGCGATAGTATTATGAGTAGCTTTCAAAAAAATATTTCTCTAAAAAAACACAGCAATCAGTTTTACAAACGTTCGATTGAAGCCTGCAAATATCTACAAAAAAAGCTTTTTATTTCTTCATACGAAGTGAAAAAAATTCCGGCGTTTACAAAGTTTTGAATGAACTCCTCGAATGATATAAAAATAAAAATATTTAAACCACCTAAAAACTTTTTATCTTATTCTACCTTCTGCTTAATCGATTCCGTCGCATCGTAAGCTTTCCTAGAAGCTTCTCTTTTCGCTTCTTCCGTCGTTCCCTTCAAGCTTTCAAGCTTTTCAGTGGCGGCTTCACGAAGGTGCTCAGCCTGAGATTACAATATTTTTCTCATATATTCAGGTATCATCCACCTTATCCGCAACGTAGTCCTTGGCCTGGGCCGTAGTGTCTTTCAAAGTTTCGTAGCGCTCCGAAGCCGCCTCTTTCAGGTCATCCACCTAAAAACATTTTTATCAAAAAATCCATTTCACAAGAAAATAAAATAAAACCTTGTTCTGAACATTTTTCTTGACGTTTTCATAGGCTCCAGCAACGCCGCCCTTGGCTTCATTGCCACGGACCTTGGCCTCAGCCCAATTGGCATTCGCTTGTTCACGAGCGTACTTCACCTGAGAAGAACAAAAGGTTAAAGTCGAAAAATGAGAAGAGTAACAATGAGTTGAGAAAAAACAATAACCGAAGTAAAAATCGAAATATATTTACTATAGTAAATACCAGTAATACGGAAAAATGATCATTTACCGGAGAAAAATCGAGAAAATTTTTTAAAATTTTACTATTGCGGATGCTGACTGAAAATTAGACTCCCCAACGTAATTTTTTTTTAAACTTATCAATACTGAAATACAATTAGGCTTCACAAACTTTTCAATCACCTTATCAGCAGCCTTATCCGTGTAATCTTTCACAGTCTGTGCAGCTTTATCTTCGGCTCGCGGTTCACCGACAGCATTTTTAAAAGCATCTTTCAGCTTTTGGCCAGCCTCGGTGGCCCTGTCGACGATGTTCTTGCTCTAAACATAAAAAATATCAACAAAAATTCTGAATAACTCACATTGCCCAGAGACCGGTAGATGATCGATGATTGAAGAGGGCGTAAAAACTGGCTCGAAATCATTTTCGTTTCTGAAAAAATTTGTCAACGTTAAAATTCGAAAAAAATTACATATTCTGCCAAGATTTAGTGAAATCAATAGTCTATATGAATTTGAACTATGAAGAAAAAAATTTTTAGCAGCCAGTTAAGGATATCTTTCTGAACGCGCCGAAAATCTCAAGATTCTTGCAAATTGACAAAAAAAAAATATTTTTGAAACTGTTTTTCTCAATTGAACACGCCGTCAAACTATAATAAAAAACATGCAACTCACCAATAGTAGAAAATTACAGATTAAGACTGAAAATTTTCATTCCTTTTATATATCCCAAAGAACTTGTTTACGTGAATGATATCATAATGACGTCACCAAAATGACGTCAAACTGCTCTAGATTCACGGAAAACTTTTTTTTGACGATTTTTGACGAACCGGCAAAAAAAAAAAAAACAGTTCAAAGTATGTACCCAAATACAAACTGAAAAAAATAACTAGTAATCACTTCCTACCTTTTTAAATAAAAAAATATTTGTTAAAAAAATTTTCTGAAAAAGTATTATTTTCTAGAAAAACTGGCACCTGATTTCAAATTTATAAAGTTCAAATTTATTTTATAAATAAAAATAATAACTAGGAAACGAACGAAAAAAATTATAGTAAAGTAATATAATCACACAAGAGAAAAAAAAATTTGAAAATTCGCAAAAATATATCACAAAGACGTAAGTCTGCACCTAATAAAACATGCCACGCGCATTCTTCAAAAATTGTTACGAAAAACATTAATGTACATTTTAAATATAAAATAGAAGAAAACAAGAATAATTGTTTCGGGAAATAAAACTGACGTTAACCCACTTTATTGTATGAAAAAATGGCCGCCGTATTGGCCGTCTTGTTTCTTTTGGCTCTTTTTTACTACATTTACAACTTCCCAGTGAGTTCCATGACTTTTCGAAAATTCCGACCGGAGCTCCCAAATAATCATTGACAAATTTGAAATGAAGAAATCTATCGAGGCGAAGAGCCGTTTTTAATATGATTTAGGTCATGGGCCTTTAAATAGCTCAGCGACGGTTTTCAACGGTCTTTAACTGAAATCAGCTAATTTAAGAGGAGCTCAACGTCGAATGAGACCACAACGAGTCCGGTTATAACTATGAAGACTGGCAATAGTTTCACGTTAGAAAAAAGTCGATAATTTTCCCCATTAACCATTTTAGATCAATAAATGGAGCCGGTGAATCGCTGGTCACACCTCGTTCAATTTCCTACGGCACTGAAGTGACCGGTGTTTCTCTCGCCACCGCATTTTCGGCCGTGAATATTTGACTCACTTCAGAAAATCAAATTCAATACTTCTTTCAAAGAACTGCAAAAAAGGGGCGTGACTAACCAATCAAAAATTTTGTTCGTTGGAGCGAGCTTCAAAAGCTTCAATTATTGCTCGAAAAAATATTTCACTCACAACGACGTTTTGTAGCTTCTCACAGCACAGAAAAGCCGAAATTATTTATTTTCGCGCTAAAACGCGTTTGCGACCTTTCTTAAGCCCTTTTGAACCATCTTCTAGAGAACCTACATCAATAATCTACTAGAAGAATTCTAAAAACGATATTCTTAAAATCAAGATACAGAAATTACCTTTCAGCGCTCTGGAAACAGCCAAATTTCTTCTTATGCTTCTTCGTTGGTCAGTGTCCGAAGCTCACCTTTTGTAAGCTTTCCTTCGATTTTTATCCTTCAAAAATTATTTTTAGGAGCATGACGTTTCTACATCAGATGATAACACGGAGGTCGACGTCTCAATGTGATTCCCTTTTTTGTCAATAAAAACTTTACCAGGCAAATTTGTTCCGTTGTCTTTGTTTGAAGGAGGCTTTATTCTGTTTTAAAACCGTTTCTATGGATTTTTTGAGAGGCAAAAAGCTTAAAAAAACTGAAAAAGATTCTCCGCCGAGAATTTTATGAAAATTTATAGCCTACGGGAGCTTTTTTTTTTCTTCACTATTTCCTTCATCTTTCCAGGAACCATTTTTAAATTTGGAAACATTTTTTTAATCAATTATTTATTTCTAGTTTTAGTCACTTGCATAGATCTCTTGGTCGGATTTTTTTTCAGAAACTTTCGATGCTTTAAAAATCTTGAAGTCTTTTTTTATGATCGTTATGCCGTGTTCAAAGTGATTTCGCGAAACTCAAAAAAGCCATTAGAGAAAAAAAAGATAACTGATTTTTGGAGAGTCAGAGATAGTTTTACATTTCGCAGAAATTACTTTGAACACGACATTATAATAAACTCTTGTTTTCTATCAACAAATGAAAATGAATACGTTGAAAGTGAGAAGCGAAGTCAACGAGGTGACTCGCCATTTCAAGGAAGGATGTTCATACCAGCGTTTCTGTTTCTGTCTGCTCTTTTGTTTTATATTTACACTTATCCCGTTGGTTTTTCATTTTTTTTCTCAACTGTTCACTACAGTTTTTCGCTCAGCAAGCTATGAATGAAAAAGGTGATTCAGAAGCGCAGAACAACAACACCCGGATCCAGACAAAATACGACCAGATCGACGCAAAACGGGGACACAACGAGGTACAAGCTTCTATTTATTTTTGGAAGTTTTGATTACCCATTCACCACCAGCTTTTTGAAAACTTGTTGTCAGCGAAATAGTGGGTAAAATAAGATAGACTACAGAAACCTAAACTTTTTGAAAACTGCGACGTCAGATGAATCGAGTGAATGAAGATTTGAAACGGTTCAAAAGTTCAGAAACAAAAGTTCTACCAGCGAACTTCAGCTTCGGATAGAATCTCAAAAATGATCAATTTTTCAAATAATTTCTTGGCACTCCACTCTCTCACTAGTTCCGAAATATTAGTGAAAACTAACAGATCCTTTGATCTTCGACTGGAACCAGTGGCGAAAAACTAATTAAATTCAACGGATTTTAGGCCAACATTGAAGTCTACAACGGCTGTCACCGAACCCACGGCTGTCAGTGAATTTCTTCCTAAACAAGAAAAAAAGAAGAAAATTCAGACGGAGCCTCCAACAAACGAGCCAACAGAGACGCCAGTCGCCAGCTCATTGACGAGTTCCTCTTCTGATTCCTCGCAGAACAGTTAAAAATCCAATCAGAACTTCTACCAAGTATTTCAAGGATTTGAAAGTTCTGTAGTGAGCGCTCAAGAGTTCTAGGAGCTATTCGAGTGTTCCTGACTCTTTTAATCATCATCTCTACAAGGATTACTGAAAAATTTTCGAAGTTACCTGAGATACCTCAAACTACTATAGGGAACACTCTGGCCCTCTGAGAACCCACCAAGAAGCATTTTCAGGTTATACTGAAGTGCCAGGTTTAGAAAGACTAAAAAATTCAAAAAAAAAAAATCAACCTCAGAAACTTCCTTGTGTTCTCTTCTTATAAATCGAAAAATCTCAGGCTCGCCGACTTGCGTGATCGACTCGGCGGCTTTCATCAGTGCCATGGAGCGCAACATCCGAGGCCGATAGAGTAATTTTTCCCTTTTCGACACTTTTAATCATTTCTTTTGTAGGTCCCAAAAGGCGCCAGAAAAGAACGACAAAAGCAATCCAAAAGCAATTTGTTTGAAATTTTTGTATCCGATTGGATATAATGAACAGTTGAAAAGAGAACTGGGTGTTTTTCTCAAAGTTACTTAATCGATGAAGACTTCGCGTTCCTCTTTCTTGAACTCGAGCTCCAGCTGGATGATTCCGACGTTCATCGTCACGTTGGGCACTTTTCCAGAAGTGATGTACTTGTCCGGGAGCGTGAACTTGACCTTGCGATGGGTTGGCTGCAAATTTGGCTTTTTAGGAGTTTCAGAGTCGTCTAAGATTTATTAGAAAGGTCTAGAAGTGGTACTGATTTTTTTTAATTTTTCAAAAAAAAACATTTTGAGGCTTTTTCTGTCATATTTGATAGAAAAAAATTGATTTTTTACAAAAAAAAAATGCCATACCGTTATTTCATCGTTACAATCGTGATAGATCTTCAACACTGGATCAATTGGCGTCGTCTCACTGGTCCAGCCTGCAATTTTTTTCGATTATTCATTTTTTTATTAAAAAAACTTATTTTTTTAATAAAAAAATACCTTGTAAGTAGAAGCTTCCATTGGCGGTCGAGTAGCCTTGGTCCAGAAGATCATCCGGATCAGGACCTGATCAAATTTAAGCTTGAAAAAAAAATCTAAAGATTATTATCCGACCAATCAGAGCGAAAAAAAAAGAAGAGCTTTCAATAGTACTTTTCTGGAGGGTTAAAAAAAGCCTGGGAGATGAATTTTATTTTGGGAATGTGTTAGTCTATCGAAAAGTCTATTTTTATGCACATAAATTGAAATTTTACCTAAAATATCGGTTTATGCGCAATTCTCTTTTTATTTCATTTTTATTTTTTTTTTGCTCTCTTGACGCCGAAGTTTCGTGATATATGATGATCCATTTTTATAGTCTGTATGCCACGACTTGAAATTTCACCGAACGGCATTCCGGTGTTCCGCTGCGTGCGTTCGCGAAGCGTCTTTCGAATCTAGGTCACACTTTCAATTGATTTTTATTGTTGTGGGAGCACATGAAAGTAGAAGTTCTTAATAAAAAATGAAAAAAAAATTAACAGCACGGTCAAGTTTCGCAAAGGCGCGCAGCGGCACAGCGGAATGTCGTTTGGTGAAATTCCAAGTCGCGGTACACAGACTATACAAGTTATATCCATTTTCTCCTACCAAAAACTTGGTTTGAGGCTAGGAACCAATATCATAGACTTTCTCACCCGTATCCTCGTCCCAAAGCTTGACCCTGACTTTCTCAGCTGGCTGATCTCCACACATCAATATGCCTGAACTCGGAAGTTTCTGCTCAAACTTATTATGTTCTACTTCTTATTAAAACTGTTTTAAATCAGTATTCCTGACCAACCTCTCACAGCAACCGACTGGTCGGGCCACGAATAAATTCCCAGGACAAAAACTGAGAAGCCAACCACTGATGCGACTATCATTATAGAGCTGGTACAGAGAACACAAATCAATAAAACTTTCTGAAACACATTAACTTTATGAAAATAATCGAGATTTGTTACTTAATGCCTAGAAGATCTACTGACTGAACTATGCGTAATCGTTTTTTTTTCCTTGTACTACAAGTTTTACATTCGGAGGAATTAGTTTCGGCTTACAGCGGAATTTTCAATGTTATCAAGTCCAATATATGAGTTTTCAAGTCTGATTACGCGTAAAAATAAGCGTATACGCTTCAGTGCCCGTAAACGACTTGGAAGGTGTGTGAAAAGATATGGTCGCAGATTTTTCATTCTCTACAACTCATAACTTTTCGAGAAATTAATATTTTAAAAATAAAACTTTTTTTCTTCTCAAAAAACCTAGAAAAGGTTCTTAGATTTGATTTACGTCTTTTTAGAGTGAAAAAAATATCAAAAGGATGAACTTTTTGATTGAAATAAAATTTCTCAAAAAAAAAAAGTGAACAACTTCTACCACAAGAGTCGTTGTGAAGAGTGGGAAATACTGAAAACCGGTCAGTTTTTGAGAGGATAAATACTTTTTTCCTCAATTTTATATCCTCCTTTTCGCAATAGTCCATTCGGAGACCAGTTATTTTCAAACTGACTCATCTTTTTGGGCCTTTTTTCACGTTGAAATCGAACTAATCTCAATATCTTCATTAACAAAAAGAAACAGTGGGAAAAGAAAATTGTTTTTCGTTGAGGGGGTCGGAATCTAGACAATAGTGTGTATTTATATTTTTGTATAATTGAAAATATTTTTTTTCGCTATTCGTTTCAGGGACCTTTCTCGAAAAAAAGAGAAAAATGAAGCAAGAGAGGCCCAGTTCGATGGTTCGATTTTTTTGAGGTTTTGTGTTGGAAATATAAGCAAGTTCATGGAAAGTTGGAAGGTTTTTCCAATTCAAAGTACAAAGAAAAAGTCAAAAAGACGTCCAACTTTCCACACAGCAGGAAAAAAAAACAATAAAAAGAAGAAAAAATCATGGAGCATTTGAGCTAGATTTTCGGTCAACCGCGTAAAATGACCATACAATGAAGAAAAAATTGATTTGAACAGTAGAAAAATTTTTTTTGAAAAATCAAATCTTACGAGAAAATGAGAAACGGAATGGATCTTGCAGATTTGGCAAAAAGACAGAGAAAGCCAGCTAAAATCAAACTTTTTGAGAAACATTTTTGAGCAAAATACTTCAAATTTTCGCGGGGTTTTCTCATGAATAAGCGATGAAATTTTCTGACTGAAAGATCTTCGAATTCCACATTTTCTGTTTCTTTTTTAAATACATTCCTATCGGCCAAATCATCAAAGATCCGAGAAAAAAAAACTGAAAACAAAGCAAAATGAGGCACGAGGAGCACCGAATATTTTGACACGAAATGGTGTGGAAAAAATGAAAATAAAAAATGGCAATTCTTTTCGCATATAGTCGAGCACAACAGGAAAAATATATATTCATGGCAAAAAAGGAAAAATGAGAAAGAGGCGTTTTCGAGGTATGGGAAAAATAGCCGCATGATTTAGAGATATTTAAAGGAAAGTGCGCTCGGCGGATAACTTTCTATTTTCCGGCTTTAAAAATTTCGCATTTTTCATGGTCAATGTAGCCGCGTGAAGCTTTTTCTTTGAAAACAACTTTTGCAAATTATCGTTGGAGCGCAGATTCTATGACCAACCGAATCTATTTCTTCCCAAACGCTCGAAATTCAAAATTTGAACGATTATTTGTGAAGGAAATGTGAGCAAATGGTGAATCAAATTGAGCAATTATTAATACATCAAACTATATATATATATATATATATGAAAAATAGAATTTTTTTCTCTCTTTTTTTCTGTCCACCTAGATCTATCTGCCAAACTAGGAGGGAAAGCATAAATTTCACAAGAAAAAACAAACAAGAAAAGTGTCATTTTTATGCTTGATTATTACTCGCTAGCACCTAAGTCTCCAAGTTGAAGATTGGGAGTAAAGAAAGGAACAAAAATTGGGGAGTCACTGAGAAATTGGACCACGTGTCGTCGTATTTTGATGTGTAAAATCATGAATGATATTGATAATTGGCGATGAGAATTTGTTGAACTTGTTGATGTTGATGTCGTCGTTGATCTTTTTTCTTCTTTTCAGCTGACCATCTGCTGGGGGTAGGGTGGCGGCGGCGGCAAGAAGTGCAACCTGAGAAAATGAGTTCTTAAACCACTTTAGGTTGAAATAGAGGACTTTAGAAATGATTAAAGTCAAAAAGATTGAGAGCAAGAAGGACACTAAAAATTGTTCCCTATCAATGTTGCAACCGACCCGTTGTGGCTTTCGACCGCCGTCCGTCCGTACGTCGACGACTTGACCGACAAGAAGTTCTGCTGGGCAGAATCCAAAAAGTAGTCAGCGCGGTGAACATTGGAAGGTGGTAGTACTGTCACTGGAAAAAAAAAAATGGTTTTATTGAATCTTATCTATAAACAATTCCAAGATATGCTTTACACAACAGAATGTCTTACACGACAGAAAAATGAATCAAGTTTGATGAATTCAAGGAAAAAAACTAGTTGGTCTGATGAAGAAGATGAATCTAGAACTCCCTAGCTGAAAAAGTCGATTAACTGTTCGCAAACGTGCCCTACCGATAAAGTGTTCTAATTTCGTTCAAATGGATGCTAAGATCTCCAAAAAGTCTCGGTACTTGTTCTAATAAGACTATTTTTTTCTTTTTTTCTTTCTTCTTTTTTTCAGACTTCTTTTTTTTCGAATTTCTAACCTTTTAAAAACAAAATTTATCAATTTCCAAAACTAAAATTCAAAAAAATTCGGAATAATGGTCTGAAATTTACCAGCGGCGCCGATGCTGTCCGAGGTGAGGTCGATGCAAGAAGAGGGACGTCGATGATGGGTCAAAAGTCCGTTGGATTGGTAGATTCCGCCGTTTGACGGAGGAAGCGGCGTCGCCAGGCCGTGCGACTCTTTCCACAGGTGGTGCAGCAGCGGGAAGTTTCGAAGTCGCTCCGTGGAGAGACCCTCCTGGAAACTCATTTCTGTTGAAGCTTCTCTTTAGTTTAATCATACTCTGTTTTAGAAAACGTCATTTTTCAGCTGTTTCTCAATGGGTAAACAAATCTTTTTCTGACCCTGGAGCGCTATTTCGAAGCAATCGATATCAAAAGTCCACTCATTCATTCAAAAAAAAAAAAAACCAGTTGAACAATTAAAAAAAATCGATTTATTCCAAGTTACGGTGTCAAATGAGCTTCCATCCTAGCTCCCCTTAACAAATTCCACCGTAGGTCGGTGTTTCAAGCAATCTTTTGTCATTTAATAATCACTAAAGTGGTATCGATGTCACTCCAACGTTCTATTGAGTGGACAGAGTCCGCAGAGACTTTTTGATCCGCTTCTGGTCAACGAATAAGGGACAAACTACTTTTTCATCAATCTTTCAACCTTGAAAATGCTCACCTCATCACGCAGAACTTGGCTGAACTGAGTGGGAGTCGCGGAAGCGGGCGGGAAGGAAGGCTGCCCGCCGGCCGCCTCCGCCGGCAGCGGACCTGTCGACATCAGCGACGGCATCTGGACGCTCGCCGCTGGCGGATGTTCGTAGGGCGGCGGATTCTTGGGCCTCGACGGGACGTGCAACGAATGGGCGTGATGTAAGGAGCTGGCGGCGTGGTAGTGGTCGTCGACGGCTTGCTGAAGAGAGCTCGTGGATTTCTTGAAGAGTTTTGGAAAAATTGTTTCTTATATTTTTTCTAGACAGTCTCAGGACACAAAAATTAAGTACGGACAGGTCGATAGACGTTGACGTGATAGTGGGAAGGCATCGAATGAACTCGGTTGATGGCGTTGGAAGCCCGACTTCCGGCAGAGTTCTTCTTGACGAATCGGCCAACGTTCGACGCTCCCGCGTGCTGATCAAGAGGCGGTCGAGACCAAAGCTGCAACAATTGACCCTCAGACTTGTAACTTATAACTTTTTCATATAAAAAAAAAAGAAAAAGAAAATTATCATCTTTCTAAGCACCTCTCCATCAATCTCCGGCTCAGATCTCGTCATCGACGTCGGCATTCTGTCGGTGGCCATCGAGGCGACGTGCATCAACATTTGCGTGGACGGTGGGGAGTAGGACCTGAATGAAAGAATTCCATAAATTGAAATCTGTAAATTAGGCGTTAAAAGAAACTTTTCTTTTCTGTTATCTTTTCGACGCTTTTTTGAAGATTCAGTGGTCCTTCCGCACTTTGCACCCTTCCCACCGATTCACCTTTGATTAACAGCCGGTTCATCGTAACTGGGCGGCTTTTTGAGCCCTGTCGTCCTCAGATCGTGCATCGAAATCGACTGAATCGGTACAGATCGTCTCGTCAACTCCACGTCATCCGATGCCGTCGAGCTTCCCTGGAATCAACACTTTTTTCAGCAAAAAATGTCCTAATTTCCGTCTAGGCTCACAAGATGCCAATGGAATTCATGGAATGTGTTACAAGTCAAGATAAGCGTTTCAAAAATTCTGATAGTCACCTGCTCGATCTCGCTGGACTGCTGTACCGACTCGCCGCGGGATCCGCCACAAGCCGTATAAGGCATTTCGTGTAGGTAAGACGACACTCCGTAAAGTTCTTCGGCACGGCCAAACTTGGTGTTGAAGTTGACGTCGATGGGAGCCGATCTACTTCCAGACTCGACGGTCTGGGAAGCCGAGTCCACGGATGACGGTCTACTAAATAGAAAGTAAATATATTCTTCTAGATTGAGCGAAATCGGGACAAATAACATTCTGATCTTGCTTTACGTCGTGCTGTTGGCGCTTAGCCAGTGAACTCTTGCCAGTTAAAAAACAAAAAATACTCTCTGAGATTCAATCTGTGTTCTAAACCAACTTTTGAAAACTTGAAATTTTGCTCAAGCGAACTAACTTCTGAAAAAGATACATAATGATTTTATGAGAAGCCCAGCTCGATAGAGCAAACTTTACAGGTTTGCTAAGAAATTCAACTTTTCGCTCTAGAAAACTGAGCTTCTCATTGGCTCACTAAGTCTCCAAAGTGGAAAAGAGGCGTGGCCAGCTAATTATAAGCACAGTTCTGTTGAAAGAAGATTCAAGAATTTACAAGCTGAATACAAACGTACTATGGTTTCTAAAGACTTGGAAGCTAGAAATCTTTCCTAAAATGTCTATATTCTCACCCAGTATCGATGGAAGGCAGCTGAGAATTCGTCAATGGATGAGCGTCCAACGACGAGTTGTTCATCTGAATCTTCTTATCATTTATCTTCAGAGTGTACTGTTAATATCTACCGTATTCTTCCTAAGTTCCGGTCTCGATCTGGCGCTCTCGTCACTCGCCTTGCTCGACTGCGAAGCGGCTCTTTCTTGTCGGATATCTTGAATTGAAAGGACTTTATTGAGCGGAGAAAGAATGAGAACGCACTATCGAGCTCCATCTTCTCAATTTTGACATCGAGGTTCGAGTCCATCTTGATTCGTAATCGAAGTTTCGAGGAAATCGACCCATGGCCTCTGTCGCAAGCACTGCTCAGGGAGTCGGAATCTGTAAAATAATGGGTTACTGTTTCAAAGAAATGAGATGGTTCCCAAGAGAAATTAATGTCATTCATGAGAAAATTTGAAGTGAAAACGGCATTCATTAATTTAAATATAGACACTTTTTTTTCCCTTTTTTTCAATAAATTCATAACGCGAACTGTAATAATCTGGTCTGTTTGTACTTTCACTTACCTTACTTCTCTAAAATCGCTTGAAGAGAAAAAAAAGCGCATTAACGCCAAGCAATTTCAATTTATGACAAATAAAACTGTTAGATCTTTTTGTGAAAACGATACTCTACGAATCCTTAAGAAACCTCAAAACTCTGACGTTTTAGGACCCAATTCAACAGTTAAACTTCAGACATCTGTTGAATCCGGATCCATGAGTCCAATCAACGGTTTTTTCCATTATTATCGTAAAAAGTTCCGAGTTTTCCTCCAAACCTTTGTCTTGATCGCCGCTTCCGATGCCGCTGGTGGTCGTGGAGGTGCTCAGTCGATCAACAGACTTTTCCTGGTACGGCTGCGGTAAAGGTGGCATCCTCGCGTACAGGTGTGACATCACCAACAGGGTCTGATGGACTGCTCGGCAAAGTTCCAGTAGGTACCTGAAAAAAGAAATAGATAAATGAGGAAACCTTCCGGATATTCGGAAATGTCAAAGATATCAACTCAGTAATGGTTATCGGGAAAATAGTTAAGTTAACGACTTAGTAAAATGAAAAAGTCGAAAATTTCAGAGTCGATATCTCGACGGAAAACAAAGAAATGAACGTTTTCAATGGTTTTTTGAGCACAAAATGTTGAAAAAGTTATTGGTAAAAACACAAAAAATAGCCCAATCTTTTGTTCTCTATAGGTTCACAAATGGCTCAAGGCAACGCGGCGGAAGCTTGAAAAATTAATATATCACATCCAAATGCTCTAGCGCGCAAGTCTTTTGAGGTCGGTTGCAGCCTTTTTGCATGTGTTACTCTTGCTACCAATTTTCTCAACTTTCTCATTTTTCCAACAAAAAATCACAAAAATCGAAAATTCATAAAAACTTTTTCTTTCAATCTTCGGAACTCATACCTCGCTTTGCTCTCCGTCTGCGCGTAGAGTGACATTTTCGTTCCATCCGATCCAACAATCGTGAGCTTCTTTCGATCAAACGATAGCCTGAATTGGAATCTCATCATTTATTTTCCAAAAAAAGAAGAAAACCAACCTCGTAACTCGGTTCCAGAGCAAAGATCTCAGTGGGATACGGTCACCGTGTTCAGAAATGTCGCACATTTCGATTCCTCTGAAAAAAGCGATGAAACGGGATTTCATGAATTCTTATTGAGATAAATCGATATGAAACGAACTTCGCATTGATCGCAAGGACAGCATTATCGACGCTGTCCATTTTATGCCTCCGCAACCCGTACAAATGGCAATTCAGTGCAAAGGGCGATCTGAAACGCAAATATTCCATTAATCATTCAGAATAAATCTGGTGGAAAATATCGAAACACCTCTCCTTCTTTAATTCAGTTATTCAATCACTGTTTCAATTTTGAACTTGAGAATTTCTTCTGTTTCTAAGAGCTTCTTTTTTTCAAAAACTTTCCGCGTTTGAAAGAAATCTTTCCCGTGACTTGAGAACAGTATTTTCGAACTAACTTGATATTTTATTTTTTTTGAGTTTTGATATGTTTTTTCCTTTCCTATTACTGTAAAAGTAAGTCTAAAAACGCTAATGCTAGCATTTTTTTTCCTCTGATAGCTCATTTCAATTTGAAAGTTAAAACAATTACCGACTAGCTTCCACAGCGAACTTGGTCATGGCTTCCTGCTGTTTCATCGCTCGAAGGTCGTCACAAGCGGCCGGCATGTTGTTCCGAATATATTCAAGACCTCTCTCATTGATAACCCACAGTGGAAAGTACTGTTCAGCTCGGAAGTACCTTAAAAATAACTCGTTTGTCGAAAAATGATCCAAGAAAAACGTAATTCAAAACAACAAAAAATGATCTCAGTTTCACGATTTTTCCACAGCTGTGATAATATCGGCAGACCGTCGTGAAAATCTCATCACCGATCTTTTGGAATAAATGGCAAATAAGAGGTAGGCGGCGGCGGGGGGGAACCGAACCGGCGAGCCTCAGAGCGGCGCGCGAGGCGCCTACCGCCTGCGCTAAACGACGTACCCTTGGTGGTCGTCGCCTTTGTCAGCCTTGAGCGCGAGGGCGGCCATCTCCCAACATCGTTCCTCCGAGACGGCGTTTCGGCCGGACCAGTGGTCGAGAAAATTGTCCTTGAGCTGCAGATAGTAGTGCTCCAGGGCTTTTGGGCATCTGTAAATCTCTAATAAAAATTCAAAAATCTGAAGAAAGAAACTTATTCTACGAATAGTTTTGTTTTATTTTTTTAATTTAGAGTTTTAAAAAAAACTTCTTTTCTTATTTTCTTATAAAAATTTTGCAGAAATTAGTTTATCCTAAATTTCAAACCTTGATCTCCAAAAAAACGACCCCCACAGTTCCCGGAAAAGAAATCGAAAAGTCCCATAAAAGGTACAGGTTATACTTGGCGTCATTCTCGTCACCAGTAGCGAGAAAAAAAAAGACAGAGAAGAAAGTTTTTGTTTGTGAAACTGCGAGCGTCTTGCGCCATCGTCATTCTTTCGCAAAAAAAAGGGGGGAAATTCCTCATATCACATCAATCAAATGCGATCGAAAAAGAAAAAAAAAGAAGGAAAAGGAAAGAAGAAGAAGGAAAACAAATTCCAGCCGTTTTCGCCATTTGATTAAGACTTTGCAAATTGCCAAAAACATTAAAAATTTCGAAGATATTTTCTTCTATTTATTCAGTTTAAAGGAAAAGTGAACATCCTCAAAAACGGTACTGATAAGGAAACAATAACAATAAAAACTGACGTTAAAAGTCCAACTTGTTCGATGTAGACCCTCACGCGGAAGTACAGCACCAAAACAGGCCGATTCTCGCTGCTCTTGTTGTGCTGAACAAAAAAAGTTCATATAAACGTTATAAAAATCTACTCATAATTCATCTCTTTGATAAGAAATTCGAAAAAAAGCAAACTTTCTGAACAAAATCCTTTTTTTTACAACGTGAATAGTGAGACCGTAAGAAACACATTTTTCAACATTAAATAATCCAAAAGAATTTTTTTCCTTATTTTTCTCGAAACGCGGCAAGATTTTTTTATCTCAATCGCGCATTCTTTCAGAAAAATGTGTTTAGTATGCTCATGTCGAATAGAAAAAAGAAACAGAATCACAATATAATTAATTATCGTTCGAACAGCGTTGAGAGAGAGAGAGAGAGAGAGAGATATTAATCAAAGTTACAGCTTTCAAATGAATTTCATTGTGATTCGCAGAGTCTACATAACAGAAAGAAGCTTGTGATTTATGAGAGATGATCTTAATTTTTTCAAATTCATTTCAAGACCCGAAAAAGAAATCCCTACCCATTGCGAGAATCGCGACTGTTTGTGAGCGTACTTCATGATTTTGGCTGCCGGATCGAGAAAGTAGTACTCGTGTCGAGGTTGATCTCCGCCTGAAAATATCTCTTTCTTATTTTCTCCGCCCCTTTTGAGATTCAACATTTATTCAGATCATAGGTAATTCACAACAGTAATTTTAGGTAGCAGCTCCGTAAAATAAAGGAAACACTAGACTCGCAAGAGACATGACATAGTTAAAATATGATTTTTAAAAAAAAAAATTTTCCGCCTAAAATCTACCCTAAAAACCCACCGATGCCCTCGGCAGCCTGACGAATCGCCAAGCCGAAAAGTTTGTCCTCGGCGATTTCGAGCCGCTCGCCGCACTTCCACAGGACGTCGTGAACCTTGGTCTTTTGCTGAAAAATGCTGGATGAATTGAACATCCCGAAAAACTGTCATACGTTCACAGCGATGAAGAAGGACTCCTTGGTGAGGGTCTGAACCGAGACGAAGCTCTGGCCTTGCCGGATGTTGTGCGGCGAGGTGAAAACTTCGGGGTCTGAACTGACGAAGTTCAAAACAATTGAAGTCGAACTAGGAGGAGACAATTTCATGCTTTAAGCGAGCACTGAAATGGCGGTAACACCCCTAGAGAGATATCTGAAGAGCTCGGAACTTTCTGAAGCTTCTGTATGAGAGCCAGAGCTGCGCGTCGCGGCTCGCGAATCGGTAAAGCTTTGACACTTTGCAATTTTCTGTCGTAAAATATTTTTTGAAGGTTCTTGGTTTGTTTCCACTAACTAGTAAGTTATAATCATTTAACTTTCAAATCAGATCCAAAAACTGAGAAATTGAATTGATACGTGAGAGTGCCCACGTAGTTCTTGAGAGTTAGTTTGAAATTCAAATTTTCAAAGCAACGGATTATTCAAGTGGTGTTGAAAATATGTCTAATTCATCCAGAAAAGATTCGAAAGAGATTCAGCTACAGAAAGAGTCGGAAACTGACCGGAAAAGCTGGAAGAGGAGGGCTGCTGCAGGTGGTGAGGCAGCCGAGTGCCGGGCTGCCGAGCCGTCGGCGCCGCCCGGCTCGAACTCGGCGTCGAGCACGACGAATCCATCGCTCACTGTCTTCGCATCTGCAAAACCGACTCTCTTATTCTCCCAAACAACTCTTTCAGATTGCAACTGGTGTTATCGTAAAACTGAGGAAAGGGGTATATTCAGCAATGAATGGTTTAAAAAATGGAATAAACGAGAGGCAATAAAGGTTAAGCTTTAGGACATTGAAAAGAAGATCCGAAATAGAGAAAAAAAGACGAAGAGGAAATTCAAGACTTTTCTGCTTGTGGGTGGTTATGAGAAATCTTCTATAATTTTTTTTTCACACTTTCTCGTTTTATTCCGTTGGAGTCGGTTGCCATAGCCTATTAGGGCCCCTCATCGTATTTTTCAGCTTTCTTTGGTCTGTCCAATGTTATATCATTTTTATTCTCCCTATCTGTTCCCTAAATATTTGCCTAGTTCTGACACTAAATATTATTATAAATTATAGGTTTTTCGTGTCTGTTAGAAATGTTTCTCTGGATTTTTGAAAAAAAAAACAGTGATTTTAAAGAAAAAACTTCAAAAAATTTCGAAATCTTTTTTCGAAATGCAAACTTAAAAACTGACTTGTATCTGCTTCTACACAGCAAGAAGCTTTAAAAACCGAAAATATGATTTCCCTCGATAATTTTCAAACGAGCATAACTTCAAGTAAAAGTCTCATCAGTTAAAATTGAAAGCAAAGGAGAAAAAAGCAATGAACTCTCGTCCTATTCAAAAAATTTCCTATGTTTTCGGTCCAATCAACATCCTTCATATCAGTGTATCATTCTTCGTATCAGGTGCTGGCCGATCAAATTTTTGTTTTCACGAATTCTAGTTTGGGAATCGATTTATGAGTCTTGAAGCTTTGATTTTCAACGAAAAAAAAAACTAATTGAAAAACCGCTGAAAGATCAAAGTCTCAAAAAGTCACGTTTTTTGTGGTTATTCAACATCTGCTCAAGTTCAAAAATAAAGAATTTTTTGAGTTCGAAAAGCTTGATTTTCTAATTTAAAAAATGTCGACCTTGATTGAATTGATTGAAATCCAACTCCCGAGCTTAAAAGTCTAATTAAAAATTTTGTACAAGATCTTGTAACATAAGAAAACCAGAAAAGCTTATATTCGAACTAAAAAGAAACATAGAAAACTGATCCACATTCCTTTGCATCCGTCACCAAAACTCTCCCCGCCAAAAATCAACATTTTTGATCTAAAACGCGAAATGTTTTGCAGACAGAAAGAAGGTGCCCCTTTTGTCACGAGGTGGGTCAAAAATTGCCGCGAAAGAATTCGCGCTTGATAACTTTGAAGCGTCGGGACCGCTTTCGGCTTTTAACGACTTTTGTACCTTCGCCTATGATTTCTTAGCCTTGGAATTCCTCCATTTTTTTTCTTTTTGATTACCAATTTGCAGAGAAAGTTAGATAAGAGAATTATTAGATCGAGTCTGATCAAATGAAAGACGTCTATTCGTCTCGAGACCTGTCAAGAAACTTGTATATGCTCCTTTCAAAATTTCGAAATGAACGTTAAAAAAATGAAATTTTTTTTGATTAAAAATTCAGAAAAAGTTAAAAAAATGAGCTCTGGTTGCCACTTTTCAAATGGAAAATCGTATTTTCTTTCCAAATGGGAAATCGTTTATATTCCAACTAGGAAAAAAATTTAAAGAAAAATTAATAAATATTGATTTAATCCAAGTTTTCGAAATTCACAAAAAAAGTTTTTTTCGGCTATATTTCAAATAATTTTTCATAAAAAAAGTTTCGAAACTTCTAGTTTTAATCAAAAATTTTTCCATGGAAAAAAACTTGATATTGGTATCAAAAATATTATTGATTATAGTCGTTTCAAAAAAATTCCAGAGCCCCAAAAACTCAATTTTAAGCAAAAATGAAACCGAAAAAAAGGGTCCTGTTGGAAGAAAAAAAGTACAGTAAAAACAATGAAAGCCGAAATCTGGGAAGAAAAAAAGAGAAAAATGGACGAAAAAAATAAAAGGAAACCATTCAAACAAAGCTTTTAAAGAAAAATATTAAGAGGCTGAAAGGTTTTTTTTTCAAAGTTTGAAACTGACAAATAACAGTTCAGCGCCCAACAAAATGGATGGACACTGTAATGTGACAAAAATAAAAAAGATTTGAAAAAAAGAAGAAAAAGAAAAAGAATGGAGGCGCCAAAAAGTAAAGGCGGCCGAAGCGCGACGAACATTCCGCGCAAGATTAACCCTGGCGCCGCCAACTGATAAAGTCTCATTTATTTGTTTTTATTTCTTCTTCTTCTCCTTTATACAGTTCTAAAAATCAAACAAGAGCCGAACTTGATACTCAGTCGGTTCGCACTTCTGGGGTGGTTTTTCGAGGAGCAGAGGGATTAATTGAATTCCCACGATTTGAAACGATTAGAAATAGCCTGTGTGGTAAGAGAGTGGAATAGTTCATGTTTCGAGATAGAAACCGGTTTTTCCATTTCCCTTTTTTTCATAATTTTAAATTTAATTTTTTTTAAAAAAATGGAATATGGGTATTAGATTTTGTACATATGTTACAAAATGTGTTACAAAATAGCAAAAATGCATCAAAGCACTCCAAAAATAATTTTACCAAAACCATAAAACGGCAAAATGAAATAAGAAGATACCCACTTCCGGCCACAATATCAACCATTCCATAAAAGAAGGTTGGCGTGAGTCAGAAGAGAAAATAAAACGTGATTTGAAGTCAGAATTTTCGGTTTTAACCAAAACGTTTGAGAAGCCGAAAATGAAGTCATAAGTGAGAAAAATTTCATGAGGAAACGAAGCGAGAATAGCGAAGAAATAAGCGGAAACGAATTAGTGAAAAACATCAGAAAAATTTTGAAAAGGAAAGAAAGATGAAAAATAGAAGCTGAGAAGAATCAGCCGCGAAGTATGAGTCCAGCGTGCCTCATTGATGATTTGAATCTTGAAAATATCAAGACAGTGGGAATAAGGAACTGAGAGAAAAAATAAGCTAGGAGTGCTTCTCCTTATATGCTCCATGAAGAAATCAAAATTCCAAGTTGCAATACAGAAGAAGCTCATCAGAAAATCAGCCAGAATGATAGTATAATAAAGAAGAGAAGAAATAGCCGCGATCCATCTATTAAGCTCGCCCCACGGATAAATCACTCCCTGGAAACCAGAAAAAATTGCTGAAAATCACGGAATTTCAGCCACAAAACGACGCGACACGATCATGAGACGAAAAATGAATGGAAAGATGGAAAAGGCGAGAAGAAACGAAAGGGATAAATTGGTAGGTTGGTTGGGAAGAGAGGTGATCAATCAAGAAGGAAAGTTCGGTCGAGGTGCTGGCAGAGAAACTTTTATTCGCAACTCTTTTGGACAATTCACATTTGAGGGCAACATCATTGAATGTTCTCTTTATTTTCAGACTCCGTCCAAAAATATTCCGAACGCTTTGTAATCAAATTTTTGCCACTTTATTTGTGAAGCGCTTGTTGAGAATCTCTTTTTGGACTATTTTTATCAGCTCGAACTCTTTCTTGAGCATTCATTTCTTATAAATTTCGGTTGCCGCTATTTTCGCATAATTTCCTATCTCTGTTATTTTTGCTCGCTTATTTTGAAGGAAAATTTTTTTCTGGATCATATTTTTGCACCTTTTTTTTGCTTCAAATTGCGAACGCCATTTTTTTTTTCAATTTTGGGCTTCTATTCAACTTTTTAAACAAAAAAGTTCATTCCAAAATCCAAAAAAATTTCAAAAGAACCTGAAAACAAAAAAGGCATATATACCATCAACATGATGCCGGAAACGGGCCATTGATGAGACAAATAACGACGAAAAGAAGGAAGAAAAAAGACGATTTGGTTGAAGAAAGAGGGGCGTGGCCAGGCGATCTCCGACACTTTTTTTTCTTTTTCTTCCACTTCTCAACGAAAATCTTCGTCGCTGACAAGCAAGACGGGAAGAGACGGTTTCGAAGCAATACATAGCGTGAGATGGGCTGAAAATGAAGAAGAAGAAGAAAAAGATGGAGAAAAAGAAGGTCGAGAAACAACTATAGATGATCGGAAATTATGTCCATTTCGTCACTGGTCGAGAAATTCCCCGCAAAAATCGGAGAAAAGGTTTCTTATTTGAAAGATCACAGAGTTCTCAGGGAGTCTGAGTGATCACTTGAGAGGTCCAGGAAATTTTCTAGCAATCGATTACCAACTTCCGAAGAACTGCTATCAAACGACCGGGCCATTTTTGTAAAGCTCTTTAAGTGGCCACTTGTCTGATTGAAGTGAATTCTTCGCTCTAGCGGCCTCATCAGGTTTCCTTATTTATTCTGAACGCTTAGAAACTACTTTAGTACTGCCTAAGAAAAATCTGGCCTTTCAACGCTAAAGCAGTAACTCTAGATGTTTCTGAAAAGCTTGAAAATATACTCAGTTTGAAAGGTCCTAGGTCAACTGGATAATCACTCAAGGGTAGTCAATTTTGTTAAATTCATGAAAGACTCATTGGAGTGTTCTCTCAAGTGGTCTCCAAGCGAAAGCTGGAATAAAAACTTTCCTTCAATCAATGATTTATGACGTCATTTCCGCTCAAAAGTAAAATATTTGCGCGTCAGTCAAAGTTTGCGGACAAAAATCAAAACGACAAACTTTAAGGAGAAAAAACACGAAAAATGATGTTTTTTCCTCACTTTGAGACGAAAAACAAGAAGCTTATCTCGGAAAGATGAAGAGATGATGACTCAAAAGACAGGGGGCAAATAAACGAAGAAAAAAAAGATACGGCAAGTCGTCGGCTGGCAATAGATAGATCTGTTGAAGCGATTGTCGAACTGCTTTCGACACATTCAAACAACAAAATTTTGGAAGACGATGAAATAAAGTAGTTGTAGGAAACATTAAGTTGCTCGAATATGGGTGAAAATCACGTCAAAATGAGAAAAAAATGAAATATATCCAGAGATAAAAAAGAGTAAAAAAAAATTCACAAAGACTGAATCTTTTTCTTTAAAAATTCGAAAAAGATCAGGAATACAGCGCGTAGGACTTGAGTAGTAGAGATAGAATACAATATATGTAATGGAGAATCATTTTCGAGATGAATAGGATAAAAAATTTGTAATCGAGAAAAACTTTCGAAATGAAAAAAAAAATGGACAAAACAAAGAGGAGTCAATCTCTGGACCGATAATCGGAAAAATAATTTTTCAACCTATTTCCAACTGCGATGGTCCTGCTTATCCGCAAACTTAACACAGACTCGAATCAAACCAAACCAAAGAAAGAATAAATGAGAATAAGACTAAAATGAAGAGGACTTTATAAAAAGGAAAGAACCGATCCAACGACATAGTCAGAGGTCTAAACCGCTCGATCAAGCCAAAAACTAGGATAAGAACCGATTCAAGAATTTTTAAAGCTGTAGTCAGAAGCTTCAGTCGCTCCCCCCATCCAGCTTTCAACTACGATCCTCACACTCCATCAAATGAAATCAGACCAAAGATAGGAAAAAAGAAGACCAAGGAATGGAATGTGCTGAAGAATTGGAGACAAAGAATGAGGGGGAGACCTCTGATAGCGCGTAAAGGGACATCATCGAATCGATTTTTAGAAACAACCGTCGTCGACGAAGACGACCCGATAAGAGGAAAGAGTTGAGGCGCGACAAAATGTGAATTGTTTGGGTATTACTTGACTGTGGGTGTGAGTGTGTACGTGGGCGGCCAATCAAATCACATGGTCGACAAATTAATTCGATCCTTTCTTTGATAAACACATCGAGAAAAATGGTCGACTCAGAAGTATTGTCTCCGGAGTTCTAACTAGGAAAGAAAACCATGAAAAGTTATTTTTCGAGAAAACTAAGATTTGACCGAGATTTCTCTCATGATTGAGAAGATCTATTTGCAATTTATTAGGATACTAACGGAAACGTTGATTTCAATCAATAAATGCAACGTTCACTAAAGCTTCTTCTACCTAAAGCTTCTAACCCAACGGTTGAATCGAAACTCGAAAAAAAAAAATGGAAAGCCAGGAATTAAAACTATTTTAAAAAAATTCAGGGAGCGTAGAGTTAAAAAAAACGCATTTTTCAAAGATTCAGGAAGATGGTTTTTTAAAATTTTTGATAAAATGTATAAACAGCAGAAGCGAAAAAAATAGATATAAATGCAGTTTCAAAATATCTTGATATAAATAAATAAAATAGGGAACGAGATGGCGTTTTTGACAGTATGGTGAAAGAAAAGGTTCCTTTATTTCGAAGCAACCGCGATCGCTTCAAAAAACGACTCAATATATCCAGAAGAGATAGCTTGTCTAGGAGAAACCGAACCATCCAAGAAAGATTAAAACACACGGAGAAAAGTCTAAGTGGTCACTAGAGGGCGTCTTCCAGGAAAATCTCAAGGAATTTCACATAAAGTTCGACTTTTTCAAGAGGCTTTGCACATTGAGGCGAGTGAATGGAAGCAGAATACCCGAAAGAAATTCCCAAAAATATCTCAAAAAGTCCAGAATTCATTTCAAGGGAACTTTTGAACATACGGACGGACGTTCAATTGAGATCAGAAAAACGATTCAACTGACAAGAGAAAAAATTGAAAACGCGAAAAAAATATTAGAAGCCCCATAGTTTTCAAGGAAAATCTTTATTTTCCCGACTGTAATCATTTCAAGACCACTCCTCTGTTGACTGATTGGAAGCAGAAAATAGGTTCAATTGACAGGGGAAAAACACGAAAAAGTAAATGAAATCAAGTGGAAGGATCGAAATATCAGAAATTCCTGCTCGATCACGTCATCGACGTCGTCGGAAGCCCCACGACGACGACGACTTCCACGGAGACGATCGACACCAAAACGAAAGCAGGTTTCGTTTTCGAGTCTCCCCACCACGGCCACCACCACCAAATAGGAAGAAGAAGAAGAAGGAGCGTTTTTCGGGCGACGCTGCCCAATCAAATCATAACCCGACGACAAATCGGACAGTCTCTACGCAGATTCAAGCTTCTTGGTAGTGTAAGTGGAACTCAGGAATGTGTTCGAAATTGAATCGAAATTTTTAAATTGTCCTAAAAAATTATAACTCAGTATCATTTTGCCTCAAACAGCCTTTGAAGAAAAGCTCCTACAAACGATATCGATTTTGAAGCTCTGGTAGCAGAAAAAAAAACCATGAATAGTCAAGTGGATTAGAATCAAGTTAGATCAAGTTAGAAGGGGATCGATATCGATTTTTGAAGCCACTGCAAAATATCAGTACAAAATTATAAAAAAAGGGACTCCAAAGAAAGATCGTTGATGAAAATCTACGCCGAAAGTATTATAAATTAATTACAGGTAAATTAAGAAAAAAGACCACAAAAATTGACGCCATTCCAAAAAACATTGCCTGCTTTTCAAAAAGTGTGATAGTCTACAAATAAAAACATTAAAGATGTAAAGAAAGAAAATAGGAGGGTTAAGATTAGTTTCATCGATTCATAACATTCAAAAAAAGAAAAAATGATTTACAATAACTCCGGAACAAAATATTTACGATTAACATAAAAAAAGTAATTTTTTTAGTTCACAGCTAGAAATAACAAAAAAAGTATTCGAAACATCTAGTGCATAGCTCCAACATAAATATAAAAAAACAAATTAAAAACTTCATTGAAATCTAACTAAGTTGATCAAAATATAATTTTAAAAATCATGCAGAAACCATCAAAAAAGCTCTTACTTCTATCATAAACTAATCCAAGATATCTTAAACATCCAGTCAAAGAAAAAAAGGAATAGAAGCTTTTGATCGGTGACCTCGGCGGCTTAGAATTTATCAAACTGGAAAATTGATCAAAATAAAATCTCAAGCTCACAAAAACTTCTCAAAACCATCAAAACCAATTTTTTCCAAGGTCCTTTAATGGATTTCCGAGAGAAAATACTCAAAGATATTAAAAAAAATAATTCGAATGAAAGGGAGGAAAAGGAGATAATTTTTTCGAATGAAGACTGGGAAAAAAAAATCCCGAATAAAAATTCAAATATGAAACGATTCACAACAAGGCAAACTCGTTAGGGTTCGCATCAAGGTGTGCATGAAATCTAATTGAATAAACGCTCCAAATATTCAAAACATAACTCGAGTCGAAGAAAAATAGGGAAAGGAGAGAAGCTTTTGGCTGGTGGCCCCCGTGTGTGTGCCTCCGTCGACGACCGTCCGCACTCTCCTCCGTCCTGTGTGTACAAACACAGCTTCTCTTCGCCTCTTCTTGCGTCGTCGTTACAGACAAAAACACAAAATTCCGCGACTAACCCAACACACACAAGATGAGAATGAGGAGGACCCCCAAACTTTTTCCAAACAATCATTTCTTTTTTTTTGCCGATGCTAAATATAGATCATTTTCTTGATCAATTTCAAATCCCACAAAGATCAATTGTTCGTGATCTAGGCCTTCAAATTGATGAGAAGCTCTCCTTCAAAGACCATATTTCCCGTATCTCTGCCTTTGCTACATTACGGTCTAATCAAATACTAAATACCTTTAAGTTTTCTTCCCCCCTGCACTACCTCAGAATGTTTCAAACCTACGTGACGCCTATTCTCGAATATTGTAGTGAAATCTTTTCTCCCTCTATCTCGTCTGAGGAATGCTTCAAACTCGAGTCTTCTCTACGCCAATTCAGTAGAAAAGTTTTTATAAGATGCAATGTTCGCTTCAGTTCTTATTCTGATCGTCTCAGCCAATTTGGCTTTAAACCTCTCTTTGTACGTCGTTGTATTAACGACATTATTTCTCTTCATAAAATAATTTGCGGCTCTGACCACTTTCTCAATCGCAATGACTTCTTCACTATTTCTCCTTTACAGAGGAATCCACTTCGACTTCGCACTTCCGGTCAGTTCTCTAAAGATTTTTTTTCCAAAACTATTCCATTATGGAATAAACTTACCTCTAGAATAAATTTTAACGTCTCTACGGATGCGCTACGGGTTAAACTTAATGATCTCCCTAACTCTGCCTTTTTCGAATCCATTCCTTCCCGTTTGCTCTGACTTCCTTTCTATCCCCGGGTCATAGTCTACTCGTTAGGGTGGACTAATTCCCGTTTTGGTTATTCTGCTGCTTTCGTATTCTGAACTATTTTATTTATTATTTTCCAACAGTATGCAGTGAATAAACCTATTATTATATCATTTCTTATGGGATACCCCAAAAATCTCGAAAGTTTAAGGAAAAAAGAGGAATTTTCGAAATTCTAGAAACAAAAATGTAGTTCGCGAACAGAAACAGCCCTGAAACCTGAAAGACCAACTTTAGCCGGGAAAATTTCGAAAATCAATTGAAAGAAAATAGCCGCTTTGAGTCAGGGAAAAGGCGCTCCAATGTAAAATCGTGTTTATAATATCTGTGTAGCTTGTTTTTTTTTCTGAAATTCTTCTCTTCACGAACTTCAAGCGGATTCAAGGTCCAACGTATACGTTCGTTATCGACCCTTTTCATTAGTCAAGTCTGATAAAAATATTTTCAAAAATTCCATATTTTTTCCGCCTCTTCAAATTTCATCAAAACGATCAATATAACTCGATTTGACCACCTCTTCCAAATTCTAACAAGAAAAGGAGCAATAAAACGGAAAGGGAAGAAAAAAGAAGAAGAAAAAGGAGAAAAGTGGTTGAAGTGAAGAACTGGACGACGGCAAACTTTACACATACCTGCAAAAAACCTACGGTTAGCAGATAAGGGCACGTGAGAAATTGACCGAAATGGAAACTTTTCGAGAAAAATATGGTCAAGAGAGAGGGAGAGAGTGCCAAAAAAAAATAACAGTTTTCAAAAAAAAAAACTTTCCGATTTATTTTCGATTGGACCGCAAAAAGCAGGTTCTTCCGCTTATATCCGAAATTTCTTCCATTTCGATTGGATTTCCTACATTTAAAAATGAAGAGAACAAAAAGGAGTACAAAAAGAACTTTTAGAAACTAAGAAAGTTATTCTGAAAAGCCAAAACTACTCAAATTCACAGGCAAAAAGGATTCTTTGATTTGGAAAATATCTGAATTCAACTGATTTTAATTCGCTGAAGACGCAAAAAAACAACGTTTATCATTGAAAATTTTGCAAAAATCCGTCAGTTCTCAAGAAAACCAACAAAGAAAAGCGGCGGAAATTGTTGAAAAATGCGAAAAATGTCCGGGAAACCGACAGGCAGACACCCGCCGCACGTCTTCTTCTTCTTCTTCTTCTTCTTCTTCTTCTTCTTCTTCTTCGCAAAGCAGAGAAGACATAGAAAAGAGAAAAAGAGGGACATAGAGAAACAGGTGTGCAAGGTGATATAGAGAAAAATATTCTTCTCTTCTCTCATTTTCAGCTGTCAGTGATACGGTTGACGTCTTCTTCTTCAAGGGACATAACACCACAAAAAACTTTTAGCTAAACAAAATCCAGCTACTGTTTGGTTGAAGCCTCCCATAGAATTAAAAATCAAAAATCTCGTAAAAAAATTTGAAACACGATGATTCAGCTCAACTAAGTGACATAATCACTACAAAACAATATAAAAAAAGGTTTTTTTTTCGAAAATATGAATGAGAACTTTTCTGTAACTTTGTTCAGTAAAGTTACTCAAATCAAAATCAGAAACAAAACAGCGCTCCACAAAAGGCTTCAAGAAGCCAATTTGACAGCTAAGCCTCCAAGTAGCCTTCAGATTTCCAAGGTTATTGCTTGCACAATTCATTGCGAGTACTTTCTTGGAAGATTTTTCTCAGTCTAGCTTTTGAACGTCTTTCAAAAGCATCCAGAACCTGGCCTCTTTACTTTGAAGCTCACCCCAAAAGATCCAATTTTCGGAAATCCACATTGTAAGAAACTTCGAAATCCGCCTTTTTCTGTTAAATTCCGCAGCTCACACTTCTTCGTATGAATCAACTTAGAGCTCCTTCAGATCGTGAAATCCCTAAAGAGACGACTTCAAACTTTGCTCTGGGACGACCTTTCTAGGCGACCGTTGCCGTGAGACAAGCTTCTCCACTGAAAATTCCACAGCTCTGCATATTCCTATCAATCTTCCAAAGCTTTGCTTGATTTTGGGGGCGGCCTCGCCACCAAAACGTTTGTTGCTGATACACGATTGGAAATTTTTGGAATGAAATATATCCCGGGGCAGCCGCCGCCGCCGCCGCAGGGCCACTTGAATGATAACACGGCGGCGGCTGTGTCGAATCTGTTGATAAGAACCGTTGCGACGAGCGGTTCTCCTCCTCTTTCTCTCTTCTTGGCCTTTCTCCCAACTGCAGCCGAAAAATTCCGATCATTCGTCGTCGTGTCGTTGTTCAGGCTTCTGGCCGGGCGATTCGACGACTTGAATTTGGGAAAGGAGTTAGGATAAATAATATTTGAATCCGATTTTCTAGAATATTTGAGGAAAGTCAAACGGTTGCCAGGAAAGAGGAGGAGAAAAAGTCCGCGAGTAGACATTTTTTGTAGAAAAGAGCTCAAAAAGTTCAATCTTTGATTCATCTGTAAGTGGCAACAGAGAAGCAACTTCTGAAGAAACAGTACACGACACTTGACGGCGAACTGCGACTTTTTAGTTACAGTACTCTCCTAACTAGTAAGATATTGATATTGATACTTCAAAAGCCCCAAAAGTACGCATAACTAAATTTTCTACGGAAAACAGTTGGTTCGAGTGTAAGGAATTGAAAGCAACAGACAAACTGAATTTTAAACTCGCAAAAAGCGCAAAAAAGGGTAGACTCTGCACCACACGTGACGCCAAAATGCGGACCTTCATATACAGTAGTCCTCGAAAAAAGAAAACACACTTGCCCCTTTCTAGATGTATCAAAACTACGTAAATAAAACTTCTTTACAGAAAAACGAGAATACCAAGAGGGTCAATTGTTAAAAATGGACTTTGACTCCAAAAATTTAAAACTTTCTGGAAAAAAAAACCTGAAGAAGCGAAAATAAAAAGATTGAGAACTACATGAGGGCATCTGAAGAGGAACACTACGAAACTCTTCGGAAATCCCCAAAAATGATAGAAAAAGGTACAGAATTTTCGAGTGGCCGACGTCAGGCAAGTGCTGGCAACCCACAGAGGAGCAACTCCTGGAGAAATAGCAAAATTTTCGTGTGAGGCACAGCAACCAGTGCAAACACACGCACTTCAAACAACACCGCCTCGGGCGGCTCCCTGCGTGTCTTTCCCGTTTCAAAATCGAAATCAAACACGAGTTTCAAGCATTATCGATAATCAGAAGTAGGTCATAGACTTTTCTTCAAAAAAACTAAAAAAATTGAAAAAGTCCTCTTCAAAGTTTGTTCTGTGAAACCGTTCCACTTCGATGTTTTTTTGATTGAACTAAAAATTTTTCAAGTATTGACCCAAAAAAATATCGAAATGATAACAAGAAATTCTTCTTTGAGCAATAGCACCAATGCAAAACTCTAACTTTCTGTTTTAAATTTTTGAAAAAAAGCGGCAGACAAAAAAATTTTTAAAAAAATCGAAAAAAAGTCTGGCGTTTTTTTCTACAGATTCCTCTTTTAAAAAAACAAAAAAATTTACAATATGTGAATCTGAAAAAAATATCTTTAAAAAAATAATCGCTCTCAATGTTTTGCTTTCAATATTTGGACAACCAACCCCTTCAGAATACTTTGAAGTATTCAAAAAAAAACTTTCTTCTTTTTATTATCCATGATCGAATCAGAAATACTTGAAAAAATAAAGAAAAAGAGAAAAAATGAGCTTGAGCAAACATGGAAGTTCGTGTTTGCTTGCTAATCGTTTTTTTCCACTCGGTCCAATTTGATCCTGATCAGAACACGGTTTGTTTTATTTTTATCTATGTTCCTGATCTGAACAGTTGAGATAGAAGACCAATAAAGAATCAAGATACACTTGGATTTTTTTGATTTGCAACCCATTTTTTTACGTGCAGCTAACTGTCGTCCAGTAAAAAAAACTCATAAAAACTTGAATATCGTTTTGATGCAAGAAAAAAATGTGAGAACAAAATGAGTTAGTTTTTCCAAAGGATATTCCGATTTGAGAAAAAAATTCTCATCTAATTAATTCGCAATATTTGCAATCCAGATCGTGAATTTTCAAGTGAAAAAAATCTTATTTTTCGTATTGATTTGATCTGAGAAACTTAGAAAAAAAGGAAACAGGGCTTCGAAAGTAATAAAAAAAGTTTGGAACGATTTTTTTCAACTATTTTCTGCAAGTTTGAATTTAAACTTTTTATATTTTACGAGCCTTACTTCCGGCAGAAGACAAATGACACGATAAACGGAGTGAAAGGTGACTAATCTGAAAAAAGAGAAAAAAAAATGGACGAGAAATAAAAAAAAAGTAAAAAGCGATTGGAAAGCTGAGTTCTCGAAAAATTGATAAGAAGAACAAAAAGGGAGAAAAAAATTAACGAAAGTCCATTTTCCTGGAAGTTGAAGCCAGCATAGCACCTTTCAAAAAAAAAAGCGAAAAAGTAAATGAAAATAATATTAGAGTAGAAGCGATATAAAACTTAACGTCTCACCACCAGCAAAAGTCAACTGTCAAAAAATAAAATGATCTAACAATAATTTTTATATGAATAAGTTCTTGATGCCATTGTCAGCAGAGTTGTCGGAAAAAGTTCCGACTGAAGAAAAACAAATTTTTTTGAGTTTTAAGGACATGCTTCACACTTGCGGCAGGAACACGAAACAGATTTTTAAATACAGCGACATGAAAAAAGAGTGGAAAAAATGGATCAAAACCCCTTTTTTTTGGATATTTTCGGTCAGTCAAGCGCTCCTACAAGATTGTCGAGGTTCTGCACATAGGGGAACAGGAATCTCATTTTTCGCTTTTCGATTGCCAAGGCACAGACTTCACACTTCCGGCAAGAAATCGGGACAAAAAGTAGACCGAAATATAAAGTACAGCGTTAGAGTGAGAAAAAAAAGAGTAAATGGAGGAATGGGGACGGCTGGAAGGAATGCAACACGATGCGTGGCGAAAGGTCGTTGCGTCGTCGTCTTCGCCGTCGTCGCCGTTTGATTACCATCGCAAAAACGATCGGTCCGAGGAGACTCTTCTCGCCGTTTTCTACACCCTTCCCAGCGCTTGACGAAATTCCTCCGTTCATTTTTCTCGCCTCCCGTGTTCCGATTATCCGCTTAATCGGAGAAGAACGCCTCAGGTCAACGTCGAGTTTTTCCAGCAAGTTAAAATTTCGAGTTGATTTGGCAGCGATAAGAAGGATGGGAAGCCTAATAGGGTTCAGAGATCTAAATAAATATTTTCTTGTTGGAAAAAAGATGCGCTTTGCAAGAAAAGCAACATGTAAAGATGAGACTTCTATCATATTTTGGCTCAAAACACACTAAATTGAAAAACAAGATTATTATGGTATTGTTTTTCGATATAAAATTTAAAGGAAAATTTGTGAGTTATTTCAATTTATAAATATATCGTCATTGTAAGAAACGCTCATAATTGCTGAGAATGCATCCAAGTGAAAAATAATCAAAAGGTCAAATGAGAATCCATTAAGATAAAGAGACCATCTTGCGCGATTTCCTGATTGCATAATTATGAAGACCTTATTTTGGGAATGAATTCTCGAGCTGAAAAGTTCCACGCAATGGCTGAGGGAATAAAAATCGAAAAATTTTCAACTAAGAGTCCAAAAAGATTAAAAACATTTTTTTAAAATGAATATTTTTAAATTTTTTATAAACATAAAAATCGAAATGCTGAATGCGCAATGCGAACGACTCGACAAGTAACGATTGCATCCGGACCGTCCGCGACTTCCGCGCTGCGCTATTCTCCGAAATGAAAAAGAACACTTTCCGGACTCTCGTCATTTTCTGTTCTCGCTCCTAGCCAAGTCATGCAAGTTGGGCGCGTAGGTTGAGAATCTAAAATAGATTCAGTACCCGACGATTCACAACTTACGCGCTGTGCTATTTTTTGAGCTTTGAGCAAGACTTCTCTCTTCATCTTCTATTGTATCTCGCTCCGAGCTAAGTCGTGAAAGTCGGAAAGCTTGAAACTACGTGTGTTTCTCTCTACGTCTAAATATCTGACAACCTCTCGCTCTTCTACTGTCTATCGTTCATAGCCAAGTCAAAAAACGTCGGTCGCTTGCTCGGAACTCGACTTGACGTCAAAAGATCACATTCGCTTACACCTCCTCCTCCTCCAGCCGTTTACAATTAATTAAATTCCCTCGTCGTTACGGTTTTTCTCAAAAAACACACTTCAACATCACATTTGTGTTACACACCGGAAAATACAACACAAAGACGGTGTTGGGGAGGAAAAATACGCGAATATACACCATATACACGACGAGAGGTGCGATATGAATCACGGGGAAACACGTGATGAGAACAAGGTCTTCTTTTTTTCGTCTTCTGTCTTGAAAGAATTCCAGGAATTTTTTTTTCAACGACCGGATGCTTCAAAAATGAGTGGAAATTGTTTTTGCGAAAATGTGGAGCAAGAGAATTTAAATCACGGAAGGAAAGCTTCGAAAACTGGAGCAAAAGATAGCCAGAAATTATGTCTCCATGGGAAGTACCCCCTCAAACTAAATTCAAATATCTCCAAAAATTTTGGTTTCTCGGCGTCGACAAATATTCAGAAATCACTTCATTTTTGACGACCGGATGTTAAAAAAACGAGTAGAAAAATTGTATGAAAAGTTCAGTGAATCAGAAATTTTTGATCAAGAAAGAGCGACTCGAAAATTCGGTCGATAAAAGCCAGAAAACCAGGTTTACATGTGTGCTCCAGGGAGAAAAAGCCTTGAGAAATATTGAACTAATCATTAAAGTTCTCAAAATTGTAGCGACTTTTCGTCAATTTCAAACCGGAAACTTTTTATAGAGTTTACTCGATTCACTTCAACTTTGAAGGATCATTCAAGGGGCTGGTTTAATCTCTTAGCTTCAAGGAGTTATCATTTTGATACGCAACAAAGGGATCAATAGTGGTTATACATCATGTAGAAATCCCTGGAGTTGGGAAAGCTTTTTTCATCTTTCTCACAAACTAAATACAGTACTTTCCACCATTTTCGTAAGTATCGAACGCACCTCGAAAATTAAAAAATGAAAAGTAAGAGGAAAAAAGAAAAGACTTGGAGACGAGTCCTTGAAGGAGGGCGACCTCGACGATCCGCGTCCGCAGGGGCCATTATTTCACCTCGGCCACGCAAAACATTCCCAACATTCCCAAATACCAAGGAATCTTATAACCATGAGCAATTCCTCAACATTGTTTCAGGCTTCCCAGTTCATTCGTCGTAACTTGGAAAATTACGCATTTTATTTCAAATTCGCTTCAAAGCAGTTAGGAGTGGCAAAAGCTTAGATGGTTCTGAATTCAGATCGATGGACTGTTCGCGAATTTCGCGAAGAGCTACATTTCAATCTGAGAAGCGGTCCACCCAATACTATAATTATCTTTAATCATATTTCGCTTCCCACGAAGCCGCGAAGGTCGGGTTCCAAATGGTCCGAAAATCCGCTGCTCGCCCCAAGTTATACGCTTGAAACTGAGCTTGGGATTTCTCTGAGACACTCTACCGTCTATCATCTTTTGCAACTGGTCGAAACAGAAAGCCAGTCGCAAATTACAAACTTCAGGCTCAACAGAACCAATAAGCTAGTATTCCCTCTGTATTCAGTGATTTCGCGCTCTCAACAAAAGCACTGAGGTCAGGCGCTAATTGGAGACTTGAATCTTCAAATTTATAGCAAAAAAGCGGTTCTTGAGCATTTTCCACATAACCCTCTTGTCATACCAAACTGATCAATGAGTTCTCCTTCAAAACGTTAAAAACCGAAAAAAGACAAAGAGGATGATGGATAAGACGAAAAACCGTTTAAGATCGGGCGAGAAAGTGGCGGCGTTCCTCGGCCGAGGAACACCACAATCGACAAGAATTATAACGTTCTTTTCAACGTCCAAAGCAAGAAAATCCTTATTTGGAGGGATTATTTAGAGGATACTTTTAGTTGCTTATAAAATTCTTTTGGACTCTATTTTCTTTGAAAAATGCCTTAAAAAGTGAACTGAATCGACTGAAATAAATCAGTAAGGTTTAAAGCTGAAAGCCCAAAAGAAGCTCAGAGGAAACAGGGTTTTTTTTTAGCTTCAAGTATATAAAATGCATTGAAAGCCCCGAGAAAGCATATTAAATCAAAAAACCAAAAAAACTACACGAAATGGACACTTTCTGGTTCTTCTTTTCAATGCGAATGAAAAAAGACTGACTTAATGAAACCTAAAAAAGTTTTGACACGATATCCTGGAGAATATGTTTTATTGAATCCCCCCCTCCCTCATTTCAAAGCGTTTATCTTGAGAATAGAAACTAAAAAATATAGATCTTGCTATTTCCGTAAAAAACGTTTAAATCGTGCAAACATGTTATTTATTACAATTCGTTAAAACTTTTTTAGTTTTTTTCAATCTACTTCCAAGAACTGAGAAGAATAAATAAAGGCCAAATCGATCATTCCCAGGAACTGGAACGTAGGAAAAAAAGAACAACAAACGCGACACACATTTGTACGCAAAGTTAACTCGATTCCAAACGAGTTTCATTGGAGGAACAAAAAGTCGGCACGATTCCATTGAGATTCGATTTATTGTTTCATCTAGAAGCGATTTTTCCGATTTTGAAAGAAGAAAAGCACTTGAGAAACAGTTTCAATGCTCTGAAAAGGGCTTTTATTTAAGTTCAGCTTGAAGTTTAACAAAAATGTGACCTAACGTGTAGCTGACCATGGTGAGAAAAATTTAGCCGGTTTCTTAAAATCAAATTTTCTTGATCACAGCGAATGCTAGGTAAACTTGGTATAGCTTGGTGACCGTAGCGCAGTGAATAGGGTCTCATTTACTGTCGGAAAGGTCAAAAGTTTGATCCCGAAACCATTCAGACTAGGCTAGGGATTTTTTTTTCACTTTTTCATGCATTCTATCAACGAAAAGAAAAAAGGTTCCAGTCAAATTTTAGAACAAAAATGTCTTGCAAAAAGTAAAACCTTTTCCAAATTCCAGAAAGTTACATTACTTCTGAAGCTTCTCGCCATAACTAATATTTCGTCTAGGAAAAAGGGGAAAAAAACTGGTTTGCCGTTTTTGATCAACAGTAACTATTGCTCAAAAGAGCCAAACTTCCCAAAAATCTGAAAACTTTCGGCTCGAGACCTATTCACAATGCCGTATCTACAATTTTCGAAAAGATTTAACGTCAGAGAAAAGGTGACAAGAAGGTCTTTTTTTAAACAAGTTGACAGAGTTGATGAATCTACGGGAAATCGGGAGACGAAGAGAGATAGAAAGAAGAGAATTGATCGGAAGCAAAGTAAGAGGAGGAGGAGGTAAACAGACAGACGAAGACGACGACGGAATTCCTCCGTGTTGATCTGACGGCGGCGGCTATCGAGGTCACACCCGTGTGCGAATACTTAACAGCTCCAAAAAGACCGACGACGTGCGTTTCAAGGCTGTTTTGGAAGGTGAAAATATTGGAGAAACTCGAGAAGAATAACATTTTCCGGGTCAATGTAGGTCAAAAAACGCTCAAAAAGCGCTGTTTCATATTTTGTAGACCAATTTCGTAGAGATTCATCAAGACTTTGTTAAAGGGGAAAAAATTAAGAAGAGATTATCACTTGATTTCCATCTTACTTCTCCAATACATTTTGCTAGAACCAGGAGGATAGCTGCCCACTGGCCGCCCTGCCTGCCAAGCCATAAACGGCCAAAAGCAGAAATGGCTTTTTTAATAGTAAGTCAATGATTCATTTCTATCACTTGGCTAAATGGCTTGGCTTGGCCGCCAAGCTGAGGGCTGCCTTCCCAATTTTCCACCTCTGCCTAGAACCTTATTAACTTTCTCAAAATGACTCGAGATAATCTTTCACTTCTTGGTCAAAAAAGCTTCAAGAATCAAAGATATAAGCGTAATACTGTAAATTTATTCAATGTACTCTGTGAATTTAACCCCAAAATCACCTTCACAAGTCCAAAAAATTTTCCATCCCCGTTTAATGTCATGTATGAAACTATATTTTAAGCTCCACCTTCGGAAAATCACGACTAGATATGATCAAACTATGAATTTATGATTTCCCACTCCATAGTAAAAAGAGGCCTCACTAAAACAAACAAAAAAAAAACGTAGGCTGAACATACAGAAAACATTGTTCCTAATGAAATTCGTGAAGCTCAAAAAAAATCAAAAATTCTCACTGTAACCACACTTTCAATTCAATTCAATTTGTTTATTTTTCGCAACATCGGGATGGTATGGTGATGTTGCAGGGAGGGAAAAAGACCACTAGGTGGATTAACTAACCCCACCTGTGAAGAAAAAAAGTTTTTTGTGTAAGAAAAGAAACATAGAACCATAATAAGTAGATATTTAAAACCAAGTTGATCATGGCACAAATCTGTGAACACTTGAAAGAATATGCTCGACGCCAACATCTTCTGCATACACTAAAAAAACATGTCCTTAAATTTTTTCTTGTCTTCCTCTGCCAATAATTCATGTTCAATGTCATTCCAAACATTAGTAATGCGATGTGATAAGAAATTGAAGAAAACCAGTGAAGGTTTCGTTTTTATTAATTTAAAACCATTTCCTCTGAGCTGACTGGGACGGTCAAAGATGTTATGTACCTGGATGGGAGAGTCTGACCAGCACTTATTATGCAAAAACTGATGTGATAATACCAGATCCTTAACTAAACGCCTAAACCAAAGAGGTTGAAGACCTAAAAGTTTTAACCGTTCATTATATTCCATTCTTGGGGAAAGGCGCTTCGTGAAACGCCTCTGGACCGATTCTAATCGATCAATATCTGACTTTGTCAATGGACACATTAGTTCCGAACCATACTCTAGAATGGGAAGTACCTTGGCCTTATAGCATGTCAAGAAGTTTTGTTTCGAGAAGCTAAAACAGCGGAATAGGTTGTTTATAATACGCATAGTTTTTTTGACGATAACTTCAATATTATTATGCATTTTGAGGTTAGATGAAAAAATAACTCCGAGATCTTTCACACAATCCTCGTTATTCACTGTTGTACCATTAAGCTCGTAACTCGCAACACTTCGAACTCGTTTACCATAACTAACATGGAGACTTTTATTTGCTGAAAGTATGAGTTGTCTATCTGCAAGAAAATTTTCAATGGAATGGAGATCCTCTTGTAGCTTGTTTTGATATCCTGGAACAGAACTGCTAATCATTACTTTACAATCATCCGCGTAAATCAACAGTTTACTATATTTAAGTGCTTTTATCCAAATCGTTAATGTAAACAAGAAACATTAAAGGACCTAAACAGCTTCCCTGTGGAACCCCAGAAATGACTTCAATATCTCCCGAAAAATTTATCATTTACTTTTTACTTTTTTTGAGTCCTGTTAGTCAAATAAGCTCTAATCCAGTTACCAAGTTTTTCCTTTACATCCGTAGGCTTCAAGTATGGTTAAAAGTCTACGGTGACTGACTGTGTCAAAAAGCCTTTGATATATCCAAGTAAATACAGTCAACATTGTTTTTTTATTGTAAACTTCTTCAAAAAAATATATCTTTGTTTTTTTCCAGTAACTGAGTTATTGCACTCCGATTGTTCAAAAAAATCCGAACTGAGTTTTTAGAAAAAAATTTTGCTACGCCAAAGATGATTTCTTAAAGCTCTCACTACAATTGATTCGAAAAATTCGGCATGGCACACAGGTTAAAGAGACGGGCCTATAATTTTCAGCGGCGGAAGGGTTTCCTTTTTTTGAATACTGGAGAAACAATAGATTTTTTCCAAAGAAGAGGTAACGAGGAGCTATCTAATGACTTTCTGAAAATCATTGAGAGCGGGCGCGCTAAAGGAACTGCTAATTTTTTACATAATTTACTCGAAAGTCCGTCTGGGCCTGAAGAGCTTAAACTTTTTAGATTTTTCATACATTTATAAACCACATGTTCATCTACGCAAACGTCCTCCAAAACTGTACTAGTAACCGAAGGGACGCTGAAATTTTTATTGTCATCAATACGGTAGACCGAACTGAAATATGAATTAAAAATGGTCGCGATCTCCTCACTTTTTTGAATGGAGCGACCTTCGAAACATAGAGATTTTGGCTGCATAGAAACAGTGGTTTTCCTCTTAACATAAGACCAAAATGCTTTACTGTTTTTAGATCCGTTTAGTACTCGTTCTTCTTCTGAAACTTTGTAGTTTTGGACGCTGGTCTTATACAATTTAAGGATCTGCCTATATTTTTGCTCTTTTTGTGGAGACGAGGATTTTTTAAAATCAATATAGCATCTTTCGACTTTTCTTCTCATTCTTATCAGGTATTGCGGGAATTTGAACGGTTCTATAATTTTTTTTGGTATGAAATGATTGCAGAGTGGCTCAAGTATAGAAATGAACTTTTCATACATTTCATCTACTGTACGACATGTGCTGAACCGATAATTCCAGTCTATCCAAGCTAATGCATTATTTAAAGACGCGAAATCAGCATTTTTTTGTAATCTGAAATTACTTTTTGGCGGGAAAAACCTTTAAGTTTGAAGTTTTTTTAAGTTGAGCTGGCACGTGATAGAACAGTGATCTGATAAGGGTTGTGATATTTTTTTACATCTGAGACTATAGATCCGTTATTAGTTAGAACTAGGTCTAAAAATGCTAGAACCCCGCGTAGGTTCTTTTACTAATTGCGAAAAGCCAAACTGTGATACACATTGTAAAAAACTTCTCGACATGCCATTATCGGCTCTAAGAAAATCCCACTTTATATCTGGAAGATTGAAATCACCTCCAATGATGTGACATAGATCTCCTACTTTAACTGTGATATTATTTAAATAGGTCTCGAAATGTCCAGCAAAAACTCGCATCCCATCCAGGAGGTCTGTATAATCCCGTCAAAACCCATGTTTGCTTTGAAATTGGATGCATTATTTTTACAGATATAACCTCTATCGAACTAATTGACATACTGCCAACAACTTCACTGATATACGTAGAAGGACACAAAATTAATACCCCACCGCCTTGCCTATTGTTTGGACGACAAAGACTAAACGCAGAAAAATTTTCAAAATGAGTAAGTAAAGAAATTTCATCACTATTATTAAGCCACGTTTCCGTATAAACAAAAAATGATGACGGCGAGCAGAAGCAATCGATTTCTAACGCTAATTTTTTAGACTTGATACCTCTCACATTGGCTATAAATAACTGACTGTTTTGGTTCATTGTTTCTTCTCTTGCACTACATTTTCGTTGGCGTTAAGTGTGGCCGTTTTCCCGTCTGAAACATTGAAAACCATACCGCTCCCGGAGGTATGTGACGTTTTCTTCTTGTAAATCATCAAATCTCGGACGACGAACTTGGTACCATCGGTGGAGTTCTCATTCATTTCACGGCATTGCCTTCTGAGTTGACGATCCATGGATAGTTCATCAATGGTGAGATCATCTCTGGCGAATTTGCATATGGCGGACCGTCCCAGAAGTCTTTTCACACGATCCTGATGTTCTTTGCGATGAAGTCGAACCTTGACAATGCGCTCTTTGCCAGGGTGGAGCTCTCCGTGACGGAATATACTGTCGACATCAGACGCACCGAAGCCTTCCGGTCCTAGTATTTTCATACACTTGTTGTTGAGATCTTCTTCGGCTTCTTCTGGCATCCCAATCAGCACCACGGTGAAGTCCTTTTTGTGGATTTCGCGGTCACGAGCGATCTTCCTGCTTCGTAGTTCGCAAATAAGTGGGTTCACATCCGGCTTGGTTGTCGCGGCTGCCTCAGCATACGTCTTCGCGTCAGCCCTGTCGCGACTCGAAGAGAAGAGATTCATCAGTTTCTTCAGATCCGCTGTCAACGAGTTGATGATGTTGTCTCGCTTCTCCAACTCCGCTGAAAGAAACGCAACTTGGTCACTTTTTGTATCTATTTCCTCCCTCAGTTCAGTTATTGAGCGTGTGGTTGAGGCCATAGAGGCCTCCAGGAGCCGTTCCAGAGCCGTCATGCGTTCGGTAAGAGTCGGAGCCTTCACGGGTTTGGCAGAGGAAGACATTGTTGACATAGCACTCCCGGGGTGAAAATTTCACGGCAATGAAAATTTCACGGCAATGAAAATTTCACGGCACTTCAATACAAAAAAATCTATTTTCAAAATCTATTTTTTTTACATTAATCTCAATAACCTTGCAGGAGAGTTCAATGAGTAGGAATCTCGTATGACGTCAAATACCACAGAAAAAAAGTTTCTCGCTTCAAATTTATTATAAAAATTTGTTCAAACACCTTTAAAAAAAGATTCGAAAGAAACTTTTCAGAACTTCCTATAATGTAAGAAAGCGCCGACTTCCAAAAATCAAGCAAAAAAGCCACGATAAAAAAAAGAATAGAAATAACAACTCCATACTGACGAAAAGGCTGACAGAAAAATTCAAAAATTCTTTAGGATAGGTTTCAAAAGCCACTTTCAAAAAAGTAATTGCTAGAAAACTTACTAAAATCCAATTACATTTACAAAAAACTTTTAAGTCCGAAGAAAGTCATCAAGAATAACCTATGATCAATACGAGGCCTACTATTCTCACAAATACCAAAAAATCCCGAGTGGAAACACAAATCGTAACTTGCGATTTTTGTTATTACTAGAATTGCTCAGAAACGTCCGGGACACGTCCGTTTGACGTTACCAAAGTCCGAGTGAAATCTAATTTCTCGTTGTTTCTCCGTGAAGCGCAAGTTCACCGGCAGGAATTTTTTTTATCTGAAAAGACAACTTTTTTGGCATATTCTGCGTTACCTAAATGAAAATGGATGAAAATAGATTCTTTGTTTTGAAAGACTCCAAATTTACACTTTCCAAAACTTCAGAATCTTAAACCCTGAAAAAAGTAAATTTTTTTCCGGTTCTATTTACCAAAACAAATTTCTAAAGGTCTGTTCGACCATACAGTTTTCGATTGCTTGTCGTTTCTTTTTCATATTCTCGAGTCTAAAGAAATCATGTCACCATCGAAAAAGACTATTTCCCTTTTCTGTATAACTTTCAGCTTTTGTAAGTTTTGCATTTTTTTTTGAAATTTCCTTCAGGAAATCCACTCTAATAACATTTCAGACTTACTTTACAACTTCGACTTATTTTATTTGAAGGAAGACCTGACGGAGAAGAGAAATACGGATCAAGTTTCAGTAAAAAGAGAAATCGAATTCAAAAATTTACGCCAAAAATATCAAATTTTAATCTCTCCCAACAGTTCTCAATTTTTGGGGTTTGTTTCCTTTGATCATTTATACAGGGTGACAAATAAATATTGAAACGCGTTTGAAACGTTATAACTTTCTCAAAAGTCAACCAAACACCACCAAACTTGGAACAAATTTTATTCATACAATATAGAAACAAAATTCAAGGATAGTTTTCAAAACGTCCTCCTTTAGCAGTGATAACGGCCTTCAGTCTCTTCGGATACGCATCGATCACGGCACGAAGGTAGTCGTCGTCGATTTCGTCCCATTTCTTGATGAGCGCGGTCTTCAGAGCTTTGATACTTGGGTAGTTCTTAGAAGAGACCTTCTCGGTCAGATATATCCACACGGCCTAGTCCATCGGGTTGAGGTCGGGCGAGGAAGCAATCCAATCAGCAGCCGAGATGAACTCGAAAAATTGGCGCGATACCACTCTTGAGTCCCTTTGGCACGATGAGCGCGGGCGCAGTCTTGCTGGAAGGTCCATGGTCGGTTTCCGTAGTGAGAATTGGCTTAGGGCAACACCCTCAACTTCAAAATCTACTCCCTGTAGTATACTCGGTTCACTTTGACTCCAGGATCCACAAAAATCAGCGGAGTTTTGCCGTCAGCGGTGATTCCGGCAAAAACCATCACGGAAGCCGGATGCGAAGTTTTATTCAGATTTCCTTTTTCACAGGTACTCTGATAGTCAGTAGCGATGATCCGATGATTTTGGCCGTTCTTGTTCGCCTCCACAGTGAAGATTTTCTCGTCGGTAAATAGCGTCGTCAGATGCGAGCCATCTTACGTGCCAGCGAGCAGCTTTCAAGCCTTTTTCATCCGCAATGTCTTGTTTTTTTGATTGAGGAAGGCTCCTTTCTGCATACGGTAGGGAATCATCTTCAGCTTGTCCTTGACAATAGTTCTCATCGATTCTCGACTCATTTCGTATTCTTTTGACATCTTTCTCATGTTTTTTTGACATCTTTCTCAGTGCGTCTGATTTTCTCTCGAACGGCTTTGACTGCTTCTGGAGTCGTGACGGTGACTGGACGTCCCCTTCTTTGGATGTCATCTGAAGTACCGAGACGCCGATAGCGTTGTGCAGTTCGAAAAACGAGAACACGAGACACTTTCAGCTTTTTAACGATCTCTGAATTTGTCATTCCACTTTTGACACAATCAATGATTGCGGTACGGTACGGAGATGGGGCCACCATTACCTGAAAACTGAAAAGTATGAGCTGTAACTTCAAACACATGATAAGTGAGCATGAATGAACGAAATAAACAAAAAAATTCAAAGGCCAGTCCTTTGTGCAAAAAGCGGCGATCAAACAAAAAACGGTTTCAATATTTATTTGTCGCCCTGTAGATTAAAATTCATATTATACTCTGTGAAGAACGAAAAATAAATAATGAAAGTTATAAAATTGATTTTTATTGAAAATTAAAGGAATTGAAAAATTCGCTCCCTCTTTAAAGTCTCCGGAATCATAATGTTCTTCAGGCGAACTATAATCCTTATTATCGTATTATCAATGGCGGAAAACTACGAACAGCGGCAGGTGATTAGGAAGACTTATGGCGACCCGAAAATCTCCAAATCAGTTGCGGTAAGCTCGAAAATGACTGGATTTTTCTTATAAAATACCTTAATAGGAAGGAAAAATTGCCGTCAATTTCATCATGTCGCGACCAAAAACTGAAAAGCTCATGGGAGAATCGAAAAAGGAAAATTTGGCATACGGGGACTTAATTTTAACGGATCTACCAGAAGACTACTATCTCTTGCATTTGAAAGTTCTATTTCATGCTCTTTCGAAAAAGTTGAGTTGTTAAGGTTTACGCTCTGCTGAAATTTTTTCAAGAAAACTGCCTTGAAGCGGATTTTGTATTGAAAATCGACGAAGACACTGCCGTCGACGTCGACCGAATGCTTTATTTTATTGGAAGGGATTTGGATACGGATATTCGGTCAATTAGCGGGATAGTTTTGACTGAATCGAAGGTTCAACGAAGGCCTAAAGATAAATGGTACGAGATATAGTTTTCATAAAGGTTGCGTGCCAAAGTCCTGACGCGTGTGGTTGCGAAGCGTTCGCCCTGCATACCGAACTTTCCTCGAAACCAAGACAAAAAAACACTTTTGAATTTTCACTTACTCAGTTCAAAAAAATAAAAAATAACAACTTTGCAGCTTTTAGTATAGCCTGTGTACCACGTTTTGGAATTTCACCATTCCGTTGCGCCACTGCGCGCGTTTGCGAAATTTGGTCGCGCTTTTATTTCTTTTCTTTTATTAAGGTTTTCTACTTTCATGTGCTCCCGCAGCAATAACAATCCATTGAAAGCGTGACCTAGATTCGGAAAACGCTTCGCGAACACACGCAGCGGAACACCGGAATGTCGTTCGGTGAAATTTCAAGTCGTGGCATACAGACTATAACACTCTTTTGAAAAGTTGAGCCGTTTTTTCAAACACCAGCCTCTTTTGAGAAAACCAACCAAAAGTCATTGAAATTCGTAAGCGATTTTTTTCAAAAAGCCTTTTCAGAAACTTATTTTTCTGTCCTTTCAAGCTAAACCTGCTTCGCAAACTCACGCATCACAGCTTTGTAATGCCCCGCTTTCGCAAAATAAAACTATTATTATCCCTGCATAACTTTGGGTACGCTCCGGTCGAAGAATGGGCAGAATCCTACTATCCAATGTACTGCGACGGACCTTTCTATCTAGTCGGTCGAAATGCCGTCGAACGATTATTGACTCATGCGAAAACTACTAACGCATTCCGATTTGAGGTTTCCATGAGTCGGAAAAAAATGAAAGATTTTTGTTCCAGGACGTACTGTTCACGGGAATCATTGCGAGGAAGGCGAAAATTCGAAGGAATCAATTACATCATTTGTTGCATTTTGAAAAAGTTGGTCGTTTAATCAACCTATCTTTAATGCTCGTAAAATTCTCAAACTCAGCGGGTGCTGTAAAAAAAAACATTGATCCTTCGTTTCTTTTTTAAGAAATCATCATGTTGTTTCTAAGACTTCAAAGGCGTAGAAGCCTCGCTTGACTTGAAAAATGCTGGAAATGGCTATTTATTGCAAAACCTTTAAGTAAATTTCTTCGCCCTTTCGAAATCCCGACAAGAATTTTAAACTACCCGGTCTCAAAAATGTGTTTTACCTACTGTTTTTTATTCCAATCATTTTTTCTAGGATCGCAAATTCGGCTGCGCAGAGGAAAATGGAATCAAAATACCGTATCTTTTCGGTATTCATGGGTTGAAAGACCCGGCCAATTTCAAGCGAGGCTTCTACAAAAATTCGCAACCACAAATGCTCATAATTTCATCAATAAAAAAAGTTTTTTTCTTTTGAGATCGTTCACCTCGAAGAACCAATGCTAAAAATTGATGCAAAAAAACTTCTTTTTTTCCAAATTAATTACATTTTTTTCAGAATTTTTTTAACACAATTTTAGTTAAATTTCTTCTCAACTCGACCTTTTTGGCATTCTGTTTAATCGGGCCCAGGCTTGTGCGTCAGGCCGGGCTTTGAGTCTTTTTTTGAGAAAAAAAAATTGCGATGGCTTCGAAAAACTTTTTTAAAGTTTTTACTTGTTAAATCATAGTTTCTGTCAATTTCTGAGTGAAAAAAAGTCTCAACGCGATTTTTTTCGTAAAAAGCTTGCTATAGTCTGTTCAGATTTTAAATTTCAAGTCGTCGCTCAAGCTCCGCCCCCTAATGGCGCGGTAAACCAATCAGAGAGCGAGCCATCCACATAGCGTTTTCGAATGACGTCTTTCTACTTGACATTCGAAATCTGAACGGAGTATATAATCTGTGTGCCACGACTTGAAGTTGCACCGAACGACATTCCGCTGTTCCACTTCGTGCGTTCGCCTTGATAAAAGAAAATAAAGGCGCGACCAAGGTTCGCAAAGTCACGCAGCGGCACAGCGGAATGTCGTTTGGTGAAACTCCAAGTCCTGGTGCACAGGCTAAATTCGACTTTGAGATTTTTGGGGCGGGACATTTTCGGTTGAGGCCTTTCTAAGGCCTGGCCAGCCTTAAAAATGGCTGAGGGCCGACACAATTCCGATTGGACCCAGGAAAGAACGGAAAAAGGGAGAGATCTGAAGATAGGCCTTCCAGACAAATGTATGTAGTCTCTACGGACTTTCTTCTTCGAGACTTTTCGGAATTTTTTCGGAAACCGGAACTTTTGGTCTCAATGCGATTAGAAATATGGATAGGAATCTCTGCTAAATTAAAAAAGATTTCGACAGAACACTGGTTACAGTTATTTCTTTTGAATTCGTGATCTCTTTCTCAAAATTGAGCGCAAATTTTTTTGAAATTAAATTTCAAGAAAAATGGACGAATATTTTTTTCGAAATTATAATTTTGATAATTTTTTCGTAGTTCTACAGAAAAATAAACTCAATTTCTGAGCTAATTCCTCACAGAAACCCCTTCTTATGGGAAGGACAAACTTCTTGTGATTCGCAAAATAATAGAAAAATGAGAAGCAAAGCTTTAAAACTAAAAAACTTACTTTCGTGCAGCTTTTCACAGCCTTCGTTTTCGAAAACTTCGATCCCATCCTATTTCGTTCCATTTTGCAATTATTCTTTCTGAAAATCGATTTTTCGAACCGAAAAGTATCCTGACAACGACAGAAACGATATAAGGAATATAATTTACCAAATAAAACTTTTTTCGAATATTAGAATGAACAAAAATAAACATAAAGCTCTGTGGAACAACAATTGGAAAGACACAGTCAATATCAATGTAATTAAAGGAGCAGGGGAAAGAAAGTGATAAAGGTCTCAAGATAGTTTCGAATGGTTATTAAGGTATCGTAGGACTTTTCGATACACGAGGAAAAGCAATTAACAGACTAACTTTCTCGATATAAAAAAATTGCTAAAATCACATGATGAAGCGAAAACGCGTTACTGAACGCAAATTTGTACGAAAAGTTAAGAATCAGTTCATATATTATCGGTGAATTCGATTCGGTTCTAATCTCCCTTATTTTTCTTTCCTGAGCATTTCAAATTTCGGATTCGATTAAAGGCGTCCGTAAAACTGGCGGTTTCTTTGAAAGAATGAACTCCGAAAATCGTCGGCGTTTGAACTCCATTTTCTTCAGTGCAAGCGGCCGGGATCTCCTCAGAGTGCTGGAATTTTTTTTTAAATTTTCGAAGCAAGAAAAATATTTTACTTTGTTTGTAAGAAGTTGAGAGAAAACACACTTTTTTTTTCGAAAAACTTAAAGCTTGACACTTTTTTTTCTCATCAGTCATTTGCCCGGAGCCAACGTCGGGTATAACCAGATCTCTAAATGAGATGGAAATTTGAATATTACGTATTTTTTCTGGAGACTGAGTATCCAAAAAACTTTGAAAAATGAAAAAAATGCTCTCCTATCGAAATTTCTTCTGAAACCTGTGAAAGAAAACTTTCATACCGCATAAAAAGGAATCAAATGTCGATCCCACTTGTTTCTCGGTACCCTCGCTTTCCTCGCAATGATTCCGGTAAACAATACGTCCTGAAATGAAATTGCTAAATCTTCCAATAGAAAAATAAATTTGCCTCAAATCGGAAAGCGTGAGTTGTTTTTGCATGGTGCAGTAGTCGTTGAGCCGCACTTCGGCCAATCAAATAAAAAGGTCCGTTGCAGTACTTTGGATAGTAAAACTCGCCCCACTCTTCCTCAGTAACGAACCTAAAATCAAAGCTTTATTCTTGTCAGTTTTTGAAAACAATTCAAAAGCTTAGGCCTTTTCAAAAAAAATATTGTGTGACAACTTCATGGCCAGTGAAATATGAAACTTGAAACATTGTCATTTCGTGAAGTCTACTTGAAACTGCAAAAAGTGTTCGATTTAAAAAAATGACTTTTGAATTCGCGCCAACACAGCGAAGCAATCATTTTTGCAAATATTTAATCTACTGTTACATGAGCTCATCTTTGGTTAGTCGAATGCTTTTGTGAAGGAAAATTTCTTGAAAGAAACTGAAAACTTTGAAAACAAAAAGAAAAATCGAGAAAAAAAAGAGGTTCTTTTTTGTCCGAAATGCAACTTCGCTGCGAAATTCAGGCATTGTTTATTCATTAACTCAAATATCATTACACACCGGCAAAATGCCTCTAAAACGCGGTAGAATCATAGTTCTTTAAATTATCAAAAAGAAGAAATTTCAAACGTTTAAATGTAGAAGAGCCAATTCTTAACATAAAACCGCTCAAGAAAAATCTCGAAGACACTTTAAAAAAAATTATAAATCAAACCATTTGTCGGTGGGATCTCGTCGAGCCTTTGAATCGTACCATACAAGTCCGCTGATTGACAAAACATTGGCATAAATATCTTTCTCGATGTAATATAGCATCCGGTCGACGTCCACAGCAACGTCTTGGTCAATTTTCAGTACGAAATCGGCTTGAAGACAGTTATCTCGGAAAAAGTCCAACAGAGCGTAAACCTTGAAAACTTGAGTTCAAACATTCATAAAAAACTGAAAACCTTCAAATGCAGTAAGTCATATTCGTCCGGCAGATCGGTGACAATCAAGTCATCGTAAGTCGAATTTTCGGTCAATAATTTGTGCATGAGTTCTTGGGACTTCGGTTGTGAAATGATGAAATTCACGACAATCTTTCCTTCCTAAAACTGGTTAATTTTTATAGGAATAGTTTGGTTGTTGTCATGAAGTTCTCTGTTTCGGTGACTTCCCGGTGATGGAAAAGAGAGGGCAGACGGGTCAGAGTCATTCAAGTCATCTTTTGACACTCACCTCAACTGTTTTGGACACTTTCGGGCTGGCCCAAGTTGCCCGGATCGTCTGTCGCATTTCATAGCCGTCTGCCGTTGATAACACAATGGCCAGAATTTTTGGTTTCCTGAGAAAACAGTTCTGAATTTCGGAAACTTCTCTCGGAGCTCGGTAAAGCAAACCGGACGTTTCTGAACATTTCTAGTGATACCTTTAGCGTTTTCAACACTCTTGTGTTCACTACAGAAGCTCAGAAACTCTCCTTCGAAAATTTTATAAAAACCAAACCCTGAACACTGCGAACTGTTGGGAGAGATCAAAATTCGATAAGGCTGATGTATGTTTCTGAAGGAAATTTCCTTTATCACTGCTTCTCGGCTTGCTTTCTCCTCTTCTGCGCGGTCATACACATCAAGAGCGAAAGTACAGAATAACCCTAGAAATAATCTGTAAACTCGATTCATAAAACATCTGGGATTCTATTAATTTTCAATTTACAACACCAGAAAGTATATGATCCGACTTTGAACGCCGTGGCCGCACGTGGAATAGCTCAAGCGGGCTTATGTAAGAAGAACTCTCATATTTCCCGATGCCAAGTCGCGCAAGTCGTTTTGGGTCGGATGCTCTTTGAAAAACCTTCAAGTTTTTTGGAGGAAAAAATCCTCATAAAGATTTCTCAGAAGTCACACTTTACTCACAATTATTAATTACAAATCTTTTTGATTAGCAGGTGACGCCCCTTTTTTGGTTTTCTCGAGAAAATTGGAGAATTTTATCGCTAGAGCGTACTCACTTCCTACGAAATTTAAAATCATACATTGATTTATTCGTCTTCAAACAAGTTTTTTTATATTCCGAATTCTCATATTACGATCCTCATGATTTTCAAAAAAACTTCAAAAAAATAAAACCCATTTTTTTAAAATGAAAAATAAAAAAATCTTCAAGCACTCACAAAGAGCGAGAGCAAGTGAGAGAAGGAGAATCCTTCTCGGGGTGGACATGTAAAATTTATATCTGAAAGAAATCATAAGCAAAGTGAATGAAAAAGGGACGAAAAGCAATCAGAAAAAAAAAATTGTGTGTATATGGGAACAGCAGCGGTACTGCTAGAAGAAAAAAAAAACGGGAAAAGGAAATTTCTCTAAATTTTCAGGAGTGTTAAATTTTTCACACGACTTTTTCATTATTCTGAAACAAATGGACAAAAAGGGCGGTTTAGTGTGAAGCTTGGAATTTCTAAAAATCCAAAACAAAAACAAAAAGCCGTAGCGTACATCAGTGAAACTACAATTCAAAAAAACGGGTTTCAAAAAGAGCTCGAATTTAGGATCGTTCGCGTGACTGTATTTGCTCATATCCCCACTATGAATAAACCACGCCCATTTTCGTTTCTCGCAAAAATGAGAATTTTCCCTGGCTACAAAAAAGTTTTACTGAAAGAAAAAAGAAGAAAAAATCCTTTCTTCGGATTAGTCTGAGATGGATATAACAAAATTTAGAGAAAGAGAAAAGTTTTAGAGAACCAAGAAAAATATTTTTTCCAATTTTTAGCAGATGTGAAACAACACCGAGATAATGTTGAAATTTCTTCTATATCAAGTTAATTGAAAAAATTTTTATTTAGAGGTTTTTTGGCATCAGGAAAAATGAGAGGTCTCTGTAGAACTTTTTCCTCGAAGCAGCGGTGAGAGCATTATAGAATTCAGTTCAAAAACATTTAAGAATACTTCCTAGAATGAAATTCGACCTATTGAGAAGAATCTTCTTGAATTCACGTAAATTCTCTCACAGACAGAAAAAAGACCGGACCGCTCTCCGACTTAGATTTGTCCGATAAGCTAGCAACACCAAGTTTGGTCAGAGAAGTTGAATCCTCAGAAATGATAAAATTTGAGGTAATATATATACTTCCATGTAATCGGTCGACATGAGAAAAAGCCAATAAATTTCAAAAAATGATGAAAATTGGGGATTCGAGGGAGCGAGATACATGCTACTAGTGAGAATATTCGGGGAGGGAAGCGTCGGGAAACTTCTTCTCGTAGATCCGGCGTCCGATTCGGTAGGACGAAGATTCCCCCTGGCTACAAAATTAAGGATTCGCGTGTAATTCGTGTTTTTGGTTTTGGTCGTAGAAAATTCAAAACGTTTTGGTCGTAGAAAATTCTTCCAAAAAAGCAGGAATTATGAAAAAAAAAACACCGCTGAGACCTACAAGATAGGATTGCACGGAAGAGATTTGCGGAAGGATACTGTTTTTCCATCGTTAAAAGATTGATGATAGGGAATCTAGGAGTGTTTAGAAGATGAAAATTAAAAAATTAATTTTAATTAAGCGCTCATCGTTTAGAAACATGCAAAAATAGCAGTTCCTTACGTTCTTTGAGACAATCTTCTTTGAAATGTCTTCCATTTATCGCTGTATTGGGATAGAAAAGATTGAGTAGACGTCAAAGCCTCTTGTTTTTCACATTTTTTACTTGAACTTCCCATTTTCTCAATTAATATTTTTTTTCAAGCCAGCGTTCAATTATGCCGAACTTAGAATTTTCTAAACGCGAAAAACATGACCTTTACGCCTTTAAACAGAGTGAAAAAAATTGTTTATTAACCCCAGTTATATTTCTAATTTTAAAAAAACATCAAAGATTCTCCAATAATTGAAAAAAATCTATTTTGTTTCAAAAAGCAGAAAAAAAGTTTGAATGATTTTTTTCAATAAGAAGAAACGAATATTGACGCAAATTATCCCAGAAGGAATTTCTTCAATCAAATACTGTATTTTTTTAAAAACTGTCGCTCACAAGGAAAGGAAGAGTCAGAAAGGCCTTCTGAAAGTGCTAAACAACGACTAGGGATTTTTTCTTAATGATTCATATAAGATTTGAAAAGCTTTTAAGAAGCTCGTTTTATCGACTTTACAAAAAAGGGCTTCTTTTCAGAAACTCCTTTGTGGATCTCTCTGGACCCGTGTAGAATTCCCTATATCTAGATAGCGTTCTTCCATTTTCCCTTTCTCAATTTCGAAAATCGAGTCACGCCTTCAAAAAATTCTTTTCGCTTCGAGATGCGACTTTTGAAGATACTATCATACGAGGAACCTGGTTCCTCTTTTTTTTTCGAAATTTCGTTTACTTCGTAATTTACAAAACTCACTATTTCATTTGACACATAGGCAAAGTCGGAAAGGGTGGAAAGTAGCTCCATAAAACTTTGCTTTTAGAGTGACAAAGGTTCCTTCTTTGCTGTCTTACCTAGTTGAATAAGTATCGATATCTTTGAGATTCGTTTAGTTTTTGTGTCATTTTTTCACCGGTTTCCCGATTTCGCAAAGAAATTTTCGAAAATTCAGTAAAAAAATTAATTTTTTTCTGGTTTTTTTCTTTCAATTCTTCAATGGTCTGAAAAGCTGTTGGACAGTTTGATATACCGGAGTCCCTAATAAATCCAAGTTTCGTTAAAATTCTCTAACTTTAAAGTGAGTTATAGTCTGTGTTTTACCGAACGACATTCCGTTGTTCCGCTGCGTGCCTTTAAATTTTTTTATAGAATCTGACCAACACGTGTTCCTAGTGGAACAGTCCATCTATCAAAAATGAGAACCAGTTCAAAGCGAGACCGAGGCACGCAAAGACGCTTCGCGACGCAGCGGAACAGCGGAGTGTCGTTCTGTGATATTTCAAGTTTTCGCACACAGAGTATAAAGCAAAAAAAAAAATAAGGGTTGATTTATTTTTGGACAGTACTGTAGCTGTTCGCATCAATAAGCATCGCTCATTTTTCAAAGTTTTATTTCATTTTTCGTAAGTAAATTCGTCATCTTTGTTCAAATTAATGATTGAGAAAAATAATGCGACCGAGCCATCAAAACAAAAAAAGTGTGACAGGATGCGTGGAACGGATAGAGCTGTTGGTTCGGTGCTACGAGAAGAACGAGTTTTCCATTTGCGATTACTGTATGCGGATATGCGCATTGCGTGCATACATTTTGCGTGTTAACACTTTCGTTGCGTGACGTCACCAGGTCGGACATCTCCGGGTTTTTTGTTACCGAGTTTTTTTTTTCGAATAGTTTTCAGTTTTCTTTTTTTGATAATGTTTTTTATCGTGCAAATATCATCGAGAAACATGCAAATCTTGATAAAAGCAAAAAAAATTGAAGAATATTCGAAAAAAATACTCGGAAACAAAAACCCCGGAGATTTCCTATCCGGCAGGCTTGTGCGTCAGGCTGGGCGGCCCGGGCTTTGTGCCTCATTTTTCAGGAAAAAAAGCGCGCGTGGGCTCGGGCCGGGTTTCAAAAAAATTTACAATTTCATTTAAAAAAATTTCCACCGAAATGTGACTTTTACTTCTGAAATCATAGTTTTTTTGTTAAACTTTAAAAGAAAAAAATGAGCAAAAAAACGTAATTTTTTTGTCGTAAAAAAACTTTATATCCAACTAGAAAAAAATTGCGATTCGGGCCGGGCGGGCCATTTTTTTCTTGAGGCCCGCTAAGGTCGGGCCAATTTCAACAAATAATCAAATATAATTTTTTTCCCCTATTTAGTGTTTGCGATCGTTATATGAGCAGAGGAGAGTTGAAAAAAATCGAGGTGACCGAAATCAGAGGAAAAACAGAAAAACGTTAAGTTATTTTGACAGCTTCTGGACGCGAATGAGAAGGTCAGCTCGTCAAAATTCTCCAAAAATGCGAGAAGGGCTGAAAATTGACAACCTTGTACATTGGAAATAAAAATTGATACTGAACCAATGGATCTTCATTTCGAGTTTCAGTCGCTGAAATTCCCGTTGTTGCCATCCTCTCTGAAAATAAAAGATTGAATAACCAATGAGTAAAAAAAAGCAAAGGAGACTATGAATATTTCGAATATTCATTCCAATGCCATTGAGGACTAACAGACTGAAATAACTCAAACTATGGTTCATAATTCATAATTCAGCATATTAGGCAATCCGAAACTTCTCAATTACCGCCAAATACTGGAGACTACTGTAAAAGTACAGAGGTTCAAACGAGTTTGCAAAATTCCCAGCTTAAGCAGACCGAAACAACAAAAAATTGAATATTTTAGCGATAATTAAACTTCGGTGAGCTAAAAAGTTTGTGATTATCAATCGAAATATGTCTTGGATTAAACTCAGGTTGAATTGAGAAGAAAATGTGTTAGATATTCGCTTTAATAAAAAAAAATGTATTTAAAAATGAGTTCGTAAATACCGACGGCGCATTGTGTGCATGCACCCGCGCGCAAAGGTGCCTGCACAAAAATTTTTTTGATAAAAATTGCTCGTTTTTGGACTTATTCGAACTTTTGCCGAGCTTTAATTTCCACTTTCCGGGTTTATGAAGATGGAAAAGTGTCTAAGCAACACTTTTTTCGTTGCTTAATTGACTCCAATCAAGTTTTGAAAGGAACGGGAATTTCGAAATGAAACACTTTTTTGAACTTCTTTTTCATCACCTTTTTAATGCTGTGTTTAAAGTTATCCCCGCGAAAAGCAAAAATGGTCTATGACTCTTTTTAGTTTTTTTAAAAATTTAATTATATTTTCCTGTCTCTAACGGGTATTTTGCGTTTCGCGGAATCACTTTGAACACGACATAAACGAACAAATGCGCGATATACTTTGATTTTCTTTTTCAATCTTTTCGATAACGACCTCAAATAATTTATGAAAAAAAGCTTTTCATAATAATGATTGATAGTTATGATACACACAGTGCTCAAATTTAACTTTTCACACAAATCGCCGATAAATCCAAAATTTCGTGTCAGAGCGTTTTTTGTTCTGTTTTGAGTCAAAATTCGGATTTTACGTCATGAATTATGTCATATTGCACTTTTTTTTATCTAAAGCGAAAACGCGCGAGAAATAGAAATGTACAAATTCGAAAAAATCTTCAATTTTTTTCTAGATACGATCACTACACGCAAAAAGCTGTTTTTGAATTAAAAAAAGGAAATTTTCTGATAAAAATTCTTCCTCGAGTCTTCTATCTTTTTTTCAAAAACTAGCAAAAATACTAAACTTTTTAAATTTCGTACTAACCCGTAAGCGACTGACATGGATTTCAAATGATTAAAATTTGAAACTGAATTTGATAGAAAGATCTAGGGAATTTTCAAACTACTTTTTGGGCTATAATTTTTTTATCATTCTTTTTTTGTGCAGGTCAACCGTTTTTGAGAATGAAACTGAAGCAGCTATGGAAATTCGAAATCTGAAAAAAATCGTTTTCTAAAAAAATAAAGGTTCGCTTATATTGGCCAGTAAGCACTCGCAGATGCTTCCGTCGTTCACCCGAAACGGAGAGATTTTCTGGGAGTCCAAAAAAAGCAACTGGAAGGTTTCTTAGGAGTTGCCCATTCAGGATATTCAAGGTTTCTTCGTTGCCACTTTTTATGGGCAAGTTTATAGGCTTTTTGTGAAAAAAATGTTTGCTTTCTCTCTTTTTCCGTCATTCGATGAAGTTTAACTTTCGAGATAAAAATGAGAATATCCATACAATGATTTTTTCCGAGCTCATACGTTTCATGCCTACTGAGCTTTTACAAATTTGGTTATATATAAAATTTTCAATCCAAAAATGGATCATTTTTTCGAACTTCCATATTTTGATAGGACTAAATAAAAAGCTATGAGACGCTAAAAAAATTCTTCTCGGCCATCAAAAAAATTGTTGGCTATCGCCAAATTCTAAATTTACCGGTTTCTGACTTTCAAAAAAACATTCTTATAATTTTTTTCAAATTAAAAAAAGGATTTTTCGCAAAGCAGAAGGTTTGAACTAGCCACGCACGATCGGCATCGAGACGCACTCGGACTGCGCCACTGGAACTCTTCCCGGCTTGCCTCCGCCTTCCGGATCTCTTCTACCGTAACCGGTCTGAAAAAGTCAACTAACTCGGTACAGAAACTGTATCAAACTTACTTGATCCCACCCCATTATCTAACCCCTTCCAATTTTTTTGAAAAACAAAAAGACTTTGAAATGGTGTTTTTTTTGGAGAGAGCTAGTTTTTTTTCTTCTATCGAATTTCCTCCAAAAAAACAGTAACTTTAAGAATGAAATTTTTATGGCAAAATAATTCCTGATTATTCTTTTCTCCGGAAAAAACTCAACTCGCTCAAAATTTAAAAAAAGGTAACTTTCGATGCGAAATCCGTAGTTTACTAAAGAATCAAAAATTTCATCAATATTAATTGGTTGTTTTTAGTCAGATGGAATCGACTAGGCGGTGAAAAAATCGCTCTTTTGAACGGCACTAACACCGCCTTTGGCGAAAAAGAAGTCAAACGTGTAGTCGATTGATTTGAAAGCATAGTCTTACGGTCCTTCGCCTCGTTCTTCCACAAGTAGATCCCTCAGTTTCGCAAGTACGGGAACGGCGGAGATCGGGGACGGACGCCGTATACACTCTAGGGTAGCCTCGGCCGATTGAGAGGATTCGAGTGAAGAAAAATACACGGAATGAAGAAAAAAATCTCGTCAATTTATATGAGCTATTGAAAAATAAGTACTGTTGATTGAAAAGTTAGGAAAAAATAAAAAAATCCTTGTTCCATTTTGGAGTTCTACTCAAAAAATATTCACTAAAAGAAAAAAAACTTGATATCGAAAAGTTCCTCCTCCTCCGATTTTTAAAGTTTACAAAATTCCATCCTCCTCCAGTTTCATAAATATTCCAAAAGTCGCCTTAGAAATTGAAAGAAAAAAATTCTGATATTTTTTTAAATCCTCCTCCTTCAATTTTAACGTTCAAAAAAGTCCATCCTCTTCCAATTTATTTTTGTACTTTTAAGGTTTAGATAAAAAATTCGCGCAAGGTTATTTAGGGCGTTACGAACATGAAAAAAAGGTTAAAAAAACGTTTCATTATTCGCAAAAAAACATTTTGAAGGCCCAAACACACTGAAATTTTTTTATGATTCCCAGCAAAAAAACTTAAATTTGAATAAAACTATAAAAAAAGACGAAGAAAAAGTCTTATTTATTCTAGTCACTAAATTTTTGGAATTTTTCATCAGGAATTTCAGCTGACCGACTAAAGCTGAACATTTCGAAACGTAAGATAAATGTTTAAAAAAAGAATGAAAATGTACTATTTTTTTGAGCAACTAAGACATTTTTTTCCCTTTTGAAAGCTGAAAAAAAGCTTTTTTTGAACCAAACTATCTCGAAAAATTATTCAAAAAAGTTTTGTAATAAACTATTCACTGGCAAATTTAAAAATAATTTTTCTTTTTCTTAAAAAGTTAAAAAGCTATAATGCTTCTGAAAAAAATAAAGGAAGGAAAAAAATGAACAAAATTTTTTTAGAGTTTTTTTCCGTTCCCACGACGCTACTGGAAACGCGAAAATGTTCTGCCTGATCCTAGTGGAAAAAAACTGTTTGAAAAAAATTAAAAAAAGTGTTCCGAAACTGAGAATTCGTACAACTTCGAACGACCGAAAAAAATTCTTTTTTTACAACATTTTTTTCGTTGGACACTATTGAAATACCAATTCTTTCAGCCAAAAATTGTTGCAAATTCGCCTAGAAGACAGTGAAAAAGGCGTGTCCAAAGATAAAAAGTGAGAAAAATGTCTTGAAAAAGCCTAAAAAAACCATGCTCGAAACAGTGAAAATGAAATTTTTCCGCAACGACTAAATATAATAATTATTTTTTTTGATGAGTTTTTTTAGTTTTACGATGATCACGACTTGAATCTAAATGTAAAACCTTTTTGCGTGTTCATTGTAAAAAAACGGAAATGATTGGAAAAATGAAAAATAAAATTGTTTTGAATTCAAAAAAATTCGTAGAGATTCGAAATGGATGAAAAAAATGTCTTTTTTTCCGTGGACACTGTTGAAATGAAACTTTTCCGAGCCAAAAATGTTTGAATTTTGACTCCGAAAAATAATGGAATGGCGTGTCCAGGGAAAAAAAGCAAAAAAGAAAAATGTCTCGAAAGGCTGAAAAAAACGCAAAAAAATTCTCAGAAACTGACGATTCGTACAGTTCTGAAAGACTGGATGGAAAGAAGTTGATTAAAAAAATGAATTTTTTTCCTTGGACACTTATGAAATATGAATTTCTTGAGCCAAAATGTTTTGAAAGTTGACTCAGAAATCAATGGAATGGCGTGTTCAGGGAAAAAAGAAAAAAAGGTTTTTTTGACTTCAAAAAAATGCTCCGAAACAGTGAAAATGAATTTTTTTGGAAGAGCTTGAAATGGGAAAAATTTGATTCGAAAATGGTGAAAAAGAAATGGTTGAGAATTGATTTCAATACATGTTCTTCATTATTGAAATCGTCTTGAAGAGTTTTTCAGACTCTCCACGATTTTGACATACAAAGTAAAATAACTATCGAGAACAATGAAATGTGATTGATTACCTAAGGGGAACAACTGAAAAGGGGGAAGGAGTTTTTTTTTTTTTCGTTTTTTTATTTTCTTTATTTTTTTGTATACTCCATTTTCTTTTTTTCTCATTTTACTGAAGGGAGGAAGATCTTCTCGAAGGATAACGCTCCAGAAGAATTTGATTTTTCTTCTTGATTTGACTTCCTTTCATGAATTCGTACGGAGATCTTCGATTTATAACGTTTTTCTAAAAATTCTTCCGTTATGAAAGTTGGACCAATCGAAAATTTTACCATTGATAACGTTTAGTAGATCAGAAGCTGCTTCGAAATCTTGCGACTGCGAAAAATTCGAACGAAAAAAATGCAAGAAAAATTGTCCGAATGGCTAGGAATTGATACGATTCCGAGCGATACTCTTTTTGGCCTGAATATTTCACAAAATTATGAATTTTTTTGCGAAATAACTCACCATTTAGAAGCCCTGTTTTTTTCAAAAAAACAGGAAAAAAACGGTTTTTCGTTTTTTCAAAAGTCCCGCTTCTATTTTTTTGATATCATTCAATTTTTTTCTTTGATAATTGAGCTTTCAACTGTCAGTTATCTGAAAAAAATGTTTATTATGATTTTAAAACTTAATAGGAAACTAACCAAGACAATTTTTCAAAAAAATCAGGTTTTTCAGGGCTGACTTCCATGCCGAAATTATGGCTTAATGGCGAATTTTTTTGCCTTTGTCGTTTTCAATCTGAAAAAAATGAGAATATTTTTTTCGAATTTCGAAAAATTAACCAACCTTGGGGAGACTTTTTTTCAAGACAAAAATTCCAATTGGGACGGGTGAATACAGAAAAAAATGATGATATGAGTAGAACTGATCGGCTTTCTGATAATATTTTAGTGTTCGCTGTTATTGAAATCTGGAAAAAATCTATTTTTCCTGTTGATAAGATAAGGTTACCCACCTGAAGCGTGACTATTCAAAGACCGAATGAGAGTTGGGACCGGTAAATGTAGAAAAATAGAATTATATGAGTCGAATTTCACATAATATCATAGTTTGAAATTATTGAAATCTGAATAAAAAAATGTTTTTTTCTGTAAATAAGATGAGGTTACACACCTGGAGCGTAATTTCAGAGAAAAAAATTCTTTTTTTCGACGATAAATGTTCCGAAACTTTTTGAAAATGCGGTGGTTAGTTTCCGACTTTGTCCGCTTCAAACTGAAATTTTCCTTTTATCAATAGAGTCTCTACTTTTTGATAATTACCTTTTGTTTATTCTTTCGAGGATCGCCGCTATCCGAGAAATTAAAAACATTATGTCGTAGAGGGCAGAGCTGGATTTTTTTAAGCCGAACATTCTCTTTTGGTCCAGCCCATATCTGCTGCTGAAAGACGTTTTTGCAGCTTTTTCCTGAATTTTCCCCGCATGATTTTCAAGTAGATGAGAAAACTAACCGAGAATGACTCTGACCACTTGATATTGATATTGATGATTGATATTAAGCTGGAGCCACAGAATTCGCGAGATTTTGCCGGAATGGAAAAAGTTCCATCCTTGTGCGAGGAGCTTGCTCATTGATTTCAAATTTTCGGTTTTTCTGAAGATTATCTCATTTTGTCATGTAGAAAAGGCAGAAAACTAACCAAAAACCGGAGTTGAGCGAAGTATGAAGTATTGCCGGCTTCATTTTTTCTTCAAGTTTGTAGTATTGTCGAATTATTTCATCATAAAAGCAGAGTTTCCTGAAATTTTTCGTCAATGTTATTCTCAAATTAAAAAGCTAACCATTCATTCCCATGGACGGATTCTCAAGATTTTCTGTGGAATTCGGCTTGATGTGCAGAGATTTGAGGGTTTGCCCAGATGGACAAAAAAAGTGCGAGAGTACAAAGGAAAAAAATAAAAAAACAATTGAGTTGGCCTTTTTACTATTTTTTTTGATTTTTTTGATTTTTTTGTTTTTTTGATTTTAATTTTTTTGGTTTTTAGTTTTTTTAATGATTTTTTTAAGGCTCTTTTTACAGATTACGTAATACAATTAAATTAATGAGAAAAAGATAGGAAAAAAGGGATGAAGAATGAGCCAAGAGAAGTTGGATGGAAAACTAAATGGAAAAAGAATCAAGAAATATAACCATGGTACAGATGAAATCAGGCAGAACTGAACTGCTCAGTAAAAATAACGAAAAATGATGAGTAAAAACAAAAAAAGAAAACAGATGAGTAAAACAAATTTCTAGGGAAAAAAAGGAAAAAAATTTAAAGATAATGAAAAACTATGGCACAGATCAAATAACGATAAATTTAAAAAAATAAGTGGGTAGCGGGGAAGGAAACAGGAAAATCGGGACAATCGAAACTGAAAGGCAAAGAGAAAGGGAGCTGAAACATGTGAACTGTTCGGATAAATTGTGTTGTCCGTCACTCGTCGACATTTCGATAACGATGTACTTGAGAAAAACCGGCAAATGGATATCGCGGTAGTTTTTCCGTGGTGAAACTCCCTGAAGGAATATTTGGGATGGAGAACAACAAGGGAGGCTATTTTTGTGTCAAGATTGGCTTTTTCTGAATCTTTGCTCGAAAATTCTTCAGTTCTTTCTCTAAATAATTCAAATCCCAAAGGCCAAGGTTAAAAAAACTTTCGGAATTCACTTTTTTTCAAGTTAGAAAACGGCGGGGCAATTCATCCAAACTTTCAGAGAACGTTTGAATTGATTTTTTTATCAAAAAAATTCGAAAAAGGTCCACTAAAAATGACCTCCCTTGTCTTTTCCCAACGAGAAGACGATTAGAAAGGAATAATGAAAGCAGAATTAAGTTGGGTGCGTGAGCACAGCATTTCACATAGCCATTCACAAAATAAGTCAGGAAAGAGGTCCCAATATAGTAAACAAAACAGGAAAGCCTTTACAGGCGTTCGAGTCGGCTGAAAGTGAGCTCCAGGGCTACGCTATTTTTTGAATCATGTTTCTCGGACTTTGGTGACGCGAAAGGGACGTGAACCGGACATATCGGAGCATTTTTAGTTACCACTTTAGTAGCCTCAGCGCTTTTAAGTGATCTCTAGAATCGCCCAAAAACGTCTTTGACCAAAAAAGTAAACTATTTTTTTTTCCAAAAGTGGAATTTGGGTTGGTCGTTTTACGCTTCGAAAAAAAAAATGAGCGTGACGAGGGATTTTTCGCAGCCACATTGAGTTTTCCGAATTTAGCTAGGTTCACAATAGCAGTTTTTTGAGCTCATTCCGAAAAAATACGCAAAAACAAGCTTTGAAGCTTGGGAAAAATGGAAGACGCTCAAAATCACAAGAAAAGTCAGAAAAATCATAAAGACTTGCTCCCTGGAAGGCTTCCAGCAAGTGAAAAACTTCGAAAATGTTCATCTAATAAATTGAAACCTTCCTCAAAAGCCCCTTTCAGTTGAGATCGCTCTTTGATCACATGAAAAATGAAAGAAAATATAAGATTTTTGTTTTTCAATAAAATTTTTTTCATTTTTGCTGTATGAGGAAATTTTCAAATGTCCAAAAGAACCTCCTTCGCGATTCGTTCAGCAATAAAACGAACGGACTTTATTCTAAACTTATTCTTGACCCACATAATCATCAAATTCCCTTACCTGCGAAAAGAATAGTCTATCGACTTCTTTTTTTAGTTGTTCAAGACCTTCAGGATACACCAAACACTTCGATTGGGCGAAGTTGCCGTCAACAGGAAAAAAAAATCCACGAAATTTTCCTTTTTCTGAAGGAAAAACAACTAAAATGGTTAAACTAATTTCTGCACAACGAAACTTAAATTCAAAAAACTTCTCAAAAATGAAATTGCGCCAATTAAAAACGTGTGTTCATAAAAACTAACTATGAAGGTTGAAAAACGACTCGAATCTCATGAGGACATCAAAAACTAGTTCTTTTCGACTAAAGCTGAGAAAATAATCAAAAGGCGAATCTGGTTTCTTTAAAAAAAGAATCTTTTTTTCTCCAAGAAACGTTGCTTCGAAAAATTGCGTATTTGTTTTTACTTTTGATAAGTTTCTGTAAATTGATTGACAGCTTTGAAGCTTTTTTGATAAGAAAAATAACTAACCGAAAAAAAGTGAGAGGAGAGCAGCGAGCACGGTGAGAAGTTGACGGTTGGAGAGACCTCAAAATAAAAAACTTTTCAACGGTTCACAAGCGGCTTTTCAGTTGAAAAAATATCTCAATGGAGACCTTCAAGCTTTGAAAAGTAAATATTCGATAGATATTTTTTCACAATGTTTATTAATAAGGAAGTCAAGTTATTTTGGTTCAGCTATTGAGATAAATTTGAAAACAATTGAAGGCTACACTTTCTCAGAAAGAATTGTGTAAAAAAATCAAACATCATTTATTTCGGTTATTTATTTGAAGAAAAAAATAAAAAAATAAAAAAAGCGATAATTTTTTTAATTTGACTGAAAAAAAGTCTCCTGTTAAATTTAAATCTGGAATCATGAATTCGGTCTAATCACACCGACGCAATTACGCACATTAAAAACTTTTATCAGTGTTTTATCAACAAAAAAAGTTTTTAATTTCGGTGGTATGAAAAACACCAGCGAAAAATTCAAACGGCGACTTTTTCCGACTTTTTCATATCGCTAGGGGACTTTCCGACGGCCACCTTTCCGACGAATCTTTTTCCGACTTTTTTTCCCCGATAAAACTTTGTTTTTAAATCTTCCTATACAAAGTAGGTAGTTGGTTCATGATTAAAACACAAAGAAATAGAAAAAAAAAATGTAAATAGATGTTTTATAAACCGAAAAACTTAAGGGAAAAAAGTCGGAAAAAGATTCGTCGGAAAGGTGGCCGTCGGAAAGTTCCCTGGCGATATGAAAAAATCGGAAAAGTCGCCGTTTGAATTTTCGCTGGTGGTTTTTTCATACCACCGTCATGTCAATAGCGGGGTTGCTTGCAGTACATTGAATACCTCAAAACATGTTTTGTTAACAAAGTTGCTTCTTAAATGCGGCGGTTTCGCATTTGGAGAATTTCCGTAATGCGAGGTCGCGCCTAGAAAAATGCGAGGCCCGAGCGGGACAAAGCGAGATTTTTGCGATTTCGTCAATGTACCGCCAGCGAGTTCGCTTTTTCTCTTGCACCGGGTTGGTTTGTTATCTTTAGTGCTCTTTCAATGACTACTTTTCCAGTTCTCTCAAACCAACAGGGAATTTTCCGGCATTTTTTTCATTATTGTTCTTCGCGGTGATTAAGGACTGAAAAAGGCTGAATTTGAATGAGCACTACTGACATACATTTGCGAAATGACTCAAGTTATTGCTTTTTCTTGACTTTCTGAGACACTGACCTCAAAACAGCCGAGAGAGACTCTCTTTCAGACTCTCGAGGTCTTGCAAGTCCTTGTTGGACGACGGGAGGTTCCTCGAGAGTCTGCGTGTCGTCGTGAGGTGCCTTCCCAACTTGACCACGACAGCGAGGTTCTGGATGTAAACCCCGCTGTCGTAGTCCGCCAGTCTCTTCTTGATCGTCGCGCTGACTTCGGCGGCTGTCAGCGGCGCCAGAACTGCCAGCGCGATCGGCTGAGCGTCCACCGGCGGCTTGGGCTGGGGGCCAGGGAGCTTGTTGCCGATCCTGCTCGACCTTTTGAGGACCCCCATGACCGCCTGGGCGCGCCGTTGCTGAAAAGATATCGTTTGTTTTCATATATTCAAAAGAAGAAAAAAACGGAACGAAACTACTGAAACCAATCCAATCTAATTTTTTTTCCAGTTATCGTTCTTGTTTTTTTTTCAAATAATTGAAAGAATAATCAATTCGTTCGAATTTTTTTGCTCTCTGACTTTCGTTTTTCCAAAAGGTTTTTTTTTCATTTAGCTTAGCCACCTGTAACTAATGTTTAAAGTAATAGTTTTTGAAAAATCTTTCGTGAATTTTTTTCATAATATATGAGGCTTTTTTTGAAGTACTTTGCTCGAATTCGGAACAAAAATCGCTTTTTTCCATGAGAATTTATTATTTTTTTTTTGAATATCGCTTCGTTTTTCGTAATCATTTACAGATTCGAATTTTCTTTAAAATCATTGAATTGGGCTGTAATTTGTAGTCTATGACACGCCGGTTTAAGTGGCCGGTCGTATTACGGTATTTTGGATAGGTTTTTCAATAATAAAATGAAATCTTGTGTACTTTTTGTGACGTAACTTATCTTGTAACCTCGAGAAATAGGTCCTTAACAAATTGCAAAAAAGAAAGAGAATTAAAAAAATTTCCTGGCTTCGAAACTGACTGCGCAATATTGACCGGCCACCGGCCGCCGTGGTACTGTCTCAAACATGTGTGATGAGTAAATGAAAACGCAAGCAGCTTGAGTTTAAAGAAGAAAAAGGTTGGTGTTTATTTTTAATTTTTCTTTTTTTCAAACTTTTTTCTTTTCTGATATTGAAAAAAATTCAATCATAATTTGTTTATTATGATTGATTTTTTTTTTCATTGTTCTTTGATTATTTAAAAAAAGTTGATCCAAAGAAAAAAATAGAGATACTCTGGTGAATTAAAGAAAACCACTTAATAAATGTCGGATTTTTTCACAGAGAATTGCTCGTTTTCCTAGAATTTTTCCTAGAAAGTTTAGCTTCCGGTTTTCTTTGTTTCTAGTAAGCCTACGATTTAAAGTAATACTTCTAGTCTTTCTTTTGGAATAGCCGCTTAATGTTTAAAAAAGTAGCGCAAAATAAGCTTTTGTTTTCAAAAAGTTTTTTTTTTCGAATAATTTTCTCATGAGTGATCTTGTTTTCAAATCTATTATTTTAAAGATGCAGACTTCTTGCATTCATAGGTGTTATATCTCAGTTCACTTTGATCATGTTCTACTTATTTTTGAATTCCTATGGAGTATCGATGGATCGGAATTTTCGGAGATGGATCGGAATTTTGCGCTTCTTTCAAACTTCATTATTAAAATGAGTTATAGCTTTTCATCGCGATTCCAAAAAAACTGAAAAAAACTAGTTATCCAATAACTGATTTCAGGTATATTATTTAGCAATTTCCAACTTTTTTTCATTTCAGATTCATGCGCGAAGACAAAACGATGAATGTGATTCTTTTTCTACGCGTGTTTCGATTTTGATAATTGTGATTTCAAACACTTTTTATTCAAAAAAAAACTGCGTTATCAAGTAGATTGCCAGTATCGAGAAGGAAAGCTGTTTAGGATGATTTTTGCATCTACGTTTTCCCTGACTGGATGGTTCAAGATTCTTATTTAGGATTGATGACCATTTTTCCCTGAAAACTAACCCGTCTCGTTGGCTGAGCTGGCGGCGTCCTTGGTGGCGTCGCAGGCGGCTGCGGAGATCGTGGCGGGGTCGACGGTGCCGGCGATGTTGTGCCGGAAGAAGAGGACTCGGCGAGCTCTTCTTGGTCGCTCTCCGGGACGACCTCGTCCTCTTCTTCCAACTCCGGCTCCCGTTCTTCTTCTCCTTGTTCTTGGCCCGGAGTGGGGTCGTGGCCATTTCTGGCATGCTCGAAGCCACGCTCCGGCGTGCGGAAGACGTCCGGGCTTTCTTCTCCGCTCTCTCCACTTCGCGACCTCTTTACGGAGGGTCCGTCCGAGTGGGAAGAAGAGCTTCTTCTCCGCTTCCTGGGACTTGCCTGGTCCATCTAAATTTGTTTTTCTGTTGATTTTTAAGTTGGAAGAATATGAAGTATCCGTAAAACTTTCTTTCTCTCTCTTTTTAATCTATAAACTCTTTCCGTAGCCCTGATTTTATTCAAAGGAATAAAAAGTTCGAGAAAATGTTTTCCATTCCTTTAATTCCGATCTCATTTTCAGAAACCACAACGCCAGGTCTTCCAATTTACCTTCACTCGAAAATTCTCAGGTACACTGATTCGAATAGCAAAAGCTTTACATAATGAATTATCTGTTTGAAAAAGTTTTTTTCAAAGTAGCTTAAAAAAATTAAATAGCTTTCGAGCTTTTTTTCACCTACTTCTGAAAGAAAAAAATTATCAAAAAAATTATCATTATTTCAGTTCAATAACAATAACACGAACATTCGTTAAGAGTAATTTAATGAAAGCTCTGAAAAGCTTGAAACTTTTTCGAAATCGAAAGATTTTATGTTATAGAAACAGCTTTTTTTATCACGATTCTGTTAAAGAAAGGATTTCGGCTAACTTCGATATTATATTGAGAAAAATTAGAAAGTATAATGCCGTGTTTAATTTGATTCCGCGAAATGCAAAATGATTTCTGACTCTCCAAAAATTTAGTAATCTTTTTCTTTCTCTAACGGGTGTTTTGCATTTCGCGTAATCAAATTGAACACTGCATAAAAAAATTAAATCGAAATTATTAGAAAAGGCTCCGAAAAGGGAATTCGAAAGAGAGACTGAAGCTCTCTCTAGACCAGCTACGTAATTGATTAAATGTGATTTAGAAAACTTTTACAAATTGGCAGAGGTCGCCACTCATAGTTGCTTTTCCAAAAGAATATTTGGTCTAGAAGCCGATTTTTTCCGTTGTTGTCATTACTTTTAAATTTTCGCAGTTGGAATTCGTGATACTTCAAGTTTCCTTCAGATGGGTATTTTTAGTTGGATAATTCAATTAAGCTTTTTTTGAAGGTTTTGGTATGAAAGTTAATCGCCGACGTCGGTTGTCTTTTTTTTTCATACAGAACTTTGAAATTTCGAAAAGAATTATCGAAGAGCTAATTTCATGTCGAGACAGAGATTTGAACTTTCTTGAAAGGACTCTTGAAGGAATTTTTTTCATAACGTGCAGTGCCCATAGTGCTCGCGACAGCTTTGCTAACTTCGCTAATAAAAATTTCATGAAAAAAAATCCTCACTTCAGGGCGGAGAAGAGGCTCAGCTTCGTCCTCTTGCGGCTGGATCTCGGCGGCCTTAAATTATTCACTACGTTGCTTATTTACCAAAATGTTTGTATATATATATATATATATATTTGAATTCAAAGGCTTAATATAAAAACGGAAAAATGTGAAAAAAAGTCTGATTTTTGAATCTGCTCTGGAATTTAAACTCTGAACTTTGGTATAGATCTTTCACATTTTAATGGCAACTAGTACGAGAAAATTTTTATTTAAAAAGAAAATCTCACCAGCTCCGCTTCGACGGGAATGTCGAGGGCCTGGACGGCGGCCTAAATTTGTTCAAATTGATTTCTTTTTCTATTTTTTATTGGTTTCTGATAACTCGTCCAATTAAAAAAAGGCTCCAAAAATAAATATTTCCTTTTACTAATGAAGTTCATATTTCAAAAGTTCTCGTCAAGGTTTTTTTTTTCGCGAAAACCGAAATAGATCAATTATTCCAGACTTGAAAGGAGGTTACTATGAAAAAGGCAACAATATTTCGAACTAAAACTTTTCCGATTTTTTTATATCTCTAGGGTAACTATCCGACTTTTTTTCTCTTCATTTTTTTCGGTTTATAGAGCATTTATTCATATTTTTTGTTATTTTTGTGTTTTAATCATGGATCGATTACCTACTTCATGTAGGAACATTTAAAAATAAGAGTTTAAAAAGTCGGAAACATCTCCGTCGAAAAGTTCCCTAGAGATATGAAAAAATCGGAAAAGTCGCCGTTCGAATTTTTGCTGGCCTTTTTTTTTTCATACTACCGAAAGGAGTAAATGTTGTAATAAAGAGCTTGACTATTGACTATTTCAACACATCAGCTGTGATTGAGATAGAAAAGAGCTTCAGAAAAATTCGATAATGTTTTGAAGTCAAATCTGATGTATTTTAAGCAATAACTGCTCTCCCAAACTTATACAGGTGATTATTTCAGTTTTAAAGTAACCTGGAGTTGGGCAGCCAGCCTGCCTTTCTCCTCCTCGGCTTGGGCGAGCCTGGCGCGGAGAAGTTGAAGTTCCTGGCGCAGGACTTCTTCTGCAAATGATTTTATTAATAAATTCATGAAAAAGAGAAATGACCTCTGGCCAAGGAACATCCCAGCGCGAGGGTCGTCTGGGCCAGGTTGACCGTCAGACGGCCGTTTTCGGCTTTCGCCTCCGTCGTCTTCTTCTTTTCCACCCTATAACATTATTGAATTGATTGAGAGGTTTCAACTGTTTGGTGACTTCAATTTTTTTTTCTCTGAATATTTTTCTCAGATTGGTTTCTTCTCATTTTGATGATACACTTGCTCAAAATCGCGAGCTAATAATTTTTCAATCACATCATTTCTATCATAATTTTTTCTCTGTTCAAAATTTTTGGGAATTCTTGCAGTTCGAATCAATATTTTTACTCCAAGGTGATACAGCTTCTGATTGATACGGTTCAGTTAAAAAATAAAAATTTTAAAAAAACCGAATTTTCGAAAAAGTAGTATTTTGTTTTATGCGAAACTCGATGTTTCAAAAAATCGGTTGTGTTTCAGAATCAAATGATTATTTTTCTGTATAAGACTTAGTTTCATCTTCTAGTTTATTCAGTTCTTATTTGGGCTTCTGATAAATTCGTACCTCAACTCTTCGTCTCTTTCTTTGAGCTCATTTTTGAGCTCCTCCTTTTTCTCCATTTCTTCTGCCCACGCCTCGACGGTTTCAGTACCGGCGTCCTTTCTCAGTGGTGCTGAAAAAAGGTTTTAAATATTTTTTTTATCTATGATATTGATTTTTTTTTATTTCTCACTAGGGAACATTTTTTTCAGTCCCCGGTTGAAATTATGATGATATTTCGCTAAATTGCACTTTAAGATCTCCCTTGGACATTGGTAACGCGAAACGGACGTGCTCCGGACGTTTCTGCGCGATTCTAGGGATCACTTGAGAGTTCTGAGGCTACTAAAGCGGTCACTAGAAACGCCCCGACACGTCCGATTCGCGTCCCATTCGCGTTACCAAGGTCTGAGCCTGAATTAAAAAAAAACTATATCCGGTTCTCGAGGTTAGGACGCTCCAAAAGCTTTATATATTCTGTTTATGGAAAAAAAAAGTTCATAGAAAAGAGCTGGGATTTTTTTCTTTTCAATTCAAATTTCACTGGTCTCGCTGTTTTTTTCCATCGTTGAGTCAATTTTGAATAGTTGACAGACTTGATATTAGCTGAAAGAGGGCGAAAAGTTGTCAAATCCGTTTCATTCATTCATTTTTTTTTTCGATGGAATACTTCTAGCTGTAAGCTTTGTCCTAGTCAGGTACTGATGTGGATCTTATATATTTTTTTAAGCAATTCAATATTAAATATTTTCATACTCGAAATCTCCGTATTTGATCAAAAAAAGTCCTACCTACTAATAATAATCAACTCGTAGAGTGGATAAAGACTTTTCTTCTCATTTTGGACGAATTTTTCGTCTTCCTTATCATGTTTACAAATTTCCAAGTTTCCAGAAGCTTTGCAGCCTATCTTGAATTTGAGCAAAAAGTCGTGAACCGTTTTTTGCTGCGAGCTTGAAAAGTTGGATTAGTCAAGTTAGCTGAGAATCGTGAGAAAGACTGATACTTCTGAAACTATTCTGTACCTCCGTGCTGAGTCCTGGCCTTCAGCGTATCCAGGAAGTAGCGGATACGCTGCTCGTGGGCGGCCAAAGCACGGTCCACCACTCTTTCCGGGAGGCGCTGAAAATGTTTTTTTATTACGGTGGTCAAAAAATACATTTTTAGAAAACTCTATGATTTTCATTATGTGCTGAAACGCATAAACTTTTCTTAATTTCAGGCGTCCAACTCTCGCCATTTTTTCTCTTCTTCGACTATTCTTTCTGATGCGTGAGAGCTTTCCCATGTGTCTACTAAAAGAAAAGTGCGAGCTATTTCGCAAAGTAGAAGCTTGAATTCTCGCAAAGTTGAGGTATTCAGTTTAATCAAAAAAAAAAAAACTCACCGCGGTCTGGTTGCCGCAGTCGCGGCTTAGGGCGGTATTCCTGAAATTTTGAATTAACATTTATTCGTAATTAAAAGGTTTTATTCTTCAAATAAGGATAAATATATATGAAAAGTTAAAGTTTTTCAAGATTTTTCGAAATTTTTTTCCTTCAACATTTTCGCGCAGTCAAAGCTAGTATTTATGTGAAATTAGCTTGAAAAAGTCTTACCGGAGCTTCAAAATAAAGCTCAACATCCTGGCCTACGCGCTGGACCAGAACCTCGTCGAACATCCATGACTCCTAAATTGATTACCGTTAAAAAATTTTTTTTTTCATTTTTAATATTTTTTTGCTTCAATTTATTCAATAATGACAAAAACTCTTTTGAATGTTTTTAAGAGAATTCCATCAGAGTTATTCAATTTTGAAGATTTTTCGAAGTGAATTTTCTGAGAAAAAGAAAGTTGTTGTGTTATAAAATGCGAGAACTAAGGTCTCAAAGATATATCAAATTCTAGAAATTTAATTTTTATTGAAGACTCATAGAAATTGAAGGAAACTGATGAAAATAAAAATCATAAAAAAGTTCAAAAAAAAGAAATTGTAAAAAAAGCCTGAGTCAATTTTTTTGAACGCTCAGCTTCTTCTTCTACTTAGTGAGAACTATTTTACTATAAAATTCAAGTAAACGATAAATTCGCGGCATTTCTTCTCATCTTTCCATTTTTTTGCAACGCTGATGCTATCCTTTTTTTCTTTGCATAACTTGAGAAAAAAATCCCACCTGGTCCGTTTGGGAGCCGGCGGACTTTGGGATCTGAAAGTTTGAAATTATGAATTATTGTAAATTTTGGCCCTGAAAACTACATCTGAATACATTTGGAACGAAACTCTATTGCTAAAGATAGGAATTTTCAAAGTGTTATTATTTTTTTCGGCAATCGGGCAAAGCTTGAGTTGCTAAGGTTTTCATCTCAAACGCAAATTTTGCTCCGATTTTTATTCCGGAAAATCCCCGTGTTCAAAAAAGTTGAGACCGTTTCGAAAAGTCTGATTATTCATTTAAAGTCGTTTTTCAGGTTGGGACATTCAAATTGGTTGTCGGTTTTTCCTTCCAATTTGAAGGTGATGTTTTTTATTGGAATGGCCTGAATTATTGCCAAACAATTAACAGAAATCTGCAAAAAGCCAAAAAAAATTTAACTCCTTGCACTTTTTCATCTTTCGCAGTTTTCAAGCCTTTGAGAACCTATTTTTTGGCTGGGAGAAGTAGAAAAATTAGCAGAGCAAGAAAAAGCTCAAATTATTACGGTAGTTTCTTTTCCTTCTCGATACAAGACGAGAGCAATTTTACGAGACATTCCGAGACAAAATCTCATCTCAAAACGCCTCGAAAAATCTGAGTAGTTCAGCAAAGACGTTGAAGTTTGATATAAGACTGATTTTCAAATTTTGATCCTTTATTTCTAGGCCAATTTTCAGACTTATTCAATTCAGTCCGTGTTCGAATCGAACAAAAGATTTGAAAAATTCTATGAAATAGCCATTTTCTGTCCGAAAAAAATGATTCAAGATAAAAAAACGAACCTGTTGGATGTTCATCTGGGCGTCCATTTCAGGTTGTTTGATAACTCTGAATAAGGAAAATTAATTTACTATTATCGTTCTTGTTTTCTGTTTTCTCCTTTTTCTGATTCTTTTGTCAAGTTTTTTGAAATTCAGGTGCAAACTTGTTTTGTGCCATTTGGGTTTAGGTTTAACTTTCTATTGAGATTCAAAATCGATGATTCTGAAACAGCCTTGATTTTCACTGAAAGTCATAAGGTTATCTCAAATTTGGCTTGTTTGAATGGAAGTTCATTGACCGTAAGTTCAAAATCGTCTTCATCGAAGTCGGAAATTTTTTTAGAAGAAACGTCAGTGTACATCCAACTTTGAAATTTTCTGACCTTTTATTTGCTAAAGATGAAAAAATAATCTCAACCTTGCTAATATCTCAGTTAGCCAGAAATGTATACTTTTTGAGTTTCAGAATCAACGATGTGAACATGAATAAAAGTTGAGGCGAGCTTCTAGAAAATATGGTTTTTTTGTTGATATTTTCAAAAAAAAAATTTTTATTTATTCCTCACATTCTTATCACTTTCGATCCGAAGAATCTCAGACTTCACTCAGTGTTTTGCGCTATAAAACTTATGTTATTGAACTAGCATTTTTGTTTTTCAACGCGTTTCGAGACTAGAAGTCTTTTTCTCATTAAAAATGCTTCAGAGCCTTCTTCCGGGATTCTAGTTCATTGGTGGTAAATTTCAGACAACTTCTGTTATGTAAGTGTTTTTTTTTGTTCACACTGAAAAAACCATGTTATTCAGAATAACCTTCATGGGAACTTTTTCTCGGAAACCGCACAGCCAATTCTTTCTTGATATATTTTTTGAATAGAATGCTGGACAAAAATGTAGGAATTGAGTGAATGAAACAGAAAACTTCTTTCTTCCAGCTCACAAAATTTAAAAAATTGATCGAAGTCCTAGTATTAAAACGCCTCAGCAAGCGTCACTTTTTTGGTTTTTCTTCATAAATATTATGCTTGATCTCACATATATATATCACAATTTAACGAAATTTGTTTTTCAGAAGTTTCCCGCGACTTTCTCTCGCATTGTATCGGGTGCGAAGCTTATAAAGCTAACGGTGGAGCGCACTTCCTGCACTTTCCTGCTTTATTCAAAGAAACCTGCTGCATATTACCACCTTTTTTTGGTGCTTATTTATCTAGATTGATTTTGACATATGCTATATACAATACGTCTTGTGAAGGAATTTCGAGCCGCTTGATATTGTATTTAGTAGACACCCTAATGAAACGAACTTGAAATTATTTTTTTCGTTATTTCATAGCGCGAAATCGTTCAATTACGCTTTCCTACTTTTGACTTAAAATTCAAACTTCTTCCGAGTGAATTTCAATGATTACCAGTGTCTTGAGAATATATGGAAATTCCACGGAAATAATTGGAAAAATTGTTTTCGTGTATACTTAATTCATCTTTTTATTCAGTTTTATATCGGTGAATTTTTTAGTTTTGTCAATTCCGAAAATTGAAATATTGATCAGTATGGGAGTTTGCGTCAATAGTCTACACACAGCAAACTTCAAAACTTACGCGAATTGACGCGCTGAGTTTGTTACATTTCTTGCTATTCTATGATTAATTCAAAACTTTAATAGTTTTTACATTCTCTGAAAAAATTAAGAGCTTTTTACAAAAAAAAAGTAGGATAGACGCGTTGATTTTTCCACGGATGATGTTCTTGTAAAAACAAAGTGTATTAGCTGGAAGAAAGAGGTTTTTTCTTTCAATTTTCAACTGTTTCGATCTACACGTGTCGATATATCTTTTTCAAATACAAAAAACTGCGGGGCTTGGCGGTCTTTAAACAAAAAACAAAACTAGGCTTGACGGAGCTCTCAACACACACACACTAGTTTCAAATAATTGAAATTTTAAATATAAAACAAAAAAATAACCAACCTTTTAGCAAAAGCCGTAGCAGTTGTAAAATTTGTTCAATAATGTTTTTTTTTCACTTTTCCGATGTGGTCAATTTTGGTCTACGTGGGTTTTTTTTTTCAATTTTTCCGCGTGGTCATATTTGGTCTACGTGGCTATTTCATCGACCTCTCTTGGCATGTCTAATTTTCGAGATTTTGGATTCATTCGTAATTGAAGCTATTTGAATTCCAGTCAAAGTTTTTCAGGGGAAGTGAAATTTTTTCTTGCTCCTTGAAAATTATGATCCGCCTCATCATTTTTTTATATTTTTATATTTCGCGAAATACGAAATTTCGTAATCTAATTATATTTTTTTGCCTCTAGTTTCAGGGCATGTTCACATTCCAATTTCATTTTGAACCTGGATAGCTTCGATTTATCGGCCATCATCTTTCTTAATGATTATGTTTTTCCAATGCTTCACAAAACAAAAAAACTTGGTCATGACCAAAATTCTCCTGTTGATTACATAAAATGGGGTAATTTTTTTATTTGTCAATTTTTATTTTTTTCCCGGTTTGGTTTCGATGCTATTGCTTTCCATTCAAGTTTTTGATGTTTCAGGTTTTTCAGATTGGATATAACACCCAATATTGTGGACTATCACAGCGAGAATAATGCTATATCGCGGAGGAGCCGCGAGCAATATCTTCGCCTCTCGCTGCGACCTCGCGAACGTCTTGCGCTATATCGCTCTCTGAAAAAAATTTTTTTCTTCAAAAAAATGTTTTTTCTTGATTTTCATTTATTTCATCATAATAATCAAAAATAAAGCAAAAAAAATGTTTTTCTAATTTCAAATTTTTGAGAGCTAGCGATATGGCAGCGAGACTTTGACGAGGTCGCAGCAAGATCCCTTAGCTATAGTCTGTTCAGGTTTTGAGTGTCAACCAGATAACTCCGCCCTTGCCGCCACAGTATCTTTTCGCGTCGATGTTTTTACGCGCGGGACTAATTTTGATCTTTTTTGATCTAAAAGATGGAAAAAGAAGTCAAAAATGCAGCCTTATTAAAGGTTCATCGTCATCTGGATATAAAACATTGACGCGAAGGATATTGTAGCCTTGGGGGTGGAGTTAGCTGCTTGACATTCAAAAATCTGAACAGACTATATATCGCCTGCGGCCCGCTGCGATATAGGCAATTATGTTGAGTGAATATTGACAGTAGAAGGTTTTTTTAAAGAAGAGAATTTGTATTAGTAAGCTCGTGCAAATTTATACAAACTCAATATCGGCTTATACATATTTGATCCATGCTTGAAGAAACTTCACGGTTTTTGGCGAATATCGTTTTTTTCGGAGCCGATTTGTTTTTTTATTCACTCGGTAAAAAAATATTTTTCAACTCTATAAAAAGCTCCTAAAAAAAGCACTTCCCAGGATTTATCATAGTTCAAAACTTTTCTTCGTTTCTTGCAGTTTTTTTCTCTTTTCTTACCTCATTTTTTCAGATAACTGAGGCACGGACCACTAAAAATAACTGACGAGTTAAACGCGAGGTCGGTGGCGGTACATCGACGAACTCGCAAACATGTCGCTTTTTTTCTCGCCACGACCTTGCATTTATCTTGCATTTCAGACAATTTTCAAATTGCGAAATAAATGCTAGGCCGGCGCGAGAAAAAAAAGCGAGATTTTTGCGAGTTCGTCAATGTACCGCCACCGATCTCACGTTTATCTCGTCAGTTATTCTTAGTGATGAAAAAAATATACCAGCGAAAAATTCGAACGGCGACTTTTCTGACTTTTTTTCATATCGGAACTTTTTTTGACAGAGAAGTTTCCGACTTTTTTTCCCCTCATATTTTTTTCGGTTTATAAAAAAATCTATTAACATCTTTTTTTACTATTTCTTTGTGTGTTTATCATGTATCAACTACCTACTCTATATAGGAAGTTCCAGAAAATAGAGTTTATCGATAAAAAAGATGGAAAAGGATTCGTCGGAAAGTTCCCTAGCCATATGAAAAAGTCGCCGTTAGAATTCGCGCTCGTCTTTTTTTCATAACACCAAACTGTCGTTGGTCATCTCGCTCTTTTTGTACTATAGTCTGTTCAGATTTTGAATTTCAACCAATTTCAACTGTGTGTTTTAATCATGTATCAACTACCTACTCTATATAGGAAGTTCCAGAAAAAAGAGTTTATCGATAAAAAAGATGGAAAGGGATTCGGAAAATTCGTCGGAAAGTTCCCTAGCCATATAAAAAGTCGCCGTTAGAGATTTCGCTCGTCTTTTTTTCATACCACCAAACTGTCGTTGGTCATCTCGCTCTTTTTGTACTACAGTCTATTCAGATTTTGAATTTCAACCAGCAAACTCCGCCCCTGCTGAGACGCTATATCCCGTTCACGGCTGACTTGGGACAGCGAACGAACGGTTTAATTTTCGCGGCGAAGGTAGATCATGACGACATGATGCAATCGCCTTGAATGATCCGGCTATGATAAACTCTAAAAAACTATTTTCCAGCCAAAAAAAGGAGGAAAGCAAAAATTTAATTATTTTCAAGCCTAAACTGTTCATTTTCAAAAAGCTTTTTCTCAGAAGCCTATGGGGTTTAGCAGAGATAATCTCTCTTGTTTCCAAGTACTCTTACCCGGGTCTATAAGCCACCAAAGTTTCAACGCGTAGCCGAGTCCGAGTAGTTTCCTAGTTAGTTTGATATAAATTTTCATGTAAAAACTTTTTGCAGAATAAGAAAATTTCAAAGTTTGGAAATGATGTGTTTTATTGAAGACGCACGCAGGGAGGCACACCGAGAGCATCGAAGCGAAGCGCCGAAAAGAGCTACTGTAGCTCCGAATGAACTGGAAATTGTGACAATCTAGCGCCGAATGACCTATATCTTTTTCCGTAGACGTTGTGCACTAAACTAGATGTAGCATTTCGAATTGATATAAAAAAATATAATACAGAAAAAGGTTTGAAGCAGGTCCTGTGAGCCCAAGCAGCGCCGACCGCGTCTTGATGTCGCCGATAACGAAAATAACCGTTTCAACTTTTTTCCCACTTGACATCTCGAAAAAAAAATGTTAAAATAAAATTGCAAAGACTTTCTACTTCATCAAACCAAGTTCACAAAATCGTTTATCGGTGAAAATGTTGAACAAATCAAGAGTATCATTACAACTCGCATTTTTTTAAAAACCGGACGGAAACGCCAAGGAAAAATAAATAATAGAAGCGAACGAGAGATTCCAAGATAAAATTAAGAAAAAAATTTAAATATATAGGCACGAGAAGATAAATTATATATTCCATTATTTTTTTGGTATAATGGAATAAAAAGAGACTGTTCACCAAAAAAAAAAGATAAATATTCGTTAAATTAGAGGTCAGGGTATATAAAAAATGGAAAATTCTTGATGATTGAGAAGACAAAAACAGGAAAAAAGTCAATTTAGAGTGCTCATAGGCAGGTCGGAAAGGATGTCGGAAATAGTGGAGAAAAGCTCCATATAAATACAAATGTTTCTTCTAGGGTAAAAAAAGGCTTCTTTTTTGCTCCCTTTTCATCAGTTCTAACGCACCATTTTTGCCGCCTTTCCCTTTTTCTACTATTTCTTGAGCCTTTGAAATCCCAGAAAAAATAGCAGGCTCGATTGAGGGACCTTTATTGCTGTCTTTTTTGCAGCCTTTTTCGAGCCTCTTTCTTTTAGCGGCCATTATCTACCTTTCCGACTTTGCTTGAGAGAATAATGAGAACATTAAGAGAAACTTTGAAGAAGCTCTGAGAAAGTTTGAAATTTGATAAAAAGCTTTTCACAAGTTTTTTTGATTTACTTCTTTACCGATCCCCATTTTCACATAAATTTTTTGTGCCCTTTTGAAATTTTGATGAAGTGTGGCTGAAAGTATTCAGTACTTCCTGATTCAAGATGAGAATTTTTTTTTTCAACTTCTTCCTTACTGTTTCGCAAGCTTCAAATAATGATTTTTCGTATACCCTGTATTATTTTCGAACTTTACGGGGTCTAAACTCGAGAGATTTTTTTTTTCGGTTTGCACATTAATTTTTTTTTTCCAAATTTACAAAAATAAAAGAACCTCACCATCGCTAGTTTTCGCCGGACAATAGAGCAATTTTGAGCCACTGCCGCCGCAATTAATATTCTCGTACTGAAAAATTCATTTTCTTCAACATTCTGGCTTTAAAACTACTCACATCGCCCTATTGATCGACTTCGAGCGCTTCGAAACCGTGTTTGAACCAAGAAAGGTTGGAAATCGCTTGAGAGTAGGAGGGAATCGATTTCGCGTTGATGTAACGGCCTAAATAATTTTTTTTTGAATTCATTTTGAAAATAGAATAAACCATCTCAAGCTTGAAATATTTGAAACTTTCATTGAAGCTCATTCATATCCTCAATAAAATATAGAAAACTAACGATAAAAAAAAAATAGAAATTACTGAGAAAGGAAAGAGCGACCCAGTCGCGTCGCTGCTAACTAGATATCCGCCATGTCTACGTTCTTCGAACATATAAAAATTCAAAAAATAAAATTCAAAATCAAGAACATTTTCCATGATACGTAGAGCCTGCTATTCTCTCTGGGATTTTAAAGGCTCAAGAAATGGTAGAAAAAGGGAAAGGCGGCAAAAATGGTGCTAAAAGCCGATGAAATGGCGAAAAAAGGTAGCAAAAAAGGAGCCTCTGTCACCCTAAAAAGAACATTTCTATGCAGCCTTTTCCCAATCTTTCCGACTTTGTCTATGCTTCATTATTTTCTTCCAGAAGTTCTTGACCGCCGAAGTATCGACACGACGGTTTGGCTCAACATCGGCATAATGGCCTTCTCATTTGTCGCTTATCGCGCCATCGGACTCGTTGCTCTCCTGATTCGCGTCCGTTTCACGAAATGAACCTTCTTCCTTGTTTCTATTCTCTGTTCACCTTCGCCACCTACGTTTTGCAGCCCATCTACGGGACCTGTCCTTTTTCAAGAAAACTCTTTTTGTTAATCCGCTCAAGTTTCTTTTTTCAAAAAAATGTTGTTTTACCCTGCTTTCGCTCACCGATATGCTCTTCAATCACTGCCTCACTTCCCAATTCGCTTTCAGAGCTTTTTTATTTGTCCCAGTGTCTTTTCTGAAAAATATACTTTTCAACTTTCAATAATCGTCTTTTCAGGTTTAATGAATTACATGAAACTTTCTTTCGCGGTACAACATGAAAAACTTTTTAAAATCTAAATATAGTCTATTCCGCGCCAGCTTGTCACGTTTTTCTTCCCGCCAAAAAGACCGTATACCTAATTAGATCAAATTTCTGCTTTTATAACGGCAAGAGGTCTTGGAGCGAAAGTTGGTTAAATTTGACCTGGCCTTTTGGCGGAAAGAAAAACGTGACAAGCTAGCACGGAATGGCCTAAGGCAAAGGTATTTTCGAATAAAGAAAATACTTGTGGAAACACGAGTTTTTTTCAGATTTCCTTCAATCGGCAAGAAAAAAAAGTCGCTTGAACGCGATTGAAACTGAAATTCAAGCAAGAGAAAAAAAACTTCGAAAAAACAGAAAAAAAAAATAGCGAAATGAATTATTTTCAGATTTTCAATTTCAAGCAGCTAACTCCACCCGCAAGGCTACAAGGCTATATCTTTCGCGTCAATGTTTTATAGCAGGTGACGATAACCGTTTGATAGGGGGCTGCTTTTTTTCGTCTTTTTTTAGTCTTTTTTTTCTATCTTTGGAATCGAAAAACATCAATAACCGTCGCGCGCGATAAACATCGACCCGAAAGGTACCGTCTCAGCAGGGGCGGAGTTAGCTGGTTGACATTCAAAATCTGAACAGACTATATTCAAAAAACATGACCAACGACAGTTTGGTGGTATGAAAAAAAGACGAGCGAAAATTCTAACGGCGACTTTTTCATATGGCTAGGGAACTTTCCGACGAATCCCTTTCCGTCTTTTTTATCGATAAACTCTTCTTTCTGGAACTTCCTATATAAATTAGGTACATAGTTGATACATGATTAACAAACAAAGAGATAGCAAAAAAGATGTTAATAGATTTTTTGTAAACCGAAAAATATGAGGGAAAAAAGTCGGAAACGTTTCCGTCAAAAAGTTCCCTGAAAAAGTCAGAAAAGTCGCCGTTCGATATTTCGCTGGTATATTTTTCATCACTAAGAATAACTGACGAGATAAACGCGAGGTCGGTGGCGGTACATTGTCGAACTCGCAAACATCTCGCTTTTTTTCTCGCGCCGGTCTAGCATTTATTTCGCAATTTGAAAATTGTCTGAGATTCAAAATAAGGTCGCGCCGAGAAAAAAGCGACATGTTTGCGAGTTCGTCGATGTACCGCCACCGATTTCGCGTTTAACTCGTCAGTTATTTTTAGTGGTCCGTGCCTCAGTTATCTGAAAAAATGAGGTAAGAAAAGAGAAAAAAACTGCAAGAAACGAAGAAAAGTTTTGAACTATGATAAATCCTGGGAAGTGCTTTTTAGGAGCTTTTATAGAGTTGAAAATATTTTTTTTACCGAGTGAATAAAAACAAATCGGCTCCGAAAAAACGATATTCGCCAAAACCGTGAAGTTTCTTCAAGCATGGATCAAATATGTATAAGCCGATATTGAGCTTGCAAAAAAATTTGCACGAGCTTACTTATACAAATTCTCTTCTTAAAAAAACCTTCTACTGTCAATAATATATCCAAATTGAAAAAAACCTGAAATATCAAAAACTTGGATGAAAAAAACAATAGCATCGAAACCGATCCATAAAAAAATAAAAAAATTGACGAATAAAAAAATTTACTCCATTTTTTTATAATCAACAGGAGGAATTTGGTTAAGTTTTTTTGTTTTTGTGAAGCATTGGAAAAACATAATCAGTAAGAAAGATGATGGCCGAAAAAAATCGAAGCTATCCAGGTTCAAATGAAATTTAAATGTGAACATGCCCTGAAACTAGAGGCAAAAAAATATAATTAGATTACGAAATTTCGTATTACGCGAAATATAAAAAAATAAAAAAATGATGGCGCGGATCAAAAATTTTCAAGGAGCAAAAAAACATTTCACTTCCCCTGAAAAAAACTTCGATTGGAATTCAAATAACTTCAATTCTAAAAAGAATCCGAAATCTTCAAAAATTAGACATGCCAAGAGAGGTCGATGAAATAGCCACGTAGACCAAATATGACCACGCGGAAAAAATGAAAAAAAAAACCCACGTAGACCAAATTTGACCACACCGGAAAAGTGAAAAAAAAAACATTATTGAACAAATTTTACAACTGCAGCTGCATTTGATAAAAGGTTGGTTATTTTTTCGTTTTATATTTAAAATTTCAATTATTTGAAACTAGTGTGTGTGTTGAGAGCTCCGTCAAGCCTAGTTTTTTTTTGTTTAAAGACCCAGTTTTTTGTAGTTGAAAAAATATTTGAAAAAGATATATCGACACGTGTAGATCGAAACAGTTGAAAATTGAAAAAAAAACCTCTTTCTTCCAGCTAATACACTTTATTTTTACAAGAACATCATCCGTGGAAAAAAATCAACGCGTCTATCCTACTTTCTTTCTGTTACAAGCTCTCAATTTTTTCAGAGAATGAATAAACTATTAAAGTTTTGAATTAATCATAGAAATACAAGAAATGTAACAAACTTAGCGCGCGAATGCGCGTAAGATTTGACGTTTGCTGTGTAGACTATCGACGCAAACTCCCATACTGATCAATATTTCAATTTTCGGAATTGACAAAACTAAAAAATTCACCGATACAAAACTGAATAAAAAGATGAATTAAGTATACACGAAAACAATTTTTCCAATTATTTCCGTGGAATTTCCATATATTCTCAAGACACTGGTAATCATTGAAATTCAGGCGGAAGAAGTTTGAATTATAAGGTAAAAGTATGAAAGCGTAATTGAACGATTTCGCGCTATGAAATAACAAAAGAAAATCATTTCAAGTTCGTTTCATTAGGATGTCTATTAAATACAACATCAAGCGATCGAAATTCCTTTACAAGACGTACTGTATTAGCATATGCCAAAATCGATCTATAAATAGGCACCAAAAAAAGGTGGTAATATGCAGCAGGTTTCTTTGAATAAAGCATGAAAGTTCAGGAAGTGCGCTCCACCGTTAGCTTTATGAGCTTCGCACTCGATATAATGCGAGAGAAAGTCGCGGTAAACTTCTGAAAAAAAAAATTTCGTTAAATTGTGATATATCTGTGAGATCAAGCATAATATTTATAAAGAAAAACCCTAAAAAGTGACGCTTGGTGATGCGTTTTAGTACTAGAAGCCTTCGATCGATTTTTTAAAATTTGTGAGCTGGAAGAAAGAGGTTTCCTTTTTCATTCACTTAATTCCTACATCTTTGTCCAGAATTGTATATGAAAAATATATCAAGAAAGAATTGGCTTAGCGGTCTCCGAGAAGAAGTTCCCATGAAGGTTATTCTGAGAGTGTGAACAAAAAAAATACTTACATCGCAGAAGTTGTCTGAAATTTAGCACCAATGAACTAGAATCCCGGAAGAAGGCTCTGAAGCAATGTTAATGAGAAAAAGACTTCAAGTCTCAAAACGCGTTGAAAAACAAAAATGCTAGTTCAATAACATAAGCTTTCTAGCACAAAACCCCGAGTGAAGTCTGAGATTCTTCGGATCGAAAGTGATAAGAATGTGAGGAATATATCACAATTTTTTTTAAAATATCAACAAAAAAACATATTTTCTAGAAGCTCGCCTCAACTTTTATTCATGTTCACATCGTTGATTCTGAAACTCAAAAAGTATACATTTCTGGCTAACTGAGATATTAGCAAGGTTGAGATTATTTTTTCATCTTTAGCAAATAAAAGGTCAGAAAATTTCATAGCTTGATGTACACTCACGTTCCTTTTAAAAAAATTCCGGCTTCGATGAAGCCGATTTTGAACTTACGGTTAATAAATTTCCATTCAAAAAAGCCAAATTTGAGATAACCTTATGACTTTCAGTGAAAATCAAGGCTGTTTCAGAATCATCGATATTGAATCTCAATAGAAAGTTAAGCCTAAACCCAAATGGCGCAGAACAATTTTGCATCTGAATTTCATAAAGTTGACAAAATAATCAGAAAAAGGAAAAAAACAAGAAAAAAGAACGATAATAGTAAATTAATTTGCCTTATTCAGTGTTATCCAACAGCCTGAAATGGACGCCCAGTTGAACATCCACCAGGTTCGTTTCTTTTTCCCAAGTTATTATTTTTTTCGGAAAAATGGCTATTTCATAGAAAAAAATTTTTCAAATCTTTTTGTTCGATTCGAACACGGACTGAATTGAATAATTCTAAAAAAATTAGCCTAAAAAAATAATTTAAAAAATCAGTCTTATATCAAACTTCAACGTCATTGCTGAACTACTCAGATTTTTCGAGGCGTTTTGAGATGAGATTTTGTCTCGGAATGTCTCGTAAAATTGCTCTCGTCTTGTATCGAGAAGGAAAAGAAACTACCGTAATAATTTGAGCTTTTTCTTGCTCTGCTAATTTTTCTACTTCTCCCAGCCAAAAAATAGGTTCTCAAAGGCTTGAAAACTGCGAAAGATGAAAAAGTGCAAGGAGTTAAATTTTTTTTGGCTTTTTGCAGATTTCTGTTAATTGTTTGGCAATAATTCAGGCCATTCCAATAAAAAACATCACCTTCAAATTGGAAGGAAAAACCGACAACCAATTTGAATGTCCCAACCTGAAAAACGACTGTAAATGAACGATTAGACTTTTCTTTTTTCTTTCTAAACTTTTTTAAACACGGGTATTTTCAAGAATAAAAATCGGAGCAGAATTTGCGTTTGGATGAAAACCTTAGCAACTCAAGCTTTGCCCGATTGCCGAAAAAAATATTAATACTTTGAATATTCCTATCTTTAGCAATAGAATTTCGTTCCGAGTATATTTATATGAAGGTTTTCAGGGCCAAAATTTGAAACAATTCACAAAAAAAAAATAATTTCAAATTTTCAGGCCACCAGATCCGTCGGCTCACAAACCGACGAGGTTGGATTTTTTTATCTCAATTTTTGTAAAAAAAAAAGGATAGCATCAGCGTTGCAAAAAAAGGAAAGATGAGAAGAAATGTCGCGAATTTTTTTCGTTTACTTGAATTTTTTTAGTAAAAATAGTTCTCACTAAGTAGAAGAAGAAGCTGAGCGTTCAGAAATTGACTCAGGCGTTTCTAAAGTTTCTTTTCGAAGTTTGTATGATTTTATTTTCATCAGTTATCTTCAAATTTTTTTAAGTCTTCATTAAACTAAATTTATAGAATTCGATATATCTTCGAGACCTTAGTGCTCGAATTTTATAACACAACAACTTTCTTTTCCCGGAAAAGTCACTCCGAAAAATCTTCAAAATCTAATAGTTCTCATGGAATTCTCTTTAAAACATTCAAAGAATTTTGTTATTAATGAATAAATTGAAGCAATAAATATGATAAATGAAAAAAAAAAAATTATTTAACGGTCATCTATTTAGGAGTCTTGGGTGTTCGACGAGGTAGTGGTCCAGCGTAATGGCCAAGATATTGAGCTTTATTTTGAAGCTCCGGTAAGACTTTTTCAAGCTAATTTCACATAAATACTAGCTTCGACTGCGCGAAAATTTTGATGAAGAAATTTCGAAAAAATTGAAAAATTTGAATTTTCATATATATTTATCCTTATTTCAAAAATAAAACCTTTCAATTACAAATAATTAATAATTCGAAATTTCAGGAGAACCGCCCAAGCCGCGACTGCGGCAACCAGACCGTGGTGAGCCTTTTTTCCTTTTTTTGATAAATCTGAATACCTCAACTTTGCGAGAATTCAAGCTTCTACTTTGCGAAATAGCTCGAACTTTCCTTTTCATAGACACATGGGAAAGCTCTCAAGCATCAGAAAGAATAGTCGAAGAAGAGAAAAAATGGCGAGAGTTGGACGCCTGAAAATAAGAAAGTTCATGCGTTTCAGCATATAACGAAAATCATGAAATTTTCTAAAAATATATTTTTTGACCACCGCAATAAAAAAACATTTTCAGCGGCTCCCGGAAAGAGTGGTCGACCGTGCTTTGGCCGCCCACGAACAGCGTATCCGCTACTTCCTGGATACGCTGAAGGCCAGGACTCAGCACGGAGGTACAGAATAGTTTCAGAAGTATCAGTCTTTCTCACGATTCTCAGCTAACTTGACTAATCCAACTTTTCAAGCTTCCAGCAAAAAACGGTTCACGACTTTTTGCTCAAATTCAAGATAGGCTGCAAAGCTTCTGGAAACTTGGAAATTTGTAAACATGATAAGGAAGACGAAAAATTCGTCCAAAATGAGAAGAAAAGTCTTTATCCACTCTACGAGTTGATTATTATTAGTAGGTAGGACTTTTTTTGATCAAATACGGAGATTTCGAGTATAAAACTTCTTACAAAATCAAACAATTAAAATTTTTGATGAAAAATATATAAGATCCACATCAGTATCTGACAGGGCTTACAGCTAGAAGTATTTCATTGAAAAGAAAAAATGAATGAATAAAAAGGATTTGACAACTTTTCGCCCTTTTTCAGCTAATATCAAGTCTGTTAACTATTCAAAATTGACTCAACGATAAAAAAAACAGCGAGACCAGTGAAATTTGAACTGAAAAGAAAAAAATCCCAGCTTCTTTTCTATATACTTTTTTTCCATAAACAAAATATATAAAGCTGTTAGAGCGTCCTAACTCTGAGAACCGGATATAGTTTTTTTTAAATTCAGGCTCAGACCTTGGTAACGCGAATGGGACGCGAATCGGACGTGTCGGGGCGTTTCTAGTGACCGCTTTAGTAGCCTCAGAACTCTCAAGTGATCCCTAGAATCGCGCAGAAACGTCCGAAGCACGTCCGTTTCGCGTTACCAATGTCCAAGGGAGATCTTAAAGTGCAATTTAGCGAAGTATCGTCGTAAGTTCAACCCGGGGCTGAAAAACGTTCCCTAGTGAGAAATAAAAAAAAAAATCAATATCACAGATAAAAAAAATATTTAAAACCTTTTTTCAGGACCACTGAGAAAGGAAGCCGGAACGGAAACCGACGAGGCGTGGCCCGAAGAAAGGGAGAAAAAGGAGGAGCTCGAAAAAGAGCTCAAAAAAAGAGACGAAGAGTTGAGGTACGAATTTATCAGAAGCCCAAATAAGAACTGAATAAACTAGAAGATGAAACTAAGTCTTATACAGAAAAAAATAATCATTTGATTCTGAAACACAACCGATTTTTTTGAAAGATCGAGTTTCGCATAAAAACAAAAATACTACTTTTTTTCGAAAAATTCGGTTTTTTTAAATTTTTTTATTTTTTTAACTGAACCGTATCAATCAGAAGCTGTATCACCTTGGAGTAAAAATATTGATTCGAACTGCAAGAATTCCCAAAAATTTTGAACAGAGAAAAAATTATGATAGAAATGATGTGATTGAAAAATTATTAGCTCGCGATTTTGAGCAAGTGTATCATCAAAATGAGAAGAAACCAATCTGAGAAAAATATTCAGAGAAAAAAAAATTGAAGTCACCAAACAGTTGAAACCTCTCAATCAATTCAATAATGTTATAGGGTGGAAAAGAAGAAGACGACGGAGGCGAAAGCCGAAAAACGGCCGTCTGACGGTCAACCTGGCCCAGACGACCCTCGCGCTGGGATGTTCCTTGGCCAGAGGTCATTTCTCTTTTTCATGAATTTATTAATAAAATCATTTGCAGAAGAAGTCCTGCGCCAGGAACTTCAACTTCTCCGCGCCAGGCTCGCCCAAGCCGAGGAGGAGAAAGGCAGGCTGGCTGCCCAACTCCAGGTTACTTTAAAAACTGAAATAATCACCTGTATAAGTTTGGGAGAGCAGTTATTGCTTAAAAATACATCAGATTTGACTTCAAAACATTATCGAATTTTTTTCTGAAGCTCTTTTTCTATCTCAATCACAGCTGATGTGTTGAAATAGTCAATAGTCAAGCTCTTTATTACAACATTTACTCCTTTTCGGTAGTATGAAAAAAAGGGCCAGCAAAAAAATTCGAACGGCGACTTTTCTGATTTTTTTCATATCTCTAGGGAACTTTTCGACGGAGAAGTTTCCGACTTTTTAAACTTTTCTTTTTTATTGTTCCTATATAAATTAGGTAATTGATTCATGATTAAAACACAAAGAAATATGAAAAAAATGTTAATAAATGCTTTATAAACCGAAAAATTAGAGGGAAAAAAGTCAGAAATGAATCTGTCGGAAATTTCATTATCGTTATGAAAAAATCGGAAAAGTTGCCGTTCAAATTTTCGCTGGTCTTCTTTTCATAGTAACCTCCTTTCAAGTCCGTCATAATTGATCTATTTCGGTTTTCCAAAAAAAAAAACCATCACGAGAACTTTTTGAAATATGAACTTCATTGGTAAAAAGGGAAATATTTATTGTGTAGCCTTTTTTTAATTGAAGAGTTATTAGAAACCAATAGAAAATAGAAAAATCAATTTGAATAAATTTAGGCCGCCGTACAGGCCCTCGACATTCCCGTCGAAGCGGAGCTGGTGAGATTTTTCTTTTTTTAAATAAAAAAATTTTTCTCGTACTAGTTGCCATTAAAAATGTGAAAGATCTATACCAAAGTTCAGAGTTTAAATTCCAGAGCAGATTCAAAATCAGACTTTTTCACATTTTCCGTTTTATATTAAGCCTTTGAATTCAAATATATATATATATATATATATATACAAACATTTTTGGTAAATAAGCAACGAAGTGAATAATTTAAGGCCGCCGAGATCCAGCCGCAAGAGGACGAAGCTGAGCCTCTTCTCCGCCCTGAAGTGAGGATTTTTTTTCATGAAATTTTTATTAGCGAAGTTAGCAAAGCTGTCGCCAGCACTATGGGCACTGCACGTTATGAAAAAAAATTCCTTCAAGAGTCCTTTCAAGAAAGTTCAAATCTCTGTCTCGACATGAAATTAGCTCTTCGATAATTCTTTTCGAAATTTTTTTGAGTTCTGTGTGAAAAAAAAAAGACAACTGAAGTCGGCAGATAAGCTTTCATACCAAAACCTTCAACAAAAGCTTAATTCAACTATCCAACTAAAAATACCCATCTGAAGGAAACTTGAAGTATTTCGAACTTCAACTGCGAAGACTTTTAAAGAAATGACAACAACGGAAAAAAATCGACTTCTAGACCAAATATTCTTTTGAAAAAGAAAGTGAAGCCTTTACTTTCGACTACAACTACGAGTGGCGACCTCTGCCAATTTGAAAAAAGTTTTTTAAATCACATTTATTCAATTACGAAGCTGGTCTAGACAGCTTCAGTTTCTGTTCGAATTCCCTTTTTGGAGCCTTTTCTAATAATTTCGATTTTATTTTTTATGCCGTGTTCAATTTGATTCCGCGAAATGCAAAATACCCGTTAGAGAAAGGAAAAGATTACTTAATTTTGGAGAGTCAGAGATCATTTTGCATTTCGCGGAATCAAATTGAACACGGCATTATACTTTCTAATGTTCTCAATATAATATCGAAGTTAGCCGAAATCCTTTCTTAAACCGAATCATAATGAAAAAGCTGTTTCTATAACATAAAAGCTTTCGACTTCAAAAAAGATTCAAACTTTTCAGAGTTTTCAATATATTACTTTGAACGAATTATGTAATTTTTATTGTTATTATACTGAAATAATCATAATCCTTGATAGTTTTTATTCTTTCAAAAATAGGTGAAAAAGTTCGAAAGCTATTTAATTTTTTTAAGCTTTTTTTAAAACTTTTCAAACTGCTAATTCTTTATGTAAAGCTTTTGCTATTCGAATCAGTGTACCTGAGAATTTTCGAGTGAAGATAAATTGGAAGGCCTGCCGTTGTGGTTTCTGAAAATGAGATCGGAATTAAACGAATGGGAAAAATTTTCGCGAACTTTTTATCCCTTTAAATAAAATCAGGGCTACGCAAAGAGTTTATAGATTTGAAAGAGAGAGAGAGAGAAAGAAAGTTTTACGGATACTTCGTATTCTTCCAACTTGAAAATCAACAGAAAAACAAATTTAGATGGACCAGGCAAGTCCCAGGAAGCGGAGAAGAAGCTCTTCTTCCCACTCGGAAGGACCCTCCGACAAGAGGTCGCGAGGTGGAGAGAGTGGAGAAGAGAGCCCGGACGTTTTCCGCACGCCGGAACGTGGCGTCGAGCAAGCCAGAAATGGCCACGACGCCACTCCGGGCCAACAAGAAGGAGAAGAAGGAGGGGAGCCGGAGTTGGAAGAAGAGGACGAGGTCGTCCCGGAGAGCGACCAAGAAGAGCTCGCCGAGTCCTCTTCTTCCGGCACAACATCGCCGGCACCGTCGACCCCGCCACGATCCCCGCAGCCTCCGGCGACGCCACCAAGGACGCCGCCCACGCCGCCAGCTCAGCCAACGAGACGGGTTAGTTTTCAGCGGAAAATGGTCATCAATACTGAATAAGAATCTTGAACCATCCAGCCAGTGAACATCTAGATGCAAAAATCATCCCAAACAGCTTTTCTTTTTGATTCTTACAATCTACTTGATTACGCAGTTTTTGGAATAAAAAGTTTTTGAAATCACAATTATCAAAAGCAAAACACGCGAAGAAAAAGACCTACATTTATCGTTTGTCCTTGCGGGAAATTCTCGCGCATGAATCTGAAATGAAAGAAAGTTGAAAAATTTCTAATTAATATACTTGAAGTTGGTAATTGGAAAAACTAGTTTTTTTCAAATTATCTTTTTTTCAAATCGCGATGAAAAAAACTGTAACTTATTTTAGTAATGAAGTTCTTTCTACTTGAAAAAGAAAAACGGAACTACACGGCTAAAATTCTCATGATATTTATGTATAAAGCTTTTCTTCTACCTGTCACTGGATTGAAAAATGAAATTCCAATCAATTTCATTGCCAGCCTTGCTTAAAAGATTCATTACTCCATAGGAATGCAAAATTAAGTAGAACACGATCAAAGTGAACTGAGATATAATACGTTTAAATGCAAAAATTCAGGATCTTTAAATTAATAGATTTGAAAACAAGATTACTCATGAGAAAATTATTTGAAAAAAAAAAGTTTTCAAAAAAGAAAGCTTATTTTGCGCTACTTTTTTAAACATTAAGCGGCTATTCCAAAAGAAAGACTAGAAGTATTACTTTAAATCGTAGGCTTATTAGAAACAAAGAAAACCGGAAGCTCTGATAAACTTTCTAGGAAAAATTCTAGGAAAACGAGCACTTCTCTGTAAAAAATTTTCCTAATTTACCAGAGTATCTCTATTTTTTTCTTTGGATTACCTTTTTAAATAATCAAAAAACGAAGAAAAAACATCAATATTAATAAACAAATTATGATTGAATTTTTTTCAATATCAGAGAAGAGAAGAGTTTGAAAAAAAGAAAAATTAGAAATAAACACCAAGCTTTTTCTTCTTCCAACTCCAGCTGCTTGCGTTTTCATATAATCATAGACTACAAGTTACAGCCCTATTCAATGATTTCGAAAAAAAGTCGAATCTGAAAAATAATTACGAAAACCGACGCGAAATTCAAAAATAATAATAATAAATTCTCATGGAGAAAAAAACGATTGTTGTTCCGAATTCGAGCAAAATACTTCAGAAAAAAAGTCTCATATATAATAAAAAAAATTCACGAAATATTTTTCAAAAACTATTCCTTTAAACATTAGTTAAATGAAAAAAAAACCTTGTGGAAAACGAGAGTCATAGAGCAAAAATTCGAACGAATTGATTATTTTTTCAATGATTTAAAAAAAATAACAAGAACGATAACTGCAAAAAAAAATTAGATTGGATTGGTTTCAGTAGTTTCGTTCCGTTTTTCTCTTCTATTGGATATATGAAAACAAACGATATCTTTTCAGCAACGGCGCGCCCAGGCGGTCATGGGGGTCCTCAAAAGGTCGAGCAGGATCGGCAACAAGCTCCCTGGCCCCCAGCCCAGACCGCCCGTGGACGCCCAGCCGATCGCGTTGGCTGTTCTGGCCCCGCAAACGGCCGGCGAAGTCGGCACAACGATCCTGAAGAGGCTGGCGGACTACGACAGCGGGGTTTACTTCCAAAACCTCGCTGTCACGGTCAAATTGGGACGGCTCCTCACGACAGCTCGCAGACTCTCGAGGAACCTCCCATCGTCTCCCAAGGACTTACGGGACCTCGAGAGTCTGAAAGAGAGCCTCTCGCGACTGTTCTGAGGTCAGTGTCTCAAAAAGTCAAGAAAAAGCAATAAATTGAGTCGTTTCGCAAATGTATGTCAGTAGTGCTCATTCAAATTCAGCCTTTCAGTCCTTAATTACCGCGAGGAACGATAACGTATCGAAAAAATAACTTTAATCAGGAAACTTTGAGAAAATATTTGCTTTTCAATTGAAAAAAAAACAAAATGAAAAAACATACAGCGGAGCCGAGTTTGGAGTGACAAATCGATTAAAACCAAAAAGAGAAAACTTCAAAAGGTCACGAAAAACTGACTGAAACATGTTAATATGACATTCAAAGCGAGAAAAATGAAATGCCAAAAAATGAAAAAAATGCCGGAAAATTCCCTGTTGGTTTGAGAGAACTGGAAAAGCAGTCATTGAAAGATAACTAAAAATAACTAACCAATCCGGCACAGGGGAAAAAGCGAACTCGCTGGCGGTACATTGACGAACTCGCAAAAATCTCGCTCTGTCCCGCGCGGGCCTCGCATTTTTTTAGCCGCGACCTCGCATTACGGAAAATTCTCCAAATGCGAGAGCGCCTCAAGGAAAATGCGAAACCGCCGCATTTAAGAAGCAGCTTTGTTAACAAAACATGTTTTGAGGTGTTCAATGTACTGCAAGCAACCTCGCTATTAACAGTTATTTTTTTGTTGATAAAACACAGATGAAAGTTTCAATGTGCGTAATTGCGTCGGTGTGATTAGACCGAATACATGACCTCAGGTTTAAATTTAATGCCGTGTTCAAAGTAATTTCCGCGAAATGCGAAATTGTCTCTGACCCTCCAAAATTTAGTTATCTTTCTCTTTCTCTGACGGCTATTTTGAATTTCGCGGAATCACTTTGAACACGGCATAACAGGAGACTTTTTTAATTAGAGACTTTTGACCTCAGGTTTCAGTCAAATTAAAAAATATTGCTTTTTTATTTCTTTTTTTTTCTTCAAATAAATAACCGAATCAAATGATGTTTGATTTTTTACACAACTCTTTCTGAGAAAGTGTAGCCTTCAATTGTTTTCAAATTTATCTCAATAGCTGAATCAAAACAACTTGACTTCCTTCTTAACAAACATTGTGAAAAATATTTATCGAGTATTTACTTTTCAAAGCTTGAAGGTCTCCATTGAGATATTTTTTCAACTGAAAGCCGCTTGTGAACCGTTGAAAAGTTTATTATTTTAAGGTCCTCCCATCCGCCAGCTTCTCGTTGTGCTCGCCTATCTCTCTCTCTCCACTCACATTTTTTGGTGAGTTATTTTCTTATTAAAAAGGCTTGATTCGTGGGAAATAGATATAGCTGATTCACGGCTAACTTGAGACACTAAGGGGGCGTGGCCCGTCTGCGCTCTCCAAGAACCAAGCTTTCTCGCGTGCATTATCATGTCAGGACCCCTTTTTCGATATCTCAAACCAGCCGTGGATTAGCTATAAAAAACAGTCTGAGAGTTTCGTAGCTTGAACTTGAAATCATTAGGCGCAGACTTGTTCTGTGCCATTTGGTTTTGGGCTGGGTTGGATATTTCTTACTTTCTGATTTTCACATCCATCAATTTTTTTTTGAATGTAGAATAAAGACTTAATTTTTTAAAAGCACAAAATGGCTTCATTTCTTCTCAAGGGATGATTGTTGGTTCGCCATTATTTGAGCTCATTCAAGATCTTTATTTGAAAAAAAAAATCGAAAAGCCTCCAAAAAAAATAGTTCTGATCATTTTAGCCAACTTTTGTAGTAAAAAAAAAATTAAACAGTGTATTTTGTCTGTTCAAAAGTCATTTTTGAGGTATTTGAAAGCGTAAAGACCAATTGTCTAGAGGTGATCAGATCGAAAAAATGGAGAGAACTTTTATAAACAAAGTTAAAATTTTAAACTTCGTTGATGCATATTATTTCAATAGTAGCGGAAAGAAAATGTTCTTATAAATATATTATTTTATATTAATATAGTTAAATTATCCGGCCGAGCTTATCAGAAATTTGTACAAATTAATTAAATATTTATTTTCTGACTTCAATTAAAATTATTATTTTCAGTTCTCCCCATCCCGAACTGGTCTTCTTCATCTAGAAGCGAATTTGTTTTTTTGGACCGAGGAGGAGTGGAAAGCGGTCTGTCGACCGTTAGTACAACCTCCAAGGAACGAGGTAACTTTTGAATTTTTTTTGCTTCATTTTATTTCTCCCTTTCAGGAAAAATCGCTGGTTTTTTCCATCCTTGATGCTGACGTCTTGTGATTTTTTCTTCCATTGACGCTTTCTCCCTTCTCCCAACCGAATTGTGTAAGTTTTGAAAAAATTACTGATCTATTTCTTTTATTACCCACGACCTTTTTTGATGGTTAAAGTCGTGATTGGGATTTCTCTCAAAATCCAAGAACTTATTTCAGACTTCCAGTACATTGTTTCTTTCTGCGCACAGTCGCAAGGTTCCCACCGACAACAGACGACGTCATTCTCTGAATGACGGCGACGATAGAATTGAAACTGCATTGGACAAATTGAGGTAAAAATTCGCAAAAACTTGACTTCGTTCCGGAAATCAGTCATATAGATCCCCTGAATAAATCGAAAAAGCTTCAAAAGCTGTCAATCAATTCACAGAAACTTATCAAAAGTAAAAACAAATACGCAAGTTTTCGAAGCAACGTTTTTTGGAGAAAAAAAGAAAATAGACTTGAAATCTTAGTTTTTTTGTTTAGATTTCAATGAGCTTGATTGAAAAGTTTGAAGTTTTTGAGAATCCAAAGCTTCTATAGCCGGGATTGGATGTCGCTCGAGAAAAAAAAAAGCTTCTTGAGACATTTCCATTGAGTAAGAATTTGGAACGGCTCGTTTTCTCTGTTGGTCGTAGAAATGAAAATTTAGAGCGATAATTCATCCAAAAAAAGACATTATTCGGTTTTCAAAAATAAGAAGTGTCTCTACTATAAGAAAGATTCTTTTCTTATAAAAAAATGCGATTCGATTTTTTTAATATTTTATCAGCTTCATCCGAAAAAAACTAGTATATGATAATCTTATGAGATTTGAGCCGTTTTCCAACCTTATACTCATAGGTAGTTCTCATTAACACACGTTTTTAATTCGCGCAATTTCCTTTTTGAGAAGTTTTCTGAATTTAAGTTTCGTTGTGCAGAAGATAATTCAACCTTCAAAGCTATTTTTCGTTCAGGAAAAGGAAAAGAAAGCTCTTGAAGCCCGTGTCCTGTTATTTCTGGCACTTTTTCCCGAAGAGACTCTTTGTCTGAAGATGGACGGTGAAACTGAATGGATTTCTTAAAGTTTTTTCGCCGAGTCGATAAGTCATTCTAATCGCAGGTAAGGGAATTTGATGATTATGTGGGTCAAGAATAAGTTTAGAATCAAGTCAGTCCTTTTCTGCTGACAGACTCGCGAAGGAGCTTCTTGATTACGCTAAAATAGTTCTTTCATGAACTTTTCGCCGCCGCTCCCATGACTTGTGAGTAATTGGATGGTTTTCGGAAATTTGAAAATGTTTTCATACAGCAAAAATGAAAACAGTTTTATTGAAACACAAAAAACCTTGACTTTCCTTTCAATTTTTATGTGACCGAAAAATCTCAGCTCAAAGGGGGCTTTTGAGGAAGATTTCAGTTTAATGGATGAACATTTTTGAAGTTTTTCACCTGCTTGAAGCCTTCCAGACAGCAAGCCTTCATGGTTTTGCGTCTTCCATTTTTCCCAAGCTTCGAAGCTAGTTTTTGAGTGCTTTTTCGGAATGAGCTCGAGAAACTGCTATTGTGAACCTAACTAAATTTGGAAAACTCAAAGCGAAAAGTCCTCGTCACGTTCATTTTTTTCAAACAGAAAAGCAACTTATGAAATCCGCTTTTTAAAAAAATAATTGACTTGTTTGGTTGAAGAGCCGAATTTGCAATGAGAAACTATCTCTCTTTATTTCCAACTCAGAAATTATCGTTCATTTTTATTTTGAATTCTAATCGCACATCAAAAAACTACGCGCTGAGAAAAAAAAGCAGGAATAATTTATTTAATATTTCTTTTCAGCGATAGAAAACCTAAAATTCTCAATTAATTTGCTTTCATGATTTCTTTCTAATCGTCTTCTCGTTGGGAAGAGACAAGGGAGGTCATTTTAGTGTAAATTTTCGAATTTTTTGATGAAAATCGGTTCAAACGTTTTCTGAAGGTTTAGATCAATTCTCTCGCAATTTTCTAGCTTGAAAGAAGTGAATTCCGGAAGTTTTTTAACCTTCGCTTCTTAGATTAGAATTATTTTAAGGATAAACTGGAGAAATTCTGAGCAAAGGTTCAAAAAAAGCCAAAATTGACACAAAAATGGCCTCCCTTTTTGGAAAAATTTCTCAATCCCACATACGCCTTTAGGCGAATTCATCACGGAAAATCGTACGCGATTGCCATTTGCCTGTTCATTCCCGTTCCTCTCTCCACGACAGCTTCAAACGAAATTCTTCCAAGTAGTTTCATTGTCTAGGAGTTTGGATCACGGAGAAATGTACGCGATTTCCATTCGCGTCGTTATTGAAATGCCGACGAGCGACTGACAACACATTCACATGTTTCAGCTCCCTTTCTCGTTGCCGTTCAGTTTTGATTGTCCCAATTCTCCTGTTCCCTTTCCCGCTACCCACTTATTTTCAAAGTTATCCTCTTTTGATCTGTGCCATAGTTTTCATTATCTTTGAATTTTTTCCTTTTTTCCCCTAGAATTTTGTTTTACTCATCTTTTTTTGTTTTACTTATCATTTTTCTTATTTTACTGAGCAGTTCAGTCTGCCTGATTTCATCTGTACCATGGTTATATTTCTTGATTCTTTTTCCATTTAGTTTTCCATCCAACTTCTCTTGGCTCATTCTTCATCCCTTTTTTTCCTATCTTTTCTCATTAATTTAATTGTATTACGTAATCTGTAAAAGAGCCTTAAAAAAAAAAAAATTAAAAAAACTAAAAACCAAAAAAAAAAAATTAAAATCAAAAAAATCAAAAAATAGTAAAAAAAGGCCAACTCAATTGTTTTTATTTTTCCTTTGTACTCTCGCACTTTTTTTGTCCATCTGGGCAAACCCTCAAATCTCTGCACACATCAAGCCGAATTCCATAGAAAATCTTGAGAATCCGTCCATGTAAATGAATGGTTAGCTTTTTAATTTGAGAATAACATTGACGAAAAATTTCAGGAAACTCTGCTTTTATGATGAAATAATTCGACAATACTACAAACTTGAAGAAAAAATGAAGCCGGCAATACTTCATACTTCGCTCAACTCCGGTTTTTGGTTAGTTTTCTGCCTTTTCTACATGACAAAATGAGATAATCTTCAGAAAAACCGAAAATTTGAAATCAATGAGCAAGCTCCTCGCACAAGGATGGAACTTTTTCCATTCCGGCAAAATCTCGCGAATTCTGTGGCTCCAGCTTAATATCAATCATCAATATCAATATCAAGTGGTCAGAGTCATTCTCGGTTAGTTTTCTCATCTACTTGAAAATCATGCGGGGAAAATTCAGGAAAAAGCTGCAAAAACGTCTTTCAGCAGCAGATATGGGCTGGACCAAAAGAGAATGTTCGGCTTAAAAAAATCCAGCTCTGCCCTCTACGACATAATGTTTTTAATTTCTCGGATAGCGGCGATCCTCGAAAGAATAAACAAAAGGTAATTATCAAAAAGTAGAGACTCTATTGATAAAAGGAAAATTTCAGTTTGAAGCGGACAAAGTCGGAAACTAACCACCGCATTTTCAAAAGTTTCGGAACATTTATCGTCGAAAAAAAGAATTTTTCTCTGAAGTTACGCTCCAGGTGTGTAACCTCATCTTATTTACAGAAAAACATTTTTTTATTCAGATTTCAATAATTTCAAACTATGATATTATGTGAAATTCGACTCATATAATTCTATTTTCTACATTTACCGGTCCCAACTCTCATTCGGTCTTTGAATAGTCACGCTTCAGGTGGGTAACCTTATCTTATCAACAGGAAAAAAAAAGATTTATTCCAGATTTCAATAACAGCGAACACTAAAAATATTATCAGAAAGCCGATCAGTTCTACTCATATCATCATTTTTTTCTGTATTCACCCGTCCCAATTGGAATTTTGTCTTGAAAAAAAGTCTCCCCAAGGTTGGTTAATTTTTCGAAATTCGAAAAAAATATTCTCATTTTTCAGATTGAAAAACGACAAAGGCAAAAAAATTCGCCATTAAGCCATAATTTCGGCATGGAAGTCAGCCCTGAAAAACCTGATTTTTTTGAAAAATTGTCTTGGTTAGTTTCCTATTAAGTTTTAAAAATCATAATAAACATTTTTTTCAGATAACTGACAGTTGAAAGCTCAATTATCAAAGAAAAAAATTGAATGATATCAAAAAAATAGAAGCGGGACTTTGACGAAAAACCGTTTTTTTCCTGTTTTTTTGAAAAAAACAGGGCTTCTAAATGGTGAGTTATTTCGCAAAAAAATTCATAATTTTGTGAAATATTCAGGCCAAAAAGAGTATCGCTCGGAATCGTATCAATTCCTAGCCATTCGGACAATTTTTCTTGCATTTTTTTCGTTCGAATTTTTCGCAGTCGCAAGATTTCGAAGCAGCTTCTGATCTACTAAACGTTATCAATGGTAAAAATTTTCGATTGGTCCAACTTTCATAACGGAAGAATTTTTAGAAAAACGTTATAAATCGAAGATCTCCGTACGAATTCATGAAAGGAAGTCAAATCAAGAAGAAAAAAATCAAATTTCTTCTGGAGCGTTATCCTTCGAGAAGATCTTCCTCCCTTCAGTAAAATGAGAAAAAAAGAAAATGGAGTATACAAAAAAATAAAGAAAATAAAAAAACGACAAAAAAACTCCTTCCCCTTTTCAGTTGTTCCCCTTAGGTAATCAATCACATTTCATTGTTCTCGATATTTATTTTTACTTTGTATGTCAAAAATCGTGGAGAGTCTGAAAAAAACTCTTCAAGACGATTTCAATAATGAAAAAAACATGTATTGAAATCAATTCTCAACCATTTCTTTTCACCATTTTCGAATCAAATTTTCCCATTCAAGCTCTTCCAAAAATTCATTTTCACTGTTTCGGAGCATTTTTTGAAGTCAAAAAACCTTTTTTTTTCTTTTTCCCTGAACACGCCATTCCATTGATTTCTGAGTCAACTTTCAAACATTTTGGCTCAAGAAATTCATATTTCATAAGTGTCCAAGGAAAAAAATTCATTTTTAATCAACTTCTTTCCATCCAGTCTTTCAGAACTGTACGAATCGTCAGTTTCTGAGAATTTTTTTGCGTTTTTTTCAGCCTTTCGAGACATTTTCTTTTTGCTTTTTTTCCCTGGACACGCCATTCCATTATTTTCGGAGTCAAAAATTCAAACATTTTGGCTCGGAAAAAGTTTCATTTCAACAGTGTCCACGGAAAAAAAGACATTTTTTTCATCCATTTCGAATCTCTACGAATTTTTTTGAATTCAAAACAATTTTATTTTCATTTTTCCAATCATTTCCGTTTTTTTACAATGAACACGCAAAAGGTTTTACATTTAGATTCAAGTCGTGATCATCGTAAAACTAAAAAAACTCATCAAAAAAATAATTATTATATTTAGTCGTTGCGGAAAAATTTCATTTTCACTGTTTCGAGCATTTTTGGTTTTTTTAGGCTTTTTCAAGACATTTTCTCACTTTTATCTTTGGACACGCCTTTTCACTGTCTTCTAGGCGAATTTGCAACAATTTTGGCTGAAAGAATTGGTATTTCAATAGTGTCCAACGAAAAAAATGTTGTAAAAAAGAATTTTTCGGTCGTTCGAAGTTGTACGAATTCTCAGTTTCGGAACACTTTTTAATTTTTCAAACAGTTTTTTTTTCCACTAGGATCAGGCAGAACATTTTCGCGTTTCCAGTAGCGTCGTGGGAACGGAAAAACTCTGAAAATGTTTCATTTTTTATTTTTTCAGAAATATTCTAGTTTTTAATGTTTCTGAGAACAAAATTATTTTAAATTTCCCAGTGAATAGTTTATTACAAAACTTTTTGAATCATTTTTTGAGATAGTTTGGTTCAAAAAAGCTATTTTTCAGCTTTCAAAAGGGAAAAAATGTCTTAGTTGCTCAAAAATAGTACATTTTCATTCTTTTTAAACATTTATCTTACGTTTCGAAATGTTCAGCTTTAGTCGGTCAGCTGAAATTCCTGGCGAAAAATCCAAAATTTATTGACTAGAATAAATGAGACTTTTCTTCGTCTTTTTATACAGTTTTATTCAAATTCAAGTTTTTTTGCTGGAATAATAAAAATTTCAGTGTGTTTTGGCCTTCAAAATTTTTTTGCGAATAATGAAACGTTTTTCACCTTTTTTTTCATGTTCGTAACGCCCTAAATAACCTTGCGCGAATTTTTTATCTAAACCTTAAAAGTACAAAAAAATAAATTGGAGGAGGATGGACTTTTTTTGAACGTTAAAATTGAAGGAGGAGGATTTAAAAACTATCAGAATTTTTTTCTTTCAATTTCTAAGGCGACTTTTTGGAATATTTATGAAACTGGAGGAGGATGGAATTTTGTAAACTTTAAAAAAATCGGAGGAGGAGGAACTTTTTCGATATCAAGTTTTTTTCTTTTTAGTGAATATTTTTTTGAGTAGAACTCCAAAAATGGAACAAGGATTTTTTTATTTTTTTCCTAACTTTTCAATCAACAGGTACTTATTTCCAATAGCTCATGTAACTTGACGAGATTTTTTTTCTTTTTAGTAAACTACGGATTTCGCATCGAAAGTTACCGTTTTTTTCAAATAAAAACTTTTTTTTTTCAAAAATTTTTTTGAGCGAGCTGTTGTTTCCGGAGAAAATGAATATCAAAAAGTATTTTGCCAAAAACATTTCATTCTCATAGTTACTGCTTTTTGGAGGAAATTTAATTTAAAAAAACTAGCTCTCTCCAAAAAACACCATTTCAAAGTCTTTTGTTTTCAAAAAATTGTAAGGGGTTAGATAATGGGGTGGGATCAAGTAAGTTTGATATAGTTTCTGTACCGAGTTAATTGACTTTTTTCAGAAGGGTTACGGTAGAAGAGATCCGGAAGGCGGAGGCAAGCCGGGAAGAGTTCCAGTGGCGCAGTCCGAGTGCGTCTCGATGCCGATCGTGCGTGGCTAGTTCAAACCTTCTGCTTTGCACTTTTTGAAACTTTTTGAAGAGTGAGAAGAATTTTTTTTTTAGCTTCTCATAGGTTTTATTTAGTCCTATCAAAATATGAAAATTCGAAAAAAAAATTTTTCCCGTTTTGGATTGAAAATTTTATATATAACCAAATTTGTAAAGCTTAGTAGGCATGAAACGTCTGAGCTCGGAAAAGGAATCATTGTATGGATCAGAGGTGGAGAATTGAGAAGGCAGCCCTTGGCTTGGCGGCCAAGCCAAGCCAAAAAAAAGCCAAACGATAGAAATGAGCCATTAATTTACGTGGTCTTTGGCAACTAGGTCAAGTACGTGGCGATAACGCCCTGAACTAATCATTATCAATTTTGAAAAATTTTGAATTGTTTTTTTCGCAACTTTGTGTTAACGTTTTTTTAATCTACTGTAACAGTTATTTCAGCAGGGAATTGTCACTGAAACGGGTCAAAAGGCTGCCTTTTCAATCTCACTAGCGAACTATTTCGACAAAAAAATTTTGAGATGCTATGAAATTGATGCAAAAAAAAAAAATTCATTTGGTTTCCAAAAAAGTCAGATGACTGAAAAATCCTATTACGCCAGGCCACCTCGTTAAGAGTGGAAGGCTTACAGTTCTCTACCTGGATTTTTCCGGTGGTATGAAAAAAAAACCAGCGAATTTTCGAAATGCGACTTTTTCCGATTTGTTCAAATCGCTAAGGAACTTTCCGACGGCCACCTTTCCGACGGTCCACTTCCCGACTTTTTTTCCTTTTATTTTTCGGTTCCTAAATCATTTTTTTGTCTACTTTTTTGTGTTTTAATCATGAATCAACTACCTACTTTATATGGGAGGATTCAAAACGAAGAGTTTATTTAACAAAAAAGTTGAAAAGGATTAGTCGGAAAGTTCTCCGTCGGAAAGCTCTCTAGCGATTTGAAAAAATCAGAAAAATCGCCGTTCGAGTTTTCGCTGATCTTTTTTTCACACCACCATTTTTTTCGTGTTTTTGTGTTTTAGTAAAAAAGTTTCATACATCGCTCAAAACAAGCGCTTCTAGATGCTAGGGCGATATCGCCATACAAATGACCGTCGCGCCACGCTGACTTTTGAAAAAGTCATTTCTGCCTTTTGGGCGTTTATGACTTGGCAGGCAGGGCGGCCAGAGGGCAGCCATCCTCCACCTCTGGTATGGATATTCTCATTTTTATCTAAAAAAAGTTGAATCTCACAGAATGACGGAAAAGAGAGAAAGCAAAAAAATTTTTTTCACAAAAGCCTATAAACTTGCCCAGAAAAGTCGCAACGAAGAAACCTTGAATATCCTGAATGGGCAACTCCTAAGAAACCTTCCAGTTGCTTTTTTGAATGACGGAAGCATCTGCGGGTGCTTACTGGCCAATATGAGCGAACCTTTATTTTTAGAAAACGATTTTTCAGATTTCGAATTTCCATAGCTGCTTCAGTTTCATTCTCAAAACGGTTGACCTGCACAAAAAAAAGAATGATAAAAATTATAGCCAAAAAGTAGTTTGAAAATTCCCTAGATCTTTCTATCAAATTCAGTTTTAAATTTTAATCATTTGAAATCCATGTCAGTCGCCTTGAGCACGCTTGTGCGTCAGTCTTGTTTGTTTTTTTTTCCAAAAACCCTTCCAGACTCCGAATATATTTTCTTTTTTTACACAAAAACTC